TCCCCCGAAATATTATATTATATTGCAAAATATTTGCAACTATATATTTCAAAATACTTTGACTTTATATAATGTGTTACTTCAATTGAAATCCCCGACCATCGCTTATCTTTTTCTCATTAGTATGAATACAGCGGTGATCATTCTCTTTCATGTGGTATAAAAAATAATCTGTTCAATAGATTCAGCCGCCTTAATCTTACAGAATATATAAACATTGAGATACAAATAGAGATATTGACATAGAGAAATAAAAAACGATGAAACTTGATGTGTAAATTGTAACGAAAAACTAGTCTAAGAAAAAATTGTCTAAGAACTAAGAACTGTCTAAGAAAAACATTAATGCACGGAAAAAAATTTTGGTTGAATTAACATTTAAAAGTGAACCAGATTAGGGTTGGTGATATATCTTCCACTCGCTAAGGAAATACGTGTTAACATGCACTTTTATCCATTTTTAGTGTCCATCCGGAAGCTTCTCTCAAGAATTTCGCGTCCGCCATCGAGAAAACGACATTTCTATGACTGACTGATTCACGTTAGCTCCTTAAAAACAAATGCGCAAAATATCTGGTCGAGAATAAACGATCCAGAAATTCCGATTGAGGAAACCCGAATTGTGTTTAAGTCAACCATAAATCTTATTAACTTAAACCATAAATCTTATTAACTTAAACAGAGTTTGGGTTACTTTAATCGGAATTCCTGAATTGTTCATATTCAACCAGATATTTGGTTAATTCAACCAAGTTTTTTTTCCGTGTGTAATTTACAATGTACGAAATATATGACCTACATAAATTACTTTTTTTATCGCGCAGATTTTAATCGCCTAATAACGGCCTTATTTTTTAGCATTGTAAATCGCACTTATCATCATAAATCATATCTATATGAACAAATTATATAGTTCTTTTACATCACGGCCACACCTCTATAAATACGTAGATTCTACGTCAAAGAAAAATAGTCTACGGTGCAACTTCGTGACACAAACATATTCGAAAAATTCAAAATGAAAACTTTAATGATTATCGTGACTGTACTATCTGTTATAGTAAGTACGAGAAAACAAGTAAACTTCACTGTGTTCTTATAAAGTATATTATCTTCATGAGCACTAAGCTCACATATTTCAATACATATATTTCATCTTCGTATTGCACATAATTTACAACATGGTATACAAAAATATATAAAATCGAAGATCAACGCGACAGATCTAATATTAATATTACACTCTACTCATAACGAAAAATAAAATGCCACAAAATCAAACATTTTGTTACTTAATCACTTAAATCTGCATCAAAAGTATTATTTGAAGAATACTTCCCTTTACAGATATATATATATATATATATAATATATATATATATATATATATATATATATATATATATATATATATATATATATATATATATATATATATATATATATATATATATATATATATATATATATATATATATATATATATATATATATATATATATATATATATATATATATATATATATATATATATATATATATATATATATATATATATATATATATATATATATATATATATATATATATATATATATATATATATATATATATATATATATATATATATTACTAATTTATACATTCAATTCGCGACACACAAAGTTTCCTTTAATATTCGTATTCAATATTATTCTTGATAAAATAATCCCAATCTTATTAATAGATCGACTTTTCAAGGGTGAAAACTTAAACGACGAAGTAATGTAAAGTCCTTCTTTGAAGCTATTCGCGAAATAAGAAAAATTATCTATAATTAATCAATAATGTCATAAGAAAGAATTCTTTTGTAACTATACATACTTGTACAATTTCAACTTTTAAAGACGTAAGTTTATAAATTCAAACTTGCGATTTCTTGCACAAAATAATAATTTAGCTGAGTTATAGATTGATACATACTTCTCGTATGTTATTTTCTAAGCGAGACATTTTTTGTGTATTTAATTGTGATAAATTTTTCCAGACGATTGTTTACGGTATAAACCAAACGAGGTTGAAAAAGTATCACATGAATTTCGCCAAGTGCCTCGAGGAGAAGGGCGGAACGGCTGGTAAATATTAACATTCAAAACAATTGAAGAAATGTGAAGAAGAATATAAAATAAGTATTGTGATGACAGTAACTTCACAGTTGAACATTTAAAATGTGAACCAGATTGGTGATATATCTTCCTCTCTCTAAGGAAATACGTATTAATATGCATCTTTAACGATTTTTGGTGTCTATCGGGAAGCTTCTCTCAAGAATTTCGCGTCCGCGGTAGAGAAACGGTAGAGAAAACTTTCTATGACTGACTGATTTACGTTAGCTACTTAAGAATAAATGTGCATAATTATGTAAATTCACTTTGAGTTCTATCTAATTTTTCCCAATTAACAAAGAAGTAATTACGTCGATATAGAAGTTTTCCATCCTAGCTAGAACTATGCGTATATCGTGATAAAGTGATTTCCCAATGATTTCCCCAATATAACGATTGTGTAGGATAAAATTGCTTGTGTTCAAAATTATGTAATTTCAAAAAATTATATACATGAAAAAAGTAAAAATATTTTATTTATTCAATGTTTTATCGATGTCTTCTTAAAATACAAAATAAGTACTTTTTTACATTATTATTTTTACATTTTACATTATTACATTATTATAAGATTTCTTAAATTTTGAAAATGGTGCACTTATTCAAAAATAAATATATATAATTATATATCTTTAAAAAAACATATTTTTAAATAGTTAGTGTTATTCCGATAAAAAAAAACTCGTTTTTAACACCATTCTGTAAAAAAAATATAATTAAAAAACAAAAATTTTAATTCGTATCAGATCGATGCATAAATTTTGGAGGTTTAATTATAGCATGCAAACAAAAATTTTGCTATTGAGTTGTCACATTCCTAACTTGTGGTTTACAGAAAAACCCAGTCCAGAAGCGGTTGTGTGCCTAGTAGTTAAAGATGGAGACGTACGTATATTTCGTTTACGTTTAATGTACAATAACGAGCATAAAAATGGTCTTCATATACATTGCAATTAAATGATGAGAACTTCATAACAATATATTCGTTCTCAGATATTGCTGTAAAACTATCACTCTGATAAACTACTAATTTACAAAAATTCTTGCTATCAGAAAAGATTAATTTTATACATCTTGTATAGTAAAGCTATTTCAGCGATTAGTGTATATAAAATAATCTGGACTTCAAAATAGTAGGATTTATATTATACATTTCAAAAGTGAAAATTAAAGAATAAAAGAATAAAAGAATTTATGTGCAAATGTATTCAAGTACTTTCTCAGAAAGTTATTTTGGCTTGGTACATAAAAACAAGTTTCTGCTAACAATACTGTTGTAAAGTTTAGTCATACGACAGAAAAAGTGTGATAACAACAGCAACCTTGATGATATAGATAAAAAAATTAATATTAGAACGCTTGCCTTACACGAACTTATTATATAAATATATTGTACATGTATTGTACGTAAAAAATATTTGCTTTTTACAAGAAGAGCATCTTATGTAATTAAATAAAATATAGAAAATAATCAAATAAATTTGATTTACGAGGTAATAAAAATCTCAATGTAATGAATATTAGATCTTAAACGCAAATGGCGAATATACAAGGGAAAAAGCGATGAAAGGAATTGAGGATGCAATCTCCGATCCGAGCACTATACAAAAGGCAAAAGCGATGTATAACAAGTGTCACGATGAAGGTAAACGATTTTTGGTCATATTTCTTTTACAGACTTATTTTTACAATAACAAATTTCCATATTAATTGCAGCGGAACAAAGCGGAGTTACTGGCTATGAACAAACGATAAAAATTGCCGGCTGCTCTTCTCCAGTTTTAGCTTTCTTCGACAAAATATAGTAAAAGCTAATTGCAGATATTCCTTTATTTGGTATACGAAACTCATTCTTTAAGTTTATTCACAATTTTCCCTATAACTTTGATTATTATAACCAATACATATAGCGCGTTTATCTTTTTTCCTAGAATTATGTATTTGTGCTAGCAATTTAATAAAATGATATTTACTTATACAAACATTTGGAGGCACTTACCGAATTCCTGTTCAAACAAACAGACAATAATCATCTAAACAAGTGTGGCAAGATATTTTTACTTCCCAATCGTCCTAAACCTACATACAAAAGCTACTAAGCTGACGCGTGGCAAGAAAGTCCGCGAGATCTCTAAAGCCTGTACATAGAAGCTTAGTGTAAACACTAGTTTCCTTATCTAAAATACTGTATATCTTATTCGCCGACTCTCGGACGCGAGTACGCAAGCGAGCGGAACAATATGTATTTGGAAGGGTTAATGAACGTATAACAGTAGAAGTTCAAGAATCAATCATCAATAATCAACGTTAACACATACTATGTTCGTACTATGAATTAATCTATTCAATAGGTTTGGCCACTTTAATTTGATGACGTAAATACATAAAAGCCTACATGTTAATATAAAGAGATGAAGGAACATAACATTTAATACGCATATACTGTGTTTTAGGAACGAAATTAGTGCTAAATATTGCGTCATATGATTTACACAAACCTCTTCTTTGAGATCGCCTTAATCTTGATTGCCTATGAATCTAACCTTGCACTGCGATGATTTATAAAATTTTATAGACTTTAAATCAGTTTTATCATAATGAATTACATTTACTTTAGCAGAATAAATAATCCACTAATGCGTCAATGTAACTCGCTTATAAATAAAAAGCTACAGCTCCAATATGAGATAGTCTACAACAGAATTTTGTCGCACAATATTTGATAATCACTTGAACGTAATAAAATAATACAGAATGAAAACTTTCATGATTATTGTAACTGTGTTGTCCATTATGGTAAGTATAAGAGAAAAAATTAAATTCTCTGTGCAGTTATAAAGACCATTATCTTAATCAGTACTTAACTTACATTTTATTATATGTATTCTGTTCTTGTATTGTATATAATTTATGAGATGTTACATAAAAATATATAAAATATATAAAATATATAAAATAAAGAGTTAATATCTAGTATCTAATGTTAATATTATACACTATCCAAAGCGATATAATACTACAAAACAAACATTTTATTTCCTATCTTAAATCTACTTCAAAAATGTCGTTTGAAGCATTCGTTTCTTTACACATATTTCATATTTTATATATTTCATTTGCAATATAAATTTAAATGACGAAAGTCTAAAGTTCTTCCTTGAAACTAATTGTGGAAAAAGTAATATTATACATCTAATTATATATCTAATTATAATTAAATAATGTTATAAGTTATAAGTATATGTTATAAGAAATGTTATAAGAAAAAATCTTGTTGTAATCATACGTACTTATGTAATTTCCATTTTTAGAGATGTAAGTTAAGAAATTTAAACATACGATCTTTTGCGTGAAATAAAAATTTAGCTGAGTTATAAACTAATATATATTTTGTACCTTATAATCACGTCAAAATTATATATTTTTTGTGTACTCAGTTGTGATAAATTTTTTCAGGCGATTATTTATGCTAAGAAACCAGTGAATCTGGAAACATTTAGCAGCAACTTTCGCAAGTGTTTTAAAGAGAAGAACGGAACATTTAGTGAGTACTAATATTCAAAACCTGAAAGAATAGGATAAAAAAATAAAATAAATATCGTGATGACATAACTTCACTATCAAATAGTCGAAAGTAAACTATATAGAGATTCATGATATATCTTCCTCTCGCTTGGAAACGCTTGTTATTCTGTATTGTTAACCATTTTTGGTGTCTATCTGGAAGCTACTCTCAAGAATTTCGCAAAAACCGTAATAGAGAGAAAGACGTTTCTGTAACCAATCGATTCGTGTCAGCTCTTTAAAATCAAATATCATGGGCTTCATATAAATTTTTTCAATTAATTACAGAGAAGTAATTACGTCAATATAATAATTTTCCATCTTAGTTATAATATGTATATCTCGTGATAAAGTGACTTTTCCGTTGAAAAAGCAAATATAACGATCATGTGCAGGATGGAATTGTTAACATTCAAAATTTTAAAGCTTTTCCCGGAAAAAGCAAGTATATTTTATTTTCTTAATTCTTTACCGATGTCTTCTTAAAATATAGAGTAGACACTTTTATGTTTATTATTACAGTTATAAGATTTATTAAATTCTGCAATTTGGGCACGCATGCAAAAATGAATGTATATAATTATATACATTTAGAAAATTATACTTCTCGATAGTTAGTGTTATTTAGATACCAAATTTCTCTTTAGAGGCCATGCGGTGAAAAATAAAATATTTTAATTTGCACCTGGTCGATACATAAGTCTTAGACGTTTAATTACGGCATTCAAACAGAATATAAAATCTTGCTACTGAGTTGTCACATCTGCTTGTGATTTATAGAAAACCGCGTTGCTGAAGCTATTGTGTGTGCAGAAAATAAAGATGGAAACGTACGTATATTTCGTTTACATTCAATGTATAATAACCGGCAATAAGAATGATCTTCATGCAATTAAGTGACTAGAACTTCTTAACAATATATTCGTTCTCAGATATTACTGCAAAGCTATCATTGTGATAAATTACTAATTTACAAAAATGTTTACCATCAGAAAAAATTAATTTTATACATCTTTGTATAATAAAGCTATTTCAGTGATTAGTGTATATAAAATAATCCAAATTTAAACAGTAATATTATACATCTAATTATATAACTAATTATAATGAAACAGTAATGTTATAAGAAAAAATCTTGTTGTAACCATACTTATGTAATTTCCATTTTTAGAGACGTAAGTTAAGAAATTTAAACTTACAACCTTTTGCGTGAAATAAAAATTGGATTGATTCTATATATTTTAAAAATAAAAGTGTGAAAGAATGACTTTATCTGCATATGTGTTTGTTTCCTCGGAAAGTTGCATTTGCTTGGTAAATTGTTATTAAAACTATTTTCTCATAAAAACACAGTTGCAAAGTTTACTTATACAATAAAAGAGGAGTGACAATAATAACAATTTGGATGAAATAATAGAAAATAAACAAGATTAATATTAAGATGCTTGCTTTACTCTAATTTATTATGTAAATTGTACATAAGAAAGATTTGCTTTTTACAAGAAGAGCATCTTATGGAATTAAGTAGTATATAGAAAAATATCAAGTTAATTTTCGCGATTAACATAACGTAATAAAAATCTCGATATAATAAATATTAGGTCTTAAATGCGAATGGCGAATTTATAAGAGAAAATGCCTTGAAACAACTTGAGAACAATATCTCCGACCCGAACAAATTACAAACGATGAAAGCGATCTATAACAAGTGTCACGATAAAGGTAAGCGATATTATTGTCGTCTTAGAGAATAATTTTCACGACAAAATTTTATATTAATTGCAGCGGATCGAAGCAGAGTCACCGGCCATGAGCAGGCGATAAAAATTGTCAACTGCCTTTTTCCAGTTTTCACCTTCTTCTATAAACTATGAGTGCGTCCATCTTAGATATTTTTTCGCTAACAGTGTTTACAAACATCGTTTTCGTCGTTTGCTTTGAAGCGCTACAGAGAGGCCATGACGTCATAATTTCATGGCAAACACGTCATTAGTTTACGCTGTGATAATTTTTTTCAGATGGTTGTTTATGGTATCAATATCAGAGAGATAGAAAAATTATCTGAATAATTTACGCAAGTGCGTCGAGGAGAAATCATAATAGGTAAATAAATAAAATCCTAAAAAGAACCTGATCAATAAAACATTATGAAATAATATATTAGGATAATACATTAAGATCCTAATATATACCTAATCATTATAAACTTGCAAAGGTCTTCCTTACTCAATTTTTATCAGTACATGACTAGGTTTATCATAGTAAGGATAACCTTGCGAATCCCTAGTTAGGACCTTATACATTTCAGGTATACCTGATGACAATTTCTAATCGGGAATGTTCGATCTGTTTCTCTAAAATTGTATGTTCATATTGGCAATTTAATAAAATGAAATTTACTTAAACAAACGTTCGGTGAGACTTACCGAATTCCTATCAAAACATATTAAAATGTATGTATCGAAATATTATTAATCAAGAACCCAAAGCATTTATTGATAGAAGCTCATCTTTATAGAAAAAATATAAAATATGTTTTAAAAGCAGCAAGTTACTGCCAGCTAACCAGTATATTTATTTCAACGACTTACATTGCGATTAAGCGAGAAATCTGTTTAAAAGCGATCACAATATGTTTCAAACTTAGGTAATAATGTATTATTTTGATAAGGAAAGTACTTACCGAATAATATAAGGTGGGATGATGCAAAAATCGCAGATCCAAAAAGCGAATTTTATCAAAATTATCTGAAATAAATATTTTCACAATTATTGGAAATCAAGAATTGTCTCGAATAATCAATATAAAAATTAGTATCAAACGAAGTATAATACATCGCAAGAAGACAGTTTTCCTTAAATATAATATTAGATTACAAAATATTTGGGTTTTATGTAATGTAGTACTTCGTCACAGTAGAAGTCCAAAAGACATTCAGGATTTTCTTATGTTTATTGTTACAATATCGTTAATTCGCATTATAAATTTATTAATTCAATAGATTCGACCACATCTTAATTTGATGACGTAAATATACAAACATAAAAGCATAAACATTAACATAGACATAGATGATAACATGATGATAATATAAGGATAACATTTAAGACATAAATACCGCGTTCCAGAAAATTAGTTCTAAGTAATGCGTCACATTGTGATATACGAGTCTTTTCTTTTTATCGCCTTAATCTTGATGGTCTAATATAGCTTTATAGCCTTAGACTGTGTTGATTTACAAAATTTTGTAATTTTGTAAATAAATTCAATTATATAATACATCATAATAAATTATATCTACTTTAACAACGCTAATTAATAACCCAGATCGTGACTTATATAATTAAGAAGCTACAGTCTCAAAGTAAGATAGTCTATAACAACTGCTGTACTTGCTGTACAACATTTTATAACTACTTGAACATATTTTGGAAAAATACAACATGAAGATTTTCGTGATCATAGCTGTACTGTCAATTATGATAAGCATAAAGGAATAAATAACATTCTTCGTGCACTTACGAAGTATATTATTTTAGTCAATACTTGGTTTTATTTTATTATATTTTGTGTTTGCATTGCATGTAATTAACAATATATTATACAAAAATATATAAAATCAAAGATCAATACAATAGATCTAGTATTAATATTAAATTTTACTCAAAGCGAGACAATGCCACAAAACAAACATCTTATTTCTTGCTCCTTAATTCTACTTCAAAAGCGTTATTTGAAGCATTTCTTTCTTTACGGATATCTTATATTTCTATTTTATACATTCAATTCGTGATACAAGGCTTTTTTAATATCCGTATTTGAAATTATTCGCGATGTAACAAATTGCAATCATATTTATAGGTTAATTTTTCTAAACTATAAACTTAAATAAGGAAAACATCTGAAATTCTTCCTTAAATCTATTCGCAACAAAGCAAAACAAAATTCGAAACAAGCAAAATTATATGTCTATAATTATACAATAATGTCCTAAGAAAGAATCTTTTTATAATTACATATGCACTTATACAATTTCAACTTTTAGAGAAGTAAGTTAGTAAATTTAAACTTGCGACTTTTTGCGCAAAATAAAAATTCGAATGAGTTATAAACTGATGTATATTTCTTATTCCTTATTACCATATCAAAACGATACAATTTTTGTGTATTTCTCTGTGATAAATATTTTCAGACAGTTGTTTACGGTATCAATACAGAGAGATTAAAAAATTACAAAAATTACATACGCTAATGCATCGAGGAGAAGGGCGGATCGATTGGTAAGTACTACCATTCAAAACATCTGAAGCAATATGATGAAAAGAATAAAATATTAATCATGATGACATAACTTCACAACCGAAAATGAATTTGTCTAAGATTCATGATATCTCTTCCCCTCGTTAAGAAAACGCTTGTTATATTGTATTCTGGCTTACCATTTTTGGTGTCCGCCTGGAAGCTAAGAGAATTTCACGTTCATGATAGAGAAAATGATGTTTCTGTTTAATTAGTGTTAAATTTTTAAGAGCCAATTTCCATAATTATGTATATTCTTTCTGAGTCCTACTCAAATTTATTAAATTAAAAAAGTAATTAATTAAAGAAGTAATTACGTCGATATAACAGTTTTCTATCTTATAGGTACATATAGAACTATGCGTATCTCGTGATACAATCATTTTACTGTTGAAGAAGTATATTATAACAATCGTGAGTAAAGCAAAATTGTTAAGGTTCAAAATTATGTAAAGTTTTTCGCAAAAAAAAGCAAGCATTTGACAGTTTCAATTCTTTATAGACATTTTCTTAAAATACAAAGTAAACGCTTTTTTGTTCATTATTACAATTATAAGATTTATTAAATTCTGCACACACATGCAAGAATGAATGTATATGATTACATACATTAGAAGATCACACTTCTAAATTGTTAGTTCTGTATTGCAGATATAAATACGCCTTTTAAGACCATTCTATATAAAATAAAATTTTTAATTCGTACCGTGTGTTGATGCACATGTTTTAAAGATTTAATTATAGCATTCAAGCAGAATACAAAATCTCGCTAGTGAATTGTTATATTTGTCATTTGTACTTTACAGATGCTCTTAGTGTCGAAGCGATCCTGTGCGCAGCGCATAAAGATGGAAAGGTTAGTACATTTCTATTTAATGTACAATAACCGGCAGTGAAAATATTGTAACGCAATTAAATGACTAGAATTTCATAGCAATATATATTCATTCTCAGTCACTACCGTGAAGCTATCACTGTGGTAAACTATTAATTCAACAATAATTTCTGTCTCCAGAAGATATCAATTTTATACTCTCTGTATAATAAAACTCTTTCACCCATTAATGAATGTAAGATTAGACTTAAACAGTTGCACTGATTATATTAATTTTACGAGTGATAGTAAAGGACTAATTTTATGTACATATGGATTCAAATATAATTTATCGGAAAGTTGCTTAGTACATAGCTATTAAAACAATTTCTTGCCAGAAATACTCTTATAGAGTTTAATCATACATTAGAAAAGAAGTGAAGACAATACCAATTTTAGTGATATAAATAATAATAGTTTTAGAACGCTTGCCTTTTTACGTTAATATACAGTACCCTCCAATTTTAGACAGAAGAAATTAGAATTTTCTCAGATTTTTTCTTGCGTTTGTGGCATGTCTCAAATTGAGAAGAAAGTTTTCCATTTTGTCCATTTTGTTTTCAAAAAACCCACATTACATTAGTAATTGGCGATTGACGATTAAAGATTAAATTTTGATGAATCAACGAGCTTCAAGCTTGGTTTGTTTTGTTCCAATCTTCAATTGTCGATCATCAATCGCTAATCTAAGTTGGCCTTTATAAAAACAAAATGGGCAAAATGGAAAATTTTCTCCTCAATTTAAGACATGCCACAAACGCAAGAAAAAGTTTGAGAAAATTTTAATTTCTTTCGTGTAAAAGATTGAAGTTTTCTATACAATTTACATTGTGAACAAATTTTTTTACAATTTTGTGTTTCTGTATTACTAAAAGTTAAAGTAAAATTAAGCATTTTGATTTCGGTTGCTCATGACATCATTAAACTTCAATGCACAGCAATACAGAAAGTGGATTCTTAAACTTGAAATTTCGCTCTATCAAATGACATAAATGCCGATCTCGTAAAGATAAATGCGAAACAGAATTATAATAAAATATCCATTTCAATATCTTTATTTTTACCTGTGTTTCCAAACTTATGGAGGTACTATATTACATTCATAAATTGTATGTAACAAAGATCAACTTCTCATAAGAAAAAATTTTATACAATTAAATGAGATTCAGAATATAATCAAGTTAACTTCCCCGATTAACACGATGTAACAAATACGAATCGCGATGTAATATATATTAGATGTTGAATGTGAATGGCGAATTTATAAGAGACGCAGCCATGGAAGCAATTGCGGATGGGTTCTCCGACCTGAGTGAAATACAAAAGGCACAAGCGTTGTATAAGAAATGTCATGATAAAGGTAAACAATTTTATTGTCGTTTTAGAGAATAATAATTTTTGCGATTGCCAAATACTGTTTTAATTGCAATGGATCAAAGCGGAGTCACCGGCTATGAGCAAGCGATAAAAATTGCTGAATGTTCTTTACCAATTGTTACAGCAATAGTTACCAATGTATAGAAAAAACAATTTGCAAAATTTTCTCTATTCTGTACACGCAACATGATATTTACTTTTTTCAAATTTTCTGTATACCTTACCAATGTATCGTGTTTGATTTTTCGCTCTACAATTGTAAAGCCAATTGTGTGATGATAATTTAACAAAATATAATTTACCTAAGCAAACGTTCGAAGAGGCAAAGGGTACAGCAGGATAAATTGAACAGAGGGGGAATTTGGATAATATTAAGCGTTTACAATTTCAGAAAAATATAATATATAGCATAAAAATATGAATATGTAGCATGCTAACCTCAAACATAAAACAGGGCGTCTGATATTTTTTTGAAATTGTCGCAAACGCTTAATATTATCCAAATTCCCCCGCTATTCAATTTACCCCTGTACCCTACCGAATTTCTATCCAAGTGGACAGACAATAATCATTTAAACAAGTGCGGCAAAATATCCTTGCTTCCGAATTGTCCTACACCCATAAAAGTAACTTCAAGCTACTAAAGTAACTTTACTACACGGAAAAAACAGTTCTGTTGGTGCCGATTTTCGGTTGCTCAGGGATCAGACGAAAACTCGGCTATAGGAATAGAAAAATTCCTTTATAAGGCTTTTGTATAGTCAATTGTTCTCAGTTGCCTCAACCGAGTTCTAATATCGTTGAATGTTCAGACGAATATTTTCAATTGCGACAACAGAAATAATTAGTTTTCATAACAGAGATATCGTTTCTGATCACCTAATTTTTAGTTGGTTCCTACTTGGTTGCACTGAAATTTTTTTGCGTGTAGCTACTAGCTAGTAAAGAAGCACTATGTAAGACTCGCGTTGAAAAGACGCTTGTCATATTAGTCGTTGACGAACAATCATTGATTGAATCGATTGAATAATATTTACTACGTTCAATTTTTAATCAAACAATCTTTAATTACTTTCACTCATGTCAATCATTAATTGAACGATCTTTAATCGAATCCATTCAATTCAGTTGTTAATTTTTCGCTTAAATTTACTACAAAGTATCAAATAAACGACCTTAAATCAGCGCATACTAATCGTCAGGTAAACACGATATTTAATTAATGAAGAAAAATTCAAGATGACAAATCCAATATGGCGGCTGAAAAAGTAAAAAAAACTGTTCTGTTGTTGAGAAGTATATTTTTAAAGATTTTGTAGATCATTGAATTCAAATTTATGATTGAATTTTTTAAATTCGGAAAATCCAAGCTCTATAAAATCGAGCTCTATAAAAAATAAAAAAATAAAAAATCAAAGTAGGATTCACGATATTGCCATTCGTGCGGACAGAAAAAGTTCGAAAAACACTCAGTCTCTTTATATGATCGTCAATATAACGTCGATTATTTGTAATATAAATTAATCTATTTAATAGATTCAGTCACTTTAACTTTATAATATAGATTCATAAGCATAAAGACATAAGCACAGACATAAATAAAGGAGGATAATGTTTAATTAGTTTAATGAAAATATCGCGTTCTAGGAACAAAATGAGTACTAAGTATTGCGCCATATGATCCATACGTGTCTCTTCTTTTTATCGCCATAATCTTGATCGTCTAACATCAACTTTATGGCCTTATGTGTTAATTTATGAGATTTTATAGCTTTGTAAACACTCTAATCATGATAAATTATACCTATTTCAGCAAAGTAAATACCCGTCATTTTAACTCACTTTTAAATGTAAAGTTGCAAATTCAATGTAAAACACTCTACGATAAAACTCTGTGGTACAATATTTGATAATTTCTTGAACATATCTCTAGCACTCAGAATGAAGACTTCGATAATTATAGTCCTGGCGGTTACAGTAAGTACGAAAGAATAAATAAATCTCTGCGAGTCCTTAAAAATTATTTTATCTTAATGAATAACTTACACGTCTTTACATGCATTTCATACTTAAACTGCATATAAATTCCGATATTTTGTACAATAATACTTGAAGAGTACAGCCACAGGGATAGTGTCAATATTATACTCTATTCAAAGCAAACTAACATCACAAAATTAAACATCTTATTTTTCTTAACTCCTAAAATCTAGTCCAAAAGTGTTATTTAAAGTCTTCTCTTGTTGTTTGTAAATATCCTTTATCTATAAAGTGTCATAATAGTAACTGTTCCTTAACGTTTTCATCTCATATTGAAGAATGCTCCGCTTTATTTTTGCACATACTTTCATCATGCAAAAGAGTTTTTAATTTAGTCCAAGCAGCACGAAATAGAGCATTTTTCATTCAGGGATGAAAACAATGTGGAACTATTGCTATTGTGACACTGATCCTTTTATAAAAATTACAGCGCACTGACTGTTCTAATTTATATGATTAACTTACGTGCCAAAATAAAGTAAAACATTATTCAGTACGTGAACAAAAATGATATCTCAAATTTTCATTGCAAATTATATAGAAAGCGTATTAAGTAACATATTCTTCAAAACAATATTCGCAAACTACACTTATGTATACAACACTCTTCTTTAAAAAAAATTTTTATTGCCATCTAGATTTCTTTTCCTCTTTGTTTCACACTGAGCAATGCTTCAATTTATTTTTGCACGTAGATTTACTATGCAAAATGGTATTTCATTCGATCCATCCAGTACGATGTAATTTTTGCAGAAACAGGTCAGCATAATAATGGCGCTAAATATTTATCGTTTTCGTCTCATACTAAGCAATGTTTCACTTTACTTTTGCACGTGCGTTCACTATGCGAAGGAATTTTCAATTTTCAATTCGTTCAGCCAGTGCGAGATAATTTTTGCAGATAGGAGTTTGCGCCATAGTGCTTGTAATATCTTATATTTTCGTCTCATACCAACTATTGTTTATGTGAAACGGCATAACTAGCATTTCATATCCATAATATGTATCCCTCCTGTAACATTTACGATGTATGTACTTAGAAACGATTTTGCGCAGTAAGAATACTTCCAATATTAAATTGCTATATTTAGGAGGAAGTTGATCACTTTTTCATATTTGTATCACATTTATAAAGGAAGCGTATGTATTATATATTGTAACAATCTTTTCAAACATCATTTATATACAACATTCATCCTTGCGAAAGTATTGATTTATTATGGTGCACCTTGTATACCAGCAGATTAGAAGAATTCGTCAGAAAATCGTTAAAGGCATAATTCGGAGAGAATATCGGCAGCGTTACATTCACATTTACGTATATTTTATGTGTAGGAAAGTTAAACTGGCAATGCAGCACACATATTTGCATAAATACATACAAAACATATGAAATGATAGCGATATCATGTCAACGCTTATTTGACGCGATCATCTTTATTCCATAAATTTATATATATACATAAATTCAATAACGTCGGTAAATAATGATAACGTTTTCTACTTTTTGACGATCGCTCTACGTTATCGACGCTTAGCGAGTTTGTCATCCAGCCTTAAACAGTAATGCATAACATAAAAAAGAATTAATTTTAATATTTTACCAATTAATTACTTTTTATAACCATATTTACTTATTTAATTTTTTCTATTGGAGACGAAAGATATTAAATTAAATTTACTACTCCTTGCAAAATAAAAATCCGGCTGAATTATGAACTGATAGATTTTTTGTATTTTATTATCATATCAGAGCGTCAAAGTACTTATATATTTGGGTGTGTCAATTCTTTCAGACAGTTGTTTACGGTATCAGTACCGATAGGTTTAATAAGATAAGAGATGACATGCTGAAATGTGCGGAGGAGCAGGCTTGGACAAGTGGTGAGTATTAACTTTAAAATGCCGAAAAGAGATACGATTCGAAAAATAAAATAAATATCATGATAAACATTCGAAAATGGGCTAGATTAATATTTAAGGTTCTGCCACCTCCGCGTAGAAAGTCAGAGTTGACGATGGCGGCTAACAGTGTCACACGAAATAAACAGAACACGAAATAATCGTGTCAGCATAGCTGATTGGCTGACACTAAAACTTGTGTTTTTCTTCTAGTAGATATTCCAAAGAATATTTTAATTTTTAATTTTTAATTATTTTATTTTAATTTTTAATTAAAAACCAAGTTGATTTATATATTTTTAATATGTTTAAAACTTGCTTAAACTTTGCTGTACCCATTATGTCCCGGGTTCCCCTATTCTTGATTCTAACTTGTGAAATAGTTTTCTTAGAAAGATAGCAATATGACGGTTGTGTGCAGAGCTGAATCGTTGTCCCACAACATTGTGTAAAATTGCCGAATCAAATAAATCAAAATTGTGTTTAATTCTTTATTGATGTCACTTTTAAAAGGTTATCTTAATTACTACGCATAAAAGATTTATCATATTCTGTAGCTGAGGCACACAATATACATAATTATGTATATTCTGGTGGTCGTACTTCTATACACTCAATTTTAGTGAAACACAAAACTCATCTGTTAACAGTATTTCATGAAAAAAAAAGTTCTTTACTCGAGCGAGATCGATGCCTGAGCTCTAAAGCTTTATGTACAGTATCCGAGAAGGATGGGAACTGTCACTATTAATTTGTCACATCTATTATTTATGCTTTATAGATATACCCAATTCCGAAGTGCTCATGTGCACGGCGCGTAAAGATGGCAAAGTACGTATATTTGGATTTAATGTTCGATAGCCGTTATAGTCTTAACACACAACATGATGAAATGACTAGAATTTTATAAGGATATTATAAGGATATATTTGTCGCTAAATATTACCACAAAGCCTGACAAATTACTGATTTACAATCATTTGTACACTAAAAAATAGCAATTACATACTTTTTTGAATAGCAAAGCTATTTCTTCCATTAGTACTTGTAAGATACTGTGAACATAAACAACTTAACTGATTCTATATACTTTAGGAGAAAAAGTAAAGGAATTATTTTATGTGTGCATGGATTCAATTATGCTTTCTCGAAAATTTACTTTTGCTTATATGTGATAGATTTCTATTAAAACAATTTCTTTACGAAAATACTGTTGTAAAGTATAGTCATATGAAAGAAAAGACTGACAATAATATCAATTTTAATGAAATAGACAACAATATTAATTTATTTAGAATTATTTAAATTATTTAAAATAAATAACAATATTAATTTTAGAATATTTGCTTTATACTAATCAATTATATTAATAAATTGTAAATAACAAAAATTAGTGTTTCACGAAAAAAACATTTCATTTAGTTAATTGAGACATTAATTTTAATTGAAAAAAACTATGAGATAAATTTCTGTGATTAACACGAAATCTTAAAAATCACGGTATAATATATATTAGATATTAAACACGAATGGCGAATTAATGAGGGACGCAGCTTTACAAGCAATTGAGGAAGCATTCCCCGACGTGAATACAAGAGAAATGGTGCAAGACATATATAAGAAGTGTCATGATAAAGGTAACAAATTTTACTATAGCTGTAGAGAATAATAATTTTTGCGATTAAAAAATTCTGTTTTAATTGCAGCGGATCAAAGCGGAATCACTGGCCATGAACAAGCGGTTAAAATTACCAGCTGCTCTATACCAGCTGCAATTTTCTTCCTAATATAATATTAGAAAAGGCTAATTGCAGATTAACCTATAAGTATACGCGATTCTCTATAAGTATACGCGAAAAACTTTCTTTTTATTTCTCTCTGACATATTCCTTATAACTCTAATAAATGGTACTTGACGTTACTCTCTTGAATTGTATATTTGGTATGGTTACTCAATAAAATGAGATTTAACTAAATAAACATTAGGTCATACTTACTGAATTCCTATCAAAATAAGCAGAAAATATTCTCCTGAACAAATATATATATATATATATATATATATATATATATATATATATATATATAGCAAGATATCATTGCTTCCCAATCGTTCTAAACTCATTAACAAATAATTTTTGCAAAATATTTAGTTACTTGCCCTATTTAGTTAAATCCGTCAATAAAAGTTTAATCCGAATGAAAAGATTATTTGTATTTCCTCGCGTATTGTTCATTCTATTCGTAATATGTGTGTGTATTGAAGAAAATTTATTCGTTGTCAACTATATTATTAATCGAAATATCTTCTGACGTTTTAATCCTCTTCGAAATATGTAGAACATTTTCCAATCTCAGCTCACTAATTATATAGTGATCATTTTGCCAGCTCATAATTATAGCCCAACTCGTCCACACGTATCCTTCCTTGAAAATTCGCAAATAAAAAGTTTAAGTGAAAAGATTATTTGCTTCCCACACGTAATGCTTATCTTATTCGTAATGTTGAAAAAATATTTGTTCATAATCAAGTATATTGTTTTATTAATTATTCATTTATTAATTTTATAAATTACATAATTTATTTATTACACAATTTTATTGTTAATCTTTTATTATTATTGCACGACTCTGTTTAATCTGCTTTGAAACGTGGTTCGCAGAATGTGTTTTACAGTCTTTGCTCATTTAGTTATATAACGTTATTTCGTAATGTAAACGATTGTACTACTCTCGTTTGCAATGACTAATACAGAAAACTTAAGCAAAAAGATTACCAGTTAGCGCTGTTTTTTATAAAAGTATATGACAGTGATTTATTTTTTTTATATGCCACCATTGTATTTACTATCAAGCGGAAAATCGCAGCAATTTCGCGCCATGAAAAAACTCGTTCTGAATAAAGATACATACAACTTACTTTTTTCGGACATTACATCACGCAAATAACTATAGCAAGAGAGATAATCATCCACCGATTATCTCTCAATTTACATAGCGCGATAACTATAAATTAATGGAAAATGCAGAACGTAAAAACTCACGTTGATTGAAAAGTACGTTAAATGCATTGCGACGGATCAATGAGTAAAGGTTACCTTCGCGATTCGATTCTTGATCAAGTATTAAATCTGTATCTGTATCATCACGACAAATCTCAAATTAGTGTTTCTTCAAGATGTTACTTCACGAAAAAAAATGATTTGTTGACATGACAAGTTTGTATACTATTATATATAAGAATGTTACTATGTAAGTATGTTACTATAAGAAAACCTGTCAGTTACTATATATGTGTATGGGTGTGAAAAAAATTTAATAATAATACTAATTTAATTTAGTAATAATTGAAAAGAATAATTTAATTTCATAATAATATTTGTTGTATTGGCTAGATATATTTCTATATCTATATAAATTATTTTGCTGTAATAACGAGTTATATATAGTTCGTGTTCAGTCATTAGATCGTTTTTGCGACATTAATAATGAAATTTGGTTATATGATCAATATATGCTTGCGATGTTAGAGAGACTTTTTTGTTGAAGAAATAATTCAGCTCAACTGCATCAGTTGAGTAAATATATTTAAATTAGAGATTTTAAATTAAAAATACCTAAATAAAAGACAAGTTAATGAAATTGCCTCTTAATAAGATTTGTATTGGTGTTTATTTACTTTTCAAATAAAAGAATAAAATATCTTTTTTCTCGTCGTCGTTACGAATATCAAGCAATAACCACGGCTTTACAACAACAGCGCAATTATGTTCGTCAGTGTAACACTGAAGCCGAATTCCATTGGAAACAGTAGTGCACACTAAGGCCGTTTCATAGGCTGTTCTTATATTTAGAATTGTCTTAAATTCGCCTCCGAATGTTCCGTAATTAATGTAACAATTTGTATAGCATCTGAAGATAAATGAATTGATCACTCTAATAAGTCAGCTCTGTTATCTCTGTTGTTTTAGCACAGTTAAGTGTTCAGACAAAGGGGAGGGATTGGAAAAGAAGGTTATGGCTGTTCGATAGATTAGTGTGGACAGTGATGAAGTATGGTGCGGAGATTTGGGGATGGAGAGAGAGAGAGGAGTTGGAGAGAGTGCAAGAAAGATTTGTGAAGTGGACAATAGGAGTGAAGAGAAGAACGCCGGGGTACATGATAAAGGTGGAGGTGGGAAGGGAGAAGATGAGAGGGAGGACAGGGAAAAGGGCTTGGAATTTTGAGAGGAAACTGGAGAAGGGAGGAGAAGAGGTAATGATAAGGAGATGTTGGGAGGAAATGAGGGAGAGGTGGAAAAAAAGCAAGATAGTGGGGGGCTGCGAGAAAGAAAGGAAATTGTTTATGGAAGAGAGAGAATGGAGAGTAGGGGAAGAGGAGGAGAAGAGATATGAGAAGTTGGAGGAGAGAAAGAGAAAGATGCAAAAGAGAGAGAGATGGGAAAAGATTAGGGGGTCAAGGAACAATAAATGGTATCAATTTGTGAAAAGAGAAGGGATAGCGGAATACTTGAAAAAGGAGTGGGCAGAAGAAAGGTGGACGAGAGTGATCAGGTTTAGAATGGGGAATGTGATGAGGGAGGGTATGTATTGAGAGGTGGAGGAGAAGAGGAAATGTGAGGAGAAGAGAATATGTGAGAGTGAAGTAGAACAAAAAAGTTAGGAACATGTGTGGGAGAGATGTATGAGGGGTGATGGGAAGGGAAGAAGTGGGAGGCTGTGGGGGAGATATTGGGGGAGAAAGGAGAAAGGAAGGAGTGGATAAAAAGGTTAGAAGTGTGGAGAGGGGCGAAGGGGAGGGGTTGAGTGAATGAGTGAATGGGAGAGAAAGAGAGAGTGAGAGAAAGAGAAAGAGGAGAGATGGAAGCGGAGGTCCACCCGGAGGTTAAACTAGATTAAATTAGCTTAAGTTAGATATGTAAGTTAGGTATAAGTTAGTTGTAAGAATTAGTTGTAAGTTTAGATAGGATTTTTTTGCAAATCTTATAAACTCGATAAAAATATCGTACACGAAAGAAACAACTCCGTTAGTGCAATTGAAATTTTTGCTATCTGGTAACCAGATGAAAAACTCGGTAGTAGAAACAGAAACATTCTTGCAAAAGATTTTTGGTCAGCCATTTGCTTTCAATTATCTCAACCGTTTTAATGCAGCTGAATGTCCAGACGAATGTCTTTAGTCACAGTAACGGAAATCTTATTTCTCGTCAACAAAACTTTTCATCTGGTTTCCCCCACTCAGTTACAAGAACAAAATTTTTTCCATGTATTTGTTCAAATCATAGATTTAGTTTATAAAAGAAGATTTTAAGTTTATATTTGCAACAAAAATTCAATCAGCACTTAAATAATAATACAATAATTTTCTTCTCTGTTTTTATTATCCTTTATTTATGTAATTTACACTGGGAAAGATTGTGCTACTATAGACGGCAATGGGAGAAAGTATAACAATTTGTAAAGAAATTAGCTACTTCTTGCAAATGAAAATTCCGTCAGAATTTCAAACGCTGGATAACGATATTGAACACGATTCTTAAGTAAAAATAAAACAATTCTTATGCGTTTTAATAGAATTAATTCTTTCAGATGGTTGCTCACATTTACAGTTACAAACGCTCTCTACTATTCCAGGAGAATCTTATTGAATGTAGCAAAAAGTTAAGTGAAAAAATCATATTTTATGAGTATTAAAATTCACTGCACCCAAAGAAGTGTCACAAAAAGTTATAAAATTAGGAACAATATAATTCAATACAATTAAATAAATATAATCCAAATTAGGAAACACGGAATATTAAAATTTATTCCCAAGTAGCACTCTTGGAAAAGCTAGCACGCTAGCAAACACTTCAGACAAACATCCATAAAAAAATTTGATAACAGAGACTCGACCTCTATTTCCGTTGTAATACATATTGAACGCAGAAACTTATATCTGAAATCGTTACCGTTCTCGCAAGAAAACGTTAGAACTTATGCAAACAAAAAGCAATTTATGCAATGCAATTAACTATTTGATTTGTTAATCGTTCTATTAAATCATACTATTAAATAATTTCTGATTCAGACAAAAGATTTATTAATAGAAAAACTTACACTGAGAAAAATTACAGGCTCATAAGACGGTTGTCCGACTGATTCGAGTGAGAGTTAGCATTCCAAAAAAATCTCTAAATAGCTTATAAATCACGCAACTCTTTGATAGAAGACACTAGACGACTAGAACTCCTGGTACCTATACTTTCCTTTTCGTGTATACGAAATAAGGATGACTATTTTGGGGATTATTGTGAATTTACTGGCCATTCTAGTAAGTGATAATCAACACACGCAAAAGTAAAGTTCTTTGCAAATATTATGAACTTGATAAAAATATCGTATACAAAAGAAACAACTCCGTTAGTGCAATTGAAATTTTGTTATCTGAGGAGCAGATGAAAAATTCGGTAGTAGGAACAAAAAGATTCTTGTAAAAGATTTCTGCTCAGCCATTTGCTCTTAGTTATCTTTACCGAGTTTTAATACAGCTATATGTCCAGACAAATTTCTTTAGTCACAGTAACGGAAATCTTATTTCTTGTCAACAAACTTTTCGTTTAGTTCCTCCCACTCAGTTGCAAGAACGAAATTTTTTTCCATGTATTTTTTCAAAGCATGAATGTAGTTTATATTAGAAGATTTTAAGTTCGCATTTGCAATACAACATCCAAAAAAAAGTATTCTACGTACAAAAGAAATTTTTCTTTTAGAACTACATGTTCTAAAAGAAATATCAAAAAGCATATTCATCTTTCATTAAAGGGAACCACTCATCGTGCATTTATGAGATATTATTCCTCTATATTGTGTTCCTCTATATCAAGAGGAACATGTTAATTTGAAGCACAATACTGTCTTACGTGCAGTACGAGAGACGCGAAGAATTGTTGTTTCGCTGTCGTGTACGATTGGTTGAAACCAAGCGCCAAGCTTAGAGCTTCCACCTTCAATTCTCTGTCGACGTTTCAATCAAATCGACGTTTAAATCGTCAAACCGATATCAGTTTAATATCATTTTAACGTTAATCAAAGAATCATTTTTCACTGGGTATATAGATGTCACAAACATGAAGTCTTAAATAGCTCAGAAGGAAGAGCGGTTGCCTGACAAGTAGGAAGAACCTGGGTTCGATCCCAGTCTGATGTTTTTCATTTCATATGGCATTAAAAGTGGACATCTACAGATACACACAAGCACCCCGGTCAAAGTTTTCTGATTTTCTTTCGTGTGGATATGATAAAATTTATTAAATCTAAAGAAATATTTTTGAGTTGAAGAGAAATAAATATATAAAAGAGAATATATAAGAGAAAATTTAGATTAAGAATAAACAGATTTGCACTCAATATGAAATTCCTCTATCTTTAAAAATTGTGTTTAAGATTATTTTTCAAAGCAATCCTCTTGAGGCTATATATAAGAATAAAATCCTCTAAGATTTAGAGAATTCCACTTCTATAAAAACTATTTTTTTGGGGTGAACCAAATTCAATCCGCACTTAAATAATAATTCAATGATTTTCCTCTCTTTTCGGCTGTTCGTATTTATTTATATTGTAAGAGGTTGAGCTACTATAGACGGAGATGGGAGAAAGTATAACAACTTGTAATGAAATTAGTTACTTCTTGCAAATGAAAAGTTCGCCATAGTTTCAAACACTGGATATCGATATTGTACACAATTTTTAATTAAAGATAAAACAATTATTGTACGTTTTCGTACAATCAATTCTTTCAGGTGATTGATCACGCTTACGATCTCAAGCGTGCTGAACGATTATTTGAAAACATTAGAAACTGCAACGAAAACAAAACATCACGTGAGTATTAAAATTTATTGCACCCAAAGAAGTGTCAGAAAAAGTTGTAAAATTATAAACAATAAAGTTCAATGCAATCAAATAAATACAGTCTGAGTTAGGGAATACGGAGTATTAAAATTTATTCTAAAGCAAGACACTAGGAAACATTCGAGACGAACATCTATAAAAAAACATGATAATAGAGACTCGACCTCTATTTATGTTGTAATACATATGGAACGCAAAAATTTATTTTTGAAATCGTCACCGTTCTTGCAAAGAAGCGTGAGAACTTGAGCTAACAAAAAGTAACTTATGCAATGCAATTAATTATTTGACTTGTTAATCGTTCTATTAAATCATACTATTAAATAAATTCTAGTTTAGTCAAAAGATTTATTAATACAGAAAGATTTATTAACAGAAAAATGTATACTGAAAAAAATTATAAGCGCTTTCTCACCCGACGGTTCTCCTTGATAGATATTCATGAGTTTATAAAATAAAAATATAATCTTGCATAACAAAATAATAATCTTGTTAGCAATTACTTCATAATTGGACAAACAGAATTATCCTAACTTTGCTTCTTTATTTTCTGAAGCGTATACTTACTTATTTCTGCATTGTAAACAATACCTCGTGTCTGTTTCGTAGTTGTTTCGTATTCCGAGTAAACAAACTATCTTTACCAATATATCCAATTGATTCGCGTTGAGTAAAAGCTAGCATTCCAAAAGAAAATCTCTAAAATGCGTTATTAATTAATTCTTGCGTTCCAGCGACAATGAATACCGAAATACTTCTGTGCATATTGACGAAAGACGGCCAAGTACGTATATTTAATGTAAAAAGCGAGATGCTACTTATACTTTGCAGATTGCAATTAAAATAATCATTCTGTCAATAACTAATAACAATACTGCAAGAAAGTTTATCATATGATATAAAACTAATTTAACTGAAGTATATAACACAATATCAACATTAGGACGTACAATTTAGTAATAATTAATTAATATATTCTAAGGAAAAAATATCATCTCTATATTGAAATTTATCATTTTATATAAGAAAACGAAGCATACGAAGTAATCGGACTCATCCGTTTCAGATTATTGACCATGACAGCATCGTACCAAGAGAAATGCATAAATTTATAATGGAGATCACCTCCAATAAACAATTAGCAGAGTCTTCACAGAATTTATACGACGCTTGCTCCTCGAATGGTACTCGATTTTTTCTATACATGCGTATATGTGTGTCTTATAATGAAATTAAAATACTTTTAAAAGGAAAATAATATTCTTCAAAATGAATTCTTTCATTTCAAACATTCAGTTTACATTTAATGATTTGTTTTCTAGCTAGATATCTGAATTATACGTCCAAGGCTAAAATGAGGTTTATTATTGAGTGCTCCCTACCGATTGTATCTAATGCCTTCACGATACGATGAAATGGATAATTTCGCTTTATACAATATACAAAATCTCTCTTCATTCTTCATCGGATCCATAAAACTTTTTCTAATACTGTTTCAACTATTTATCTAATTATATATTCATATATACATATTATCTATAACAAATTAGTGCCACGACCATACAATTCAACAGTGTTTCTGTAATAATTCTGTAATAATAAAATGTAGTTCAATAAAATATGGTTGTTCTACAAAAATATATTTTATTCTTAGTGCGTCTTTTACTGCGCTAGGTTTGCGCGTTAATTTAGTTTTTTCACGGGATAATACTCGAGTAATGTGATATTGAAGAGAATATATAATTCATTTAATTTAAATATTATATTAATGCTGGAGCACACAATTTATAAGACGGCTTGCTTGAGTCACTTTGTACTATTTGTGGAATTCCACTTAAACACGAAAATGAACACTTTTCCCGAACATCAGGTAAATTAACGAAACGCAAGAGAATAACACAACGTTTCGTGCAATTGAAATTTCTCTAATATTTTTGTAATGTCTTGCTGTAACATCTTCTGAAGCGATTGCGTTGTTAAAATAAATCATGCATGATGAAAGAAATAGAACATTTACATATATTTAATATTAATATTATATAAATATTTTATATCAAGAAAGTGTAGAGAATATATGTAATAAACGAATAATAAAGAATAAAGTATCTTTTGCCGTCATCTTACGAATATCAAGCAGAAACCACGGTTTTATAACAAAAGCGCAATTATATTCGTCCGTGTAACATGCCGAATTCCTTTCGTGCACACTAAGGCCGTTTCGTAGTTTATTCTTAAAATTTGTACCTTGTATTTAAAATTGTCTTAAATTCGCCTCGGAATTAATGTAACAATTCCGTAATTAATGTAACAATTTGTATAGCATCTGAAGATAAATGAATTTATCTCTCTAATAAGTTAACTCCCAGTTATTTCAATTGTTTTAACACGACTAAGTGTTCAGACATACGTTTTTGACTATGGTGACAGAGGTATTATTTCTCATCAGCAAGTTTTCCATCTGATCTCCGTTCTGTTAAATGAACTAAAATTCTTTTTTTGAGGAATGTGGCTCTCTCGGTCGGCGGACGAGGCAGCATCCACTTGATCCGACAATCCCACACATCGCTCCGAAATCCGCGAAGCGAATTCTCTTAGTTTATGTTACGTCCGACGTAACTTTTCTTTATTTCGAATCAATTTAGCACCTGGAACACGTCTTAGATGGTCAATGAACAACTGACTGATGATAAGGTGTCAAAATTTAATTATTGATTATTTCTCACATGTCGAAACGATGAGAAGAATCTTTCCCTTTTACTAAAAAGGTGGCGAGAACTTGCGCGGGGGTACTTCACCACCTGCCTATAAAAGCGATTGCAACTACCGATAGAAAGTTTTTAGTTTAGTCATATTTTAAAGTTCATTGCTGTTCATAAGCTCAGCTCATAATTTTAGCTCATTTTCTTAAACATACATTTTAAGCTTCGTACATCTCATTTTTAAGTTCAAGTTCATTATGAAAATACAACTATTTTGAGAATACAAGTTCAATTCACAATTACAATTAAACACAATTCAGCACAATTATAGAACAATTATGAATAATTCAAATTCGAATTTAAACGTTCAAACTTAAGTGAAAAATTATTCGTAAGTAATTGCATTGATTAAAAGATTTGTTTTCCTAATAGACAACCTGGCTGATTTATAATTCTTTAGCGTCATGTTACACCTTATGCTCGTATTCCTTCCATCCATGAACCTCTAGAGTCCGATCTGAGGCTTCTCAGTCTTTCACTGACTTTCATAAAGAGAGCATTTAGAATATATTTTTAAAATCATGAAAGGAAAAACGAAACGTAAGTAAACCTAATTTTTCTAAATTTACATATACACATATATTTACACATTTACAGTCACACAAACTAGTCCATCCCGGAGTAAATTGGTTAGATCAATTGACCCAAAAAGGACAAATTAAACACATTATATCAACTAGGACGTGACATTTATTGTTATAGGTGAATGAGGTAGTATATAGGGGGGAGATCAGGAGCAGGAGTCTGAATAGTTCAGCGGTTAAGGTTCAGTTCCATAATCACCAGTTAAATTAACTGACTGGTTATTCCATTGAATTTGACCCATCGTATTTGAGATTAAGAAGAGTTAATTAGAATTAACCAATCACTATTGGGACATAACCGGTAGTTAAAATTAAACGGATGTTTGTAGAACTTACTCTAAGAGCACCTGAAAAACAAAAAGGGGTTTGATTCTCTAGTTCCTATAATATCAGCACCACATTTTAGTATGTCATCTAAGTTAAGAATAACTAGTACAGTAAACTAGATAGTGCGCATGCTTATAACAGTGAGTCGCCTATAAATTACGCAACTCTTCGACAGAAAACAATATGCGACTAAAATTCCTGGCACTATACTTTCTTCCTCGTGTATATAAAAAAAGGATGAAAACCTTGGAGATTATTGGGTGTTTACTGGCCATCATAGTAAGTGGTAATCAACAAGTGAATTTTTTTGCAAATCTTATAAAATATCTCAATAAAAATATCGTATACAAAAGAAACAACTCCATTAGGTCAATTGAAATTTTTGTTATCTGGAAAGCAGATGGAAAACACTGTAGTAGTAACAGAAAGATTCTTGTAAACTATTTTTGCTCAGCCATTTGCTCTCAGTTATCTCAACTGAGTTTTGTTGCAGCTAAATGTCCAGACGAATGTCTCTAGCCACAGTAACGGAAATCTTATTTCTCGTCATTGAATTTTTCGCCTGGTTTCTCCCACTCAGTTACAAAAACGAAATTTTCTTCCATTTTGTTCAAATCATGGATTTAATTTATAAAAGAAAAGTTTAAGTTCGTATTTGCAATATAACAAAAATTCAATCCGTACTTAAATAATAATTCAATGATTTCCCTCTCTTTTTGACTGTTCGTATTTATATAATTTACACTGTAAGAGATTGTGTTACTATTGACGGGAATGGGAGAAAGTATAACAGCTTGTAATGAAATTAGCTACTTCTTGCAAATAAAAAGTTCGTCAGAGTTTCCAACGCGGGACATCGATATTGCACACAATTTTTAATAGAAGATAAAACAATTATTGTACGTTTTGGTACGATCAATTTTTTCAGGTGGTTGGTCACGCTTACGATTTCAAGCGTGCTGTACAATTCAAAAAATACCTTGACGAATGCAGTAAAGAACTAAAGGAAATACTCATATTTCGTGAGTATTAAAATTTATTGCACCTAAAGAAGTGTCATAAAAAGTGGTATAATTATAAACAATAAATTTCAATGCAATCAAATAAATATAGTCCGAGTTAGGGAACACGGAGCATTAAAATTTATTCCAAAGCAGGATGCTAAGAAACTCCGAGACGAGCATCTAAAAACATGATAATAGAGACTCAACCTCTATTTACGTGGTAATACATATGGAACGCAAAAATTTATTTCTGAAGTCGTCACCGTTCTCGTAAAGAAGCGTGAGAACTTGAGCAAACAAAAAGCAATTTATGCAATGCAATTAACTTTGACTTGTTAATCGTTCTATTAAATCATACTATTAAATAATTTCTAGTTCAGACAAAATATTTATTAATTACAAAAAGATTTATTAACGGAAAAATTTGTACTGAAAAAAATTATAGGCGCCTCTCTCACCCGACAGTTCTTCTTGATATTCATGAGTTTACAAAATAAACATATAGTCTTGCATAACAAAATAATAATCTTGTTAGCAATTACTTTATAATTAGACAAACAGAATCAGAATTGTTCTAACTTTGCTTCTTTATTTTCTGAATACTTACTTACTTCTGTATTGTAAACAATATCTCGTGTCTGTTTCGTAGATGCTTGATAGTTTCGTATTCCGAGTAAATAAAACAAGGATATCCTTACCAATATATCCAATTGATTCGTGTTGAGGAAGAGCTGGCATTCCAAAAGAAAATCTCTAAATTGCGTTATTAATTAATTCTTGCGTTCCAGACGACGTCAGTAACAAATTGTTCCTGTGCACATTGACGAAGGACGGCCGAGTACGTATATTTGTATTTAATGTAAAAAGTAAGATGCTACTTATACTTTGCAGATTGCAATTAAAATAATCGTCCCATTAATAAATAAAAACAATACTGCGAGAAAGTTTATCATATGATATAAAACTGATTTAAATAAAGCATACAACACAATATCAACATTAGCACGCACAATTTAGTAATAATTAATATATTCTAAGGAAAGAATATCATTTCTATATTGAAATTTATAATTTTACATAATAAAACGATGCATACTAAGTAATCGGGCTCATCCGTTTCAGATTATATACTATGGTCACATCATACCAGATGAAATGCGTAAATTTATAATGGACGTCACCCCCGATAAAGACATAGCACAGGTTTCACAGAATTTATACGACATTTGCTCCGCGAATGGTATTCGATTTTTTCTATGCATGCGTATGTGTGTGTGTCTTATAATGAAATTAAAATAGTACTAAAAGGAAAATAATATTCTTTAAAATGAATTCCTTTATTTCAAACATTCAGTTCACATTTAATAATTTGTTTTCTAGCTGAAGCTCTGGATTATATGACCAGGGCTAGAATCACGTATATTATTGAATGTTCCTTACCGATTGTATCTAATGCCTTCATGATACGATGGAATGAATAATTTCGCTTTATACAATATACAAAATCTCTCTTCATTCTTCATCGGATATTCTATAAAACTTTTTCTAATACTGTTTCAAATATTTATCTAATTATATATTCACATATAGATATTATCTATGACAAACTAGTGCCACGACTATACAATTCAACAGTGTTGCTGTAATAATTCTGTAATAATAAAATGTAGTTCAATAAAATATGGTTGTTCCACAAAAATATATTTTATTCCTAGTGCGTCTTTTATGTCAGATTTGCGCGTTAATTTAGTTTTTTCATGAAATAATACTCGAGTAATGGAATTGAAGGCATAATATTATATATAATTCTCATATAATTTAAATATTAATGCTAGAGCACATAATTTATAAGATGGCTTGCTTGCGTCACTTTGTACTATTTGTGGAATTCTACTTAAACACGAAAATAAACACTCTTTCCGAACATCAGATAAATTAATGAAACACAAAAAAATAACACAATGGTTCGCGCAATTAAAATTTCTCTAATATTTTTGTAATGCCTTGCTGTAACATCTTCTAACGCGATTGCGTGGTTAAAATACTTGAATCGTGCATGACGAAAGAAATAGTACCGTTTACATAAATAATTTATATCAAGGAAATATGGAGAATACATGTAATAAACATTAAAAATATCTACAAGAAATAAAAGGTATTACAAAATATCAAAAATAAGAAACATAAGAAACATAAAAAGTTGTAAAAGAAATATCTATCTGTAAACACAAAGTTAACCGTTTTCCTGTTATTTCACTCATTTCATCAAAATTCAAAAATATATTAATATTAAAAATTATTCCGTTAGTTATGTAATTACAAAAAATAATCTAGATACAACCGGACATACTTCGATATTGTTTACGAAAGGAAAGAGTTACGAAGGAAAAAAGATAAAATTTTAATGCAGATGCATGAGTATATCCTTGAGGTGCTACTTTCGTTTTACAGATTGTAATCAAAATAGTTGTTTCGCGAAACTATTAAACATTTAATCATATAATGTGAAAAGAGTTAATTACAATTTTATGGGATACATTCAAAAATATTGATTTTTAAATGTTACTTAATAACATCTTGTTAGCACAAGATTTGCAGAAAAATATACAATTTTATACAAAGAGACTCTTTTTCTAATGTAATGATAGATACAAAATAATATGCCGGCTTGTAATTATAAATTGCTTATAAATACGCGGTTTACTTATAATGTAAGACACAAATAAAACATGTAGCAATCGAATATGTTAGCAGTGCTAGCTCTACAAAAACGATCCAGACGATAAAGACTTTCGTGGTCATTGTATGTGTACTGGTTATTACGGTAAGTGACATGCAACGATAATAATTGAAATAATTAATTATTATAATTAAGAGTTAATTAGAATTAACCAATCACTATTGGGACATAACCGGTAGTTAAAATTGAATGGATGTTTGTTGTACTTACTCTAAGAGCAGTCACCTGGAAAACAAAAGGGGATACGATTCCCGCTCTAGTTCCTATAATATCAGCATCACATTTCAATATGTCATCTAAGTTAAGAATAACTAGTATAGTAAATTCGATAATGCGCATGCTTATAACAGTAAGACTCCTATAAATTACACAATTCTTCGACAGAAGACACTATACCACTAAAACTTCTGGCATCTATACTTTCTTCCTCGCGTATAGGAAAAAAGGATGAAGACCTTGGAGATTATTGTGTGTTTACTGGCCATTATAGTAAGTGGTAATCAACAAGTGAATTTTTTTGCAAGTCTTATGAACTCGATAAAAATATCATACAAGAAAGAAACAACTCCGTTAGTGCAAATGAATTTTATGTTACCTAGGAACTAGATAAAAAAACTTGGTAGAAACGTAGTTCCTTAGTAGTAGAAAGATTCTTGTAAAAGATTTTTGCTCAGCCATTTGCTCTCAGTTATCTCAACCGAAATTTATTGCAACTAAATTTCCAGACGAATGTCTCTAGTCACAGTAACGGAAATTTTATTTCTTGTCATTGAACTTTCCGCCTGGTTGCCCCCACTCAGTTACAAGAACGAAATATTTTTTCCATGTATTTGTTCAAATCATGTGTTTAATTTATATAAGTAGAGTTTAAGTTTGCAATATAACAAAAATTCAATCCGTACTTAAATAATAATTCAATGATTTCCCTCTCTTTTTGACTGTTCGTATTTACGTAATTTACACTGTAAGAGGTGACGTTACTATTGACGGGAATGGGAGAAAGTATAACAGCTTGTAGTGAAATTAGCTACATCTTGCAAATGAAAAGTTCGCCAAAGTTTCTAACGCTTGACATCAATATTGCACACAATTTTTAATTGAAGATAAAACAATTATTGTACGTTTTGGTACGATCAATTCTTTCAGGTGATTGGTCACGCTTACAATTCCTACCGTGCTATACAATTCAAAAAGTACCTTGATGAATGCAGTGAAGAACTAAAGGAAACACTCACACTTCGTTAGTATTAAAATTTATTGCACCTAAAGAAATGTCATAAAAAATAGTATAATTATAAACAATAAATTTCAATGCAATCAAATAAATATAGTCCGAGTTAGGGAACCCGGAGTATTAAATTTATTCCAAAGCAGGACGCTAAGAAACTTCGAGACGAGCATCTAAATACATGATAATAGAGACTCAAGCTCTATTTACGTTGTAATACATATTGAACGCGGAAACTTATATCTGGAATCGTTACCGTTCTCGCAAAAAAGCATAAGAACTTAAGCTAATAAAAAGCAATTTATGCAATGCAATGAACTATTTGACATGTTCATTGTTCTATTAAATCGTATTATTAAATAATTTCTAGTTCAGTCAAAACATATATTAATATAGAAAGATTTATTATTAGAAAAATTTATACTGAAAAAATTACAGGCGCTCTATCACCTGACGGTTGTTTTTTATAAATATTCATATGAGTTTACAAAACAAAAATATAATTTTGCATAACAAAATAATAATTTTATTAGCAATTACTTTTTAATTAGACAAACAAAACCAGAATTGTTCTAACTTTGCTTCTCTATTATATGAAGTTACTTACGTCCTATATTGTAAATAATATTTCATATCTGCTTTGTAATTGCTCAATAGTTTTGTGTTTCGAGTAAACAAAATAAGTACATCCTTATCAATACATCGGATTGATTTGCGTAAGAGCTAGCATTACAAAAGAAAATCTCTAATTGTGTGCGTTATTAATTAATTCTTGCGTTTCAGCGATTCTCAGTGCCGGAATGTTTGTTTGCGCCTTGCAGAAGGACGGCCAAGTACGTATATTTGTATTTAATGTAAAAAGTGAGATGCTACTTACACTTTGCAGATTATAATTAAAATAATCGCCCTATCAATAACCAATAACAATACTATGAAAAAATTTATTATACAATATAAAACTAATTTAGCTAAAGTATACATCACAATATCAATATTAAGGGCACAATTTAATAATAATTAATTATTATATTCTAAAGAAAGAAGATCATCTATATATTGACAGTTATCATTTTGCATACTCTTCGAAGTATGTTTTAATAAAACGAGGCCTATGAAATAGATATTTCAGGTTTTTGACGATGAAAGCGTGATCAAATTAGGTGCAATGCATAAATTTATGACAGACGTCATCCCCAATGTAAGCAATATAGAATCTTCATGGATTGAATTCAACATTTGCAACAAGAGAGGTACTCAATTATTTCTATGCATGCCTATATGTATACGTGTGTGTTATAATGAAACTAAAATACTATTAGGAGAATAATAATATTCTTCAAAATGAATTCTTTCATATCAAATATTCAATTTTCATTTAATAATTTGTTTCCTAGCTGACTCTCTGGAGTATCCTTACAACATTCGAATATTATATATTTTTACCTGCATCGGACCGATTGTGTCTACCTTTAAGCTAGATGTGGATTAATAATTTCGCTTTATACAATATACAAACTCTGTTTTCATTCTTTATCTGATATTCTGTAAAACTTTCTCTATTACTGTTTCAACTATTTATATAACTTTATTATCTATAACAAATTAGTGCCATGATCATACAATTCAACAGTGTTTCTGTAATAATTGTATAAAATGTGGTTCAATAAAATATAGTTGTTCTATAAAAATGTATTTTGTTCCTAGCTTGTTTTCGCAGGATAATACTCGAGTAATGGGATTAAAGATAATATTATACATAATTCTCATTTAATGTAAATATTATATTAATGCTAGGGCATAAAATTGATAAGATGGCTCGCTTGAGTCACTTTGTACTATTTGTGGAATTAACTTAAACACTTAAACACTTAAACACGAAAATAAACACTCTTTCCGAACATCAGGTAAATTAAGGAAACAATAACACAACGGTTCGCGCAATTCAAATTTCTTTAATATTTTTCCACTGTCTTGCTGTAACAACATCTTCTAACGCAATTGCGTGGTTAAAATATCTGAATCGTGTATGACAAAAGGAATAGCACCGTTTACATAATTAATTTATATCAAAAAAATATAGAGAATATATGTAATAATCATAAGAAATATATACATATAATAAGAATAAGAAATATTAAAAAATATAAAAAATAAGAAACATAAGAAACATAAAAAGTATAAGAAACATAAAAAGTATAAGAAACATAAGAAACATAAAAAGTATAAGAAACATAAGAAACATAAAAAGTAAAAGAGACATCTATCTGCAAAAACGAGGTTAACCGTTTTCCTGTTCTTTTACTCATTTCATCAAAATTCAAATATATATTAATATTAAAAATTATTCCGTTAGTTATGTGATAACAAAAAATAATCTAGATACAACCGGACATACTTCGATATTGTTTACGAAAGGAAAGAGTTGCGAAGGAAAAAAGATAAAATTTTAATGCAGATGCATGCGTACATCCTTGAGGTGCTACTTTCGCTTTACAGATTGTATTCAAAGTAGTTGTTTCGCGAAACTATTAAACATTTAATCATATAATATGAAAAGAATTAATCACAATTTTATGGGACACATACAAAAATATTGATTTTTAAATATAACTTAATAACATCTTATGAGCAAAAGATTTGCAGAAAAATATATTTTTTACAAAGAGACCGTTTTCTAATATAATATTAGATACAAAATAATACGCTGGCTTGTATAAATATAAATCACTTATAAATACACGGTTTACTTATGATGCGAGATATAAATAAAATATGTGGCAATCGAATTTGTTAGCAGTGCTCTACAAAAACGATCCAGATGATAAAGACTCGTAGTCATTGTATGTATCCTGGCTATTACGGTAGGTGATACGCAACTATTAAATTAATTAATTATTATAATTAAGAGATAATTAGTATTAACCAATCATTATTGGGACATGACCGGTAGTTAAAATTAACGGATGTTTGTTATACTTACTCTAAGAGCAGTCATCTGGAAAACAAAAGGGGATACGATTCCCGCTCTAGTTCCTATAACATCAGCATCATATTTCAATATGTCATCTAAGTTATGAATAACTAGTATAATATATTAGATAATGCGCATGCTTATAACAGTGAGTCTCCTATAAATTACGCAATTCTTCGACAGAAGACACTATACCACTAAAACTTCTGGCACCTATACTTTCTTCCTCGTGTATATGAAAAAAGGATGAAGACCTTGGAGATTATTGGGTGTTTACTGGCCATTATAGTAAGTGATAATCAGCAAGTGAATTTTTTTGCAAGTCTTATGAATTCAATGAAAATATCGTACAAAAAAGAAACAACTCCAGCGCAATTGAATTTTATGTTACCTGAAAACCATATAAAAAAACTTGGTAATATGAACATAAAGATGCTTGTAAAAGATTTTTGCTCAGTCATTTGCACTCATTTATTTCAACCAAGTTTTGTTGCATCTATTTTTCTAGAAGAATGTCTCTAGTCACAGTAACGGAAATCTTATTTCTCGTCATTAAACTTTTCGCCCGGTTCCCCCCACTCAGTTACAAGAACGAAATTTTTTTCCATGTATTTGTTCAAATCATGTATTTAGTTTATAAAAGAAGAGTTTTAGTTTGTACTTGCAATACAACAAAAATTCAATCCGCATTTAAATAATAATTCAATGATTATCCTCTCTTTTTGACTGTTCGTATTTATGTAATTTACACTGTAAGAGATTACGTTACTATTGACGGGAATGGGAGAAAATATGACAGCTTGTAGTGAAATTAGCTACTTCTTGCAAATGAAAAGTTTGCCAAAGTTTCCAACGCTGAACATCAATATTGCACATAATTTTTAATTAAAGATAAAACAATTATTGTACGTTTTGGTAAGATCAATTCTTTTAGGTGGTTGGTCACGCTTACAATACCGACCGTGCTGTACAATTCAGAAGATACCTTGATGAATGCAGTGAAGAACTAGAGGAAACACTCACACTTCGTGAGTATTAAAATTTATTGCACCTAAAGAAATGTCATGAAAAATAGTATAATTATAAACAATAAATTTTAATGCAATCAAATAAATATAGTCCGAGTTAGGGGACCCCGAGTATTAAATTTATTCCAAAGCAGGACGCTAAGAAACTAACATCTATAACATCTATCTTCGAAACTAACATCTATAAAAAAACATGAAAATAGAGACTCAACCTCTATTTACGTTGTAATACATATTGAACGCAGAAATTGATATCTGGAATCGTTACCGTTCTCGCAAAAAAGCGTAAGAGCTTAAGCTCACGAAAAGCAATTTATCCAATGCAATTAACTATTTGACTTATTAATTGTTTTATTAAATCGTATTATTAAATAATTTCTAGTTCATTCAAAAGATATATTAATATAGAAAGATTTATTATCAGAAAAATTTATACTGAAAAAATTGCAGGCGCTCTCTCACCAGACGGTTGTTCTTTATAAATATTCATATAAGTTTACAAAACAAAAATATAATTTTGCATAATAATAATTGCAAAATAATAATCTTATTAGCAATTACTTTATAATTAGACAAACAGAACCAGAATTGTCCTAATTTTGCTTCCTTATTTAGTAAAGTTACTTATCGTTCTATATTGTAAATAATATTACATATCTGCTTCGTAATTGCTCGATAGTTTCGTGTTCCGAGTAAACAAAATAAGGACATCCTTATCAATACATCGGATTGCTTTGCGTAAGAGCTAGCATTACAAAAGAAAATCTCTAATTCTGTACGTTATTAATTAATTCTTGCGTTCCAGCGTTTCTCAGTGCCAAAATGTTTGTTTGCGCCTTGCAGAAGGACGGCCAAGTACGTATATTTGTATTTAATGTAAAAAGTGAGATGCTACTTATACTTTGCAGATTATAATTAAAATAATCGTCCCATCAATAACCAATAACAATACTATGAGAAAGTTTGTTATACAATATAAAAGTAATTTAGGTGAAATATATACATCACAATATCAATATTAAGGGCACAATTTGATAATAATTAATTATTATATTCTAAAGAAAAAAGATCATCTATATATTGACAGTTATCATTTTACAATACTTTTCGAAGTATGTTTTAATAAAACGAAGCATATGAAATAGGTATTTCAGGTTTTTGACAATGAAGGCGTGATCAAATTAGGTGCAATGCATAAATTTATGACAGACGTCATCCTCTATCCAAGCAATGTAGAATCTTCATGGATTGAATTCAACACTTGTTACAAGAAAGGTACTCGATTATTTCTATGCATGCCTATGTGTGTATGTGTGTGTTATAATGAAACTAAAATACTATTAGAGGAATAATAATATTCTTCAAAATGAATTCTTTCATATCAAATATTTAATTTTCATTTAATAATTTGTTTTCTAGCTGACTCTCTGGAGTATCCTTACAACATTCGACTAACGTACATTTTTACGTGCATCGAACCGATTGTGTCTAACTTCATGCTAATTGAGGATGGGTAATTTCGCTTTATACAATATACAAACTCTGTTTTCATTCTTTATTGGATATTCTGTAAAACTTTCTCTAATACTGTTTCAACTATTTATATAACTTTATTATCTATAACAAATTAGTGCCATGACCATACAATTCCAAAGTGTTTCTGTAATAACTGTATAAAATGTGGTTCAATAAAATATAGTTGTTCTATAAAAATGTATTTTGTTCCTAGCACGTCATTTTATGTTAGGTTTGCGCGTTAATTTAATTTTATTACAGGATAATTTTCGAGTAATGGGATTGAAGATAATATTACACATAATTCTCATTTAATGTAAATATTATATTAATGCTAGCGCATAAAATTGATAAGACGGCTCGCTTGAGTCACTTTGTACTATTTGTAGAATTAACTTAAACACTTAAACACTTAAACACGAAAATAAACACTCTTTCCGAACATCAGGTAAATTAAGGAAACAATAACACAACGGTTCGCGCAATTCAAATTTCTTTAATATTTTTCCACTGTCTTGCTGTAACAACATCTTCTAACGCGATTGCGTGATTAAAATATCTGAATCCTGTATGAAAAAAAAATAGCACCGTTTACATAAATAATTTATATCAAAAAAATATAGAAAATATATATAATAATCATAAGAAATACATACAAGGAATAAGAAGTATTAAAAAATATAAAAAATAAGAAACATAAGAAACATAAAACGCAGTAAAAGAGACATCTATCTGCAAAAACGGAATTAACCGTTTTCCTGTTCTTTCACTCATTTCATCAAAATTCAAATATATATTAATATTAAAAATTATTCCGTTAGTTATGTGATTACGAAAAATAATCTAGATACAACCGGACGTACTTCGATATTGTTTACGAAAGGAAAGAGTTACGAAGGAAAAAAGATAAAATTTTAATGCAGATACATGCGTACATCCTTCAGGTGCTACTTTCGCTTTACAGATTGTATTCAAAGTAGTTGTTTCGCGAAACTATTAAACATTTAATCATATAGTATAAAAAGAGTTAATCACAATTTTATGGGACACATACAAAAATATTGATTTTTAAATGTAACTTAATAACATCTTATGAGCAAAAGATTTGCAGAAAAATATATTTTTTACAAAGAGACCATTTTCTAATATAATATTAGATACAAAATAATACGCTGGCTTGTAAATATAAATCGCTTATAAATACTTTACTTATGATGCGAGATATAAATAAAACATGTGCCAATCGAATTTGTTAGCAGTGCTAGTTTTACAAAAACGATCCAGATGATAAAGACTCGTGATCATTGCATGTATCCTGGCTATTACGGTAGGTGATACGCAACGATTGAATTAATTAATTATTATAATTAAGAGATAATTAGTATTAACCAATCATTATTGGGACATGACCGGTAGTTAAAATTAAACGGATGTTTGTGGAACCTACTTTGAGAGTAGTCACCTGGAAAACAAAAGGATTCGATTCCCGCTCTAGTGCCTGTAATATCAGCATCACATTTTAATATGTCATCTATGTTAAGCATAACTAGTATAGTGAATTAGATAATGCGCATGCTTATAACAGTGAGTCTTCTATAAATTACGCAATTCTTCGACAGCAGACACTGTACGACTAAAACTTCTGGCACCTATATTTTCTTCCTCGTGTATATGAAAAAAGAATGAAGACCTTGGAGATTATTGGTTGTTTACTGGCCATTATTGTAAGTGGTAATCAACAAGTGAATTTTTTGAAAATCTTATAAACTCAATAAAAATATCGTACACCAAAGAAACAACTCCGTTAGGGCAATTGAAATTTTTGTTATCTGGAAAGCAGATGGAAAACACTATAGTAGAACCAGAAAGATTTTTGTAAGATATTTTTGCTCAGCCATTTGCTCTTAGTAATCTCATCCGAGTTTTGTTGCAACTAAATGTGCAGACGAATGTCTCTAGTCACAGTAACGGAGATCTTATTTCTCGTCATTGAACTTTTCGCCTGGTTCCGCCCACTCTTTCAACAGAACCAAATTTTTTTCCATGTATTTGTTCAAATTATGTATTAGGTGCACAACTTTGCTTCCTCCGTTTTCCTATAGATGGCTTTAGCGATAAGTGGTGGTCGAAATAAATAGATCATAGACGTCATACAATAAACTTGGGCATCTGTCAACATAACCCCATAGAAACATTAGTCGATTTGTGTCTGCATCATAAAGTTATTGACGATTGAAAATATCAGTTTACGAGTCAAATTTTCCTCATTTGCGAGAGGTTTTATTTTCTGCTTCAATATGAAGAAATCTGCGGCTGAGACTCATCGAATGCTCTCAAATACTTATGGTGAGGCCGCTATTAGTGAAAGAACATGTCGTGAGTAGTTTCAACGCTTCAAGAAAGGTGATTTTGACGTCGAAGACCGGCATAGCGGTGGAAGGGAGAAGGTTTTCGAAGATGCAGAATTGGAGGCATAATTTGATCAAGACTCGTGTCAAAATCAAGAAGAATTGGCACGATCATTGGGAGTAACTCAACAAGCCATTTCAAAACGCCTCAAAGCCATGGGAATGATTCAGAAGCAAGGAAATTGGGTGCCGTACGAATTGAAGCCGAGAGATGTTGAACGGCGTTTGTTTGCTTGTGAACAGCTGCTTGAAAGGCAATGACGGAAGGGATTTCTGCATCGCATTGTTAATGGAGACGAAAAATGAGTTCATTACAATAACACCAAGCGCAGAAAATCATGGGGAGTTCCCGGCCATGCTTCCACGTCGACGGCCAAACCGAATATTCACGACTCCAAGGTCATGCTCTGTATTTGGTGGGACCAGCTCGGCGTAGTGTATTATGAGCTGTTAAAACCAACTGAAACAATCACAGGCGATCGATATCGAACGCAATTGATGCATTTGAGCCGAGCATTGAAAGACAAACGGCCGCAACACAACGAGAGACACGATAAAGTGATTTTGCAGCATGACAATGCTCGATCCCATGTTGCGAAAGTGGTCAAGACATACTTGGAAACGTTAAAATGGGAAGTCCTACCCCACTCGCCGTATTCTCCAGACATTACTCCCTCTGACTATCACTTGTTTCGATTAATGGCACACGGCCTGGTTGACCAGCACTTTCGGTCTTATGAAGAAATAAAAAATTGGATCGATTCGTGGATCGCCTCAAAAGATGACCAATTTTTTCGACGCGGGATTCGTACGCTGTCCGAAAGATGGGAGAAAGTAGTGGCCAGCGATGGACAATACTTTGAATCATAAATGTATAACCAATTTTTACAACAAAGCCTCGAATTTCGGAAAAAAAACGACGGAAGCAAAGTTGTACACCTAATATTTAGTTTATAAAGGAAGAGTTTAAGTTTGTATTTGCAATATAACAAAAATTCAATCCGTATTTAAATAATAATTTAATGACTTCCCTCTCTTTTTGACTGTTCGTATTTACGTAATTTACACTGTAAGAGGTTGTGTTACTATTGACGGGAATGGGAGAAAATATAACAGCTTGTTATACTTTTGCTGAAATTTGCTACTGTTGAAATTTGCTACTTTTTGCAAATGGAAAGTTCGTCAGAGAGTTTCCAATGCTGGACATCGATATTGCACACAATTTTTAATAGAAGATAAAACAATTATTGTACGTTTTGGTACGATCAATTCTTTCAGGTGGTTAGTCACGCTTACGATTCCTACCGTGCTGTACAATTCAAAAGATACCTTGGTGAATGCAGTGAAGCACTAAACAAAACACTCGTACTTGGTGAGTATTAAAATTTAGTGCACCCAAAAAAATGTCATAAAAAGTGGTATAATTATTAATAATAAATTTCAATGCAATCAAATAAATATAATCCAAGTTCGGGAACCCAGAGTATTAAATTTATTACAAAGCAGGACGCTAAGAAACTCCGAGACGAGCATCAATAAAAAAACATGATAATAGAGACTCAACCTCTATTTACGTTGTAATACATATTGAACGCGGAAACTTATATCTGGAATCGTTACCGTTCTCGCAAAAAAGCATAAGAACTTAAGCTAATAAAAAGCAATTTATGCAATGCAATTAAATATTTGACTTGTTAATTGTTCTATTAAATCGTATTATTAAATAATTTCTAGTTCAGTCAAAAGATATATTAATATAGAAAGATTTTTAATTAATATAGAAAGATAGAAAAAAACTTATCCTGAAAAAATTACAGGCGCTCTCTCACCTGACGGTTGTTCTTTATAAATATTCATATGAGTTTACAAAACAAAAATATAATTTTGCATAACAAAATAATAATCTTATTAGCAATTACTTTATAATTAGACAAACAGAACCAGAATTGTTCTAACTTTGCTTCCTTATTTAGCGAAGTTACTTATCGTTCTATATTGTAAATAATATTTCATGTCTGCTTCGTAATTGCTCGATAGTTTCGTGTTCCGAGTAAACAAAGTAAGGACATCCTTATCAATACATCGGATTGATTCGCGTAAGACCTAGCATTCCAAAAGAAAATCTCTAAATCTCTGCGTTTTAATTAATTCTTGTGTTCCAGCGAGTCCCGGTCCCGAATTGTTTATTTGCGCATTGCAGAAGGACGGCCAAGTACGTATAAATATACGTACTTAATGTACGTATTATACGTATTTAATGTAAAAAGTGAGATGCTACTTATACTTTGCAGATTATAATTAAAATGACGGTCCCATCAATAACCAATAACAATACTATGAAAAAGTTTATTATACAATATAAAACTAATTTAGCTGAAGTATACATCACAATATCAGCATTAAGACGCACAATTTAATATTAATTCTTATATTCTAAAGAAAGCAGATCATCTATATATTGCCAGTTATCATTTTACAATACTCTTCGAAGTATGTTTTAATAAAACGAAGCATACGAAGTAATCGGACTCATCTATTTCAGATTTTTGACGATGAAGGCGTGATGCAACAAGGTGCAATGCGTAAATTTATAACAGACGTCACCCCCAATGAAAGTGAAGTAGAATTTTCATGGCATGTACTCGACATTTGCTGCAGTAATGGTACTCGATTATTTCTATGCATGCCTATGAATGTGTGTGTGTATGTTATAATGAAATTAAAATACTATTAGAGGAATAATAATATTCTTCAAAATGAATTCTTTCATATCAAATATAATATTTTCATTTAATGATTTGTTTCCTAGCTGACTCTCTGGAGTTTCCTTCCATGGTTAAGATGACGTATGTTTATAACTGCATCATACCGATTGTGTCTAACTTTAAGCTAGATATGGATTGATAATTTCGCTTTATGCAATATACAAAATCTGTTTTCATTCAAAATCTGTTCTTCATCGGATATTCTGTAAAACTTCCTCTAATATTGTTTCAACTATTTATATAACTTTATTATCTATAACAAATTAGTGCCATGACCACACAATTCAACAGTATTTCTGTAATAATTATATAAAATGTGGTTCAATAAAGTATAGTTGTTCTATAAAAATGTATTTTGTTCTTAGCACGTCTTTTTATGTTAGGTTTGCGCGTTAATTTAATGTTTTCGCGGGATAATACTCGAGTAATGGGATTGAAGATAATATTATATATAATTCTCATTTAAAGTAAATATTATATTAATGCTAGGGAATAAAATTTATAAGACGGCTCGCTTGAGTCACTTTTTACTATTTGTGGAATTCCACTCAAACACGAAAATAAACACTTTTTCCGAATATCAGGTAAATTAAGGAAACAAGAGAATAACATAACGGTCGCGCAATTCAAATTTCTTTAACATTTTTCCACTGTCTTGCTGTAACAACATCTTCTAACGCGATTGCGTGGTTAAAATATCTGAGTCCTGTATGACAAAAGGAATAGCACCGTTTACATAAATAATTAATATCAAAAAAATATAGAGAATATATGTAATAATCATTAAAAATACATATAAGGAATAAGAAGTATTAAAAGATATAAAAAATAAGAAACATAAAAAACATAAAAAGTAGTAAGAGATATCTATCTGCAAAAACGGGGTTAATCGTTTTCGTGTTCTTTTACCCATTTCATCAAAATTCAAAAATATATTAATATTAAAAATTATTCCGTTAGTTATGTGATTACAAAAAATAATCTAGATACAACCGGACATACTTCGATATTGTTTACAAAAGGAAAGAGTTACGAAAGAAAAAAGATAAAATTTTAATGTAGATACATGCGTACATCCTTGAGGTGCTACTTTTGCTTTACAGGTTGTATTCACAGTAGTTGTTTCGCGAAACTATTAAACATTTAATCATATAATGTGAAAAGAGTTAATCACAATTTTATGGAACACATACAAAAATATTAAGTTTTAAATGTAACTTAATAACATCTTATTAGCAAAAGATTTGCAAAAAAATATATTTTATACAAAGAGACCGTTTTCTAATATAATGATAGATACAAAATAATACGCTGACTTGTAAATACAAATCGTTTATAAATATGCGGTTTATTTATGATGCGAAATACAAATAAAATATGTGGCAATCGAATTTGTTAGCAGTGCTAGCTCTACAAAAACGATCCAGACGATAAAGACTCGTGGTCATTGTATGTGTCCTGGCCATTACGGTAGGTGACATGCAACAATTGAATTAATTAATTATTATAATTAAGAGGTAATTAGAATTAACCAATCACTATTGGGACATAACCGGTAGTTAAAATTAAACAGATGTTTGTGGAACTTACTCTAAGAGCAGTCACCTGGAAAACAAAAGGGGATTCGATTCCCGCCTTAGTTCCTATAATATCAGCATCATATTTTAATATCTCATTTAAGTTAAGAATAACTAGTATAGTAAATTAGATAATGCGCATGCTTATAACAGTGAGTCTCCTATAAATTACGCAATTCTTCGACAGAAGACACTATACAACTAAAACTTCTGGCACCTATACTTTCTTCCTCGTGTATATGAAAAAAGAATGAAGATCTTAGAGATTATTGGGTGTTTACTGGCCATTATAGTAAGTGGTAATCAACAAGTGAATTTTTTTTTAAGTTTTATGAACTTGATAAAAATATCATACAGGAAAGAAACAACTTCGTTAGTGCAACTGAATTTTATGTTACCTAGGAACTAGATAAAAAAACTTGGTAGAAACGTAGTTCCTTAGTAGTAGAAAGATTCTTGTAAAAGATTTTTGCTCAGCCATTTGCTCTCAGTTATCTCAACCGAGTTTTATTGCAACTAAATTTCCAGACGAATGTCTCTAGTCACACACACAATAACGGAAATCTTATTTCTCGTCATTGAACTTTCCGCCTGGTTGTCCCCACTCAGTTACAAGAACGAAGTTTTTTTTCCATGTATTTGTTCAAATCATGTGTTTAGTTTATAAAAGTAGAGTTTAAGTTTGCAATATAACAAAAATTCAATCCGTACTTAAATAATAATTCAATGATTTCCCTCTCTTTTTAACTGTTCGTATTTATGTAGTTTACACTGTAAGAGATTGTGTTACTATTGTCGGGAATAGGAAAAAGTATAACAGCTTGTAGTGAAATTAGTTACTTGCAAATGAAAAGTTCACCAGAGTTTTCAACGTTGAACATCGATATTGCACACAATTTTTAATTGAAGATAAAACAATCATTGTTTGTTATTTTGGTATGATCAATTCTTTCAGGTGGTTAGTTACGCTTACGATTTCGAACGTGTTGTAGAATTCTTTACGTACCTTTATAAATGCAGCGAAACACTAAACGAAACACTTATAACTTGTGAGTATTAAAATTTATTACACTCAAAGAAGTGTAATAAAAAATTGTAAAATTATAAACAATAAACTTCAATACAATCAAATAAATATAGTCCGAGTTAGGGAACCCGTAGTATTAAATTTGTTCTAAAACAAGACGCTAGGAAACACTTGAGACGAACATCTATAAAAAAACATAATAATAGAGACTCGACCTCTATTTACGTTGTAATACACATTGAACGCAGAAACTTATATCTAGAATCGTTACCGTTCTCGCAAAAAAGCGTAAGAACTTAAGCTAATAAAAAGCAATTTATGCAACGTAATTAGCTATTTGACTTGTTAATTGTTCTATTAAATCGTATTATTAAATAATTTCTAGTTCATTCAAAAGATATATTAATATAGAAAGATTTATTATTAGAAAAATTTATACTGAAAAAATTATAGGCGATCTCTCAACTGAAAGTTGTTTTTTCAAATATTCATATGAGTTTACAAAAGAAAAATATAATTTTGCATAACAAAATAATAATCTTATTAGCAATTACTTTATAATTAGACAAACAAAACCAGAATTGTTCTAACTTTGCTTCTCTATTATATGAAGTTACTTACGTCTTATATTGTAAATAATATTTCATATCTGCTTCGTAATTGCTCGATAGTTTCGTGTTCCGAGTAAACAAAGTAAGGACATACTTATCAATACATCGGATTGCTTTGCGTAAGAGCTGGCATTACAAAAGAAAATCCCTAAATCTCTGCTTTATTGATTAATTTTTGAGTTTCAGCGAGACTCAGTCCCGAATTGATTATTTGTGCATTGCAGATGGACGGCCAAGTACGTATATTTGTATTTAATGTAAAAAGTGAGATGCTACTTACACTTTGCAGATTATAATTAAAATGATCGTCACATCAATAACCAATAACAATACTATGAGAAAGTTTGTTATACAATATAAAACTAATTTAGCTGAAGTATACATCACAATATCAGTATTAAGACGCACAATTTAATATTAATTAATTATTATATTCTAAAGAAAGAAGATCATCTATATATTGCCAGTTATCATTTTACAATACTCTTCGAAGAATGTTTTAATAAAACGAAGCATACGAAGTAATCGGACTCATCTATTTCAGATTTTTGACAATGAAGGCGTGATGCAACAAGATGCAATGCGTAAATTTATAACAGACGTCACTCCCAATGAAAGTGAAGTAGAATCTTCATGGCATGTATTCGACATTTGCTGCAGTAATGGTACTCGATTATTTCTATGCATGCCTATGTATGTGTGTGTGTGTGTGTGTTATAATGAAATTAAAATACTATTAGAGGAATAATGATATTCTTCAAAATGAATTCTTTCATATCAAATATTCAATTTTCATTTAATAATTTATTTCCTAGCGGACATTCTGGGATTTACTTCCACGCTTAAGCTGACGTATGTTTTTAGCTGCTTCGGACCGATTGTATGTAATCTTTATGTTTGATGTGGATTGATAATTTCGCTTTATACAATATACAAAATCTGTTTTCATTCTTTATCGGATATTCTGTAAAACTTTTTCTAATACTGTTGCAACTATTTATCTAACTGTATTATCTATAACAAATTAGTACCATGACCATACAATTCAACAGTATTTCTGTAATAATTGTATAAAATGTGTTTCAATAAAATATAGTTGTTCTATAAAAATGTATTTTGTTCTTAGCACGTCTTTTTATATTAGGTTTGCGGGTTAATTTAATTTTTTCACAGGATAATACTCGAGTAATGAGACTGAAGATAATATTATATATAATTCTCATTTCATGTAAATATGGGATAAATTAAATGAAATGGAATTCAGCTAAATAAACGTTAGATCACACTTACTGAATTCCTATCAAGATAAGCAAAAAATATTCTCTTGAATAAATATAGCAAGATTTCATCGCTTCTAAATTGATTGTTATCTATATTGACTCTTGATTAGATCTATGTTTGTGTTTATTTATTTCGCGAATAAAAGAGTAAAGTACCTCTTGTCGTCATCGTTACGAATATCGAGCAAGAACCACGGTTTTACAACAACAGCGCGATGATCGTCCGTGTAACACTAATGGCGAATTCTATTTGGAATAGAAGTGCACACTAAGGCCGTTTCGTGGTTTGTTCTTAATATTTGCATCTTGTATTTAAAATTGTTTTAAATTCGCCTCGGAATGTTCCGTAATTATTGTAACATTTTGTATAGCATCTGAAGATAAATAAATTTATCTCTCTAATAAGTTAGTTCTCAGTTATTTTAGTTGTTTTAACACGATTAAGTGTTCAAATGAATAATTTTGGCTACGGTGACAGAGATACATTATTTCTCGTTAACGTATTTTCCATTTGATCTCCCTCCTGTTAAATAAACTAAAATTTTTTCTGGGTGTGTGTCTCTATCGGTTGGCCGACGCGGCAGAATCCATTTGATCCGGCGATTTCACGCATCGCACCGAAGTCCGCAAAGCGAATTCTCTTCGTTTACTCTTATAGGCGAATGAGATACTGTACATAGATGAGATGTATTGAGAGCAGGAGTCTGAATAGCTCAGCACTTAAGGCCCAGTTCCACAATCTCCAGTTAATTCCACTGGCTGGTTATTTCATTGGATTTGACCAAACGCATTTGATGTTAAAAAGAATTCATTAGAATCAACCAATCACTATTGGGGATTAACCGGTAACTAAAATTAAACGGATGTTTGTGTAATTTGGCATAAGAGCAGTGAAACAAGGGCTGGAAAACAAAAAGGGTTTTGATTCCCATTCTAATTCCTATAACATCCGCATCATTTTTAGTATATAAGTTAAGAATAACTAGTATAGTAAATTAGATAGTGCGCATGCTTATAATTGTAAGTCGCCTATAAATTACGCAACTTTTTGACAGAAAACACTATACGACTAAAACTCCTGGCACCAATACTATCTTCCCCGAAAATACGAAAAACAGATGAAGACCTTGGAGATTATTGCGTGTTTATTGGCCATTATAGTAAGTGGTAATCATTAAGTGAATTTTTTTACAAGTCTTATGAACTCGATAAAAATATCGTATATGAAAGAAACAACTCCGTTAGTGAAATTGAATTTTATATTACTTGGAAACCAGATGAAAAATTCGATAATAGGAACGGAAACATTCTTGCAAGAGAATTTTTCCTCAATCATTTGCTCTCAGTTACCTCAACCGAGTTTTGTTACATCTATTTTTCTAGACGATGTCTTTAGTCCCAGTAAAAGAAATCTTATTTCTTGTCAACAAACTTTTCGTCTGGTTTCCCCTACTCAATTACAAGAACGACATTTTTTTCCATGCATTTGGTCAAATCATGGATTTAGTTTATAAAAGAAGAGTTTAAGTTTGTATTTGCAATACAACAAAAATTCAATCCGCACTTAAATAATAATACAATGATTTTCTTCTCTCCCTTTATTGTTCCTATTTATGTAATTTACACTGTGAAAGATTGTGCTATTAAAGACGACAATAGAAAAGATTATAACAATTTGTGATGAAATTAGCTACTTCTTGCAAATGAAAAGTCAGAGTTTTAAACGCTGGCTATCGATATTGCACACGATTTTTAAGTGAAGATAAAACAATTTTTATTTGGTACAATTAATTTTTTCAGATGGTTGCTCACACTTACAGTTACTCACGCTCTCTACTATTCCAGGAGAATCTTATTAAATGTAGCAAAAAATTGAACGAAAAAATCATACCTTGTGAGTATTAAAATTCATTGCACCCAAAGAAGTGTCATAAAAAGTTGTAAAATTATGAACAATAAAGTTCAATGCAATTAAATAAATATATTCCGAGTTAGGGAACACGGAGTATTAAAATTTATTCCCAAGCAGCACGCTAACAAACACTTCAGACAAACATCCATAAGAAAATATGATAACAGAGACTCGACCTCTATTTCCGTTGTAATACATATTAAACGCAGAAACTTATTTTTGAAGTCGTCACTGTTCTCGCAAGAAAGCGTAAGAACTTGAGTTAACAAAATGTAATTTATGCAATGAAATTTACACTGAAGAAGACTACAGCGCTCACACGACGGTTGTTCTTAATGGATATTCATATGAGTTCACAAAATTAAAAAATAATTTTGCATAATAAAATAATAGTCTTGTTAGCAATTACTTCATAATTAGACAAATACAGCCAGCATTCTTCTAACTTTGCTTCTTTATTTTGTGAAGCGTATACTTACCGTTCTATATTGTAAACAATCTCTCATGTCTGTTTGATAATCGCTCGATAGTTTCGTATCCCGAGAAAAGAAAGTAAAAACATCCTCACTAATACATCCGACTGATTCGATTAAGAGCTAGTATTTCAAAAGAAACTCTCTAAACTGCGTTATTAATTAATTCTTGCGTTCCAGCGGAATCCAGTCACAAATTGCTCCATTGCGCATTGAAAAACATTGAAGTATGTATATTTATATTTAATGAAAAAAGCGAGATGCTACTTATACTTTGCAGATTGCAATTAAAATAATCGTCCCGTCCATAACTAACAACAATACTACGAGAAAGTTTATCATACGATATAAAATTAATTTAGCTGAAGTATATAACTCAATATCAGCATTAAAACGCACAACATTTACTAATAATTCACTAATATGTATTACGGAAAAAAGATCATCTGTACATTGAAAGTTATCAATTTACTAATAATACAAGGTATACGAAGTAATCGGTCTCATCTATTTCAGGTTTTTGACGAGGATGGCTGGCTCATAAAAGAAAAAATGTATCGAGTGATAATAGATTCCATCCCCAATAAAAGATTAGCACAATCTTCATTGCATTTATTCGCCATATGCTACACATACGGTACTCAATTTTCTCTATACATATGTGTGTGTTACAATGAAATTAAAATACTGTTAAAAAAAAAGTAAAATTCTTTAAAATCTATTCTCTCATTTAAACATTTAAATTACATTTAATGATTTTTCTTCTAGCTGACTCTCTGAGAAATGTATCTACCGCTTATAAGACGATGCATGTCTTTAACTGCAGCAGTCCGATTGTATCTCACTTCATGGTAGACCCGCAATCATAACTTCACTTCATATACTATACAAAAGCACTTTTTATTCTTCAACGGATATTCTGTAAAACTGTTTTTAATATCGTTTTGGTTATTTATCTAACTATATTATCTATGACAAATTAGTGCCATGACCATACAATTCAACATTGTTTCTGTAATAATTGTATAAAATGTAGATCAATAAAATATTGTTGTCTTACATAAATGTACTTTATTCCTAATTTTTATGTTGGGTTTACGCGTTAATTTAGATATTTCATGGAATAATATTCGAGTATGATGGGACTGAAGTTAGTATTATATACAATATTATATATAACATTAATATTATATAATATCGTATAATATTAATATTATATAATATTCCATAAATATTATATTATATATAATTCTCATTTAATATAAATATTATATTAATGCTGGGATGCAAAATTTGTAAGACGACTCGCTTGAGTCACTCGTCTTATTACCTGTATTTTATGTTTGCTGTCTTCATGTAAATCTTAATATATCATAAAACGGCATACAAAAGGCGAAGCGCGATTGATCTGATGTGTGTTTTAATATAATTATTGAAAAAAACTGCTTCAATACTAAATCAATAGCGTTATTCTCGAAAAAGTTTAATCCATTTCAAGAGTTTTATCTAGAATTCTATTTTATGCACCCAAAGGTACCGATTCAATCATAGAATTAATTGACAATAAAAGGTTAAAGGTCATATTTGCAATCCCAAAATAACAAAAATTTTAACCTTACGTATGTAATTTGTATAATTTTTTCTGTAGAAGAATAAACTACTAGAGAAAGATAATAAAGAATATAACAATTTACCATAAAATTTGCTATTTTCACAAACAAGAAATTTATTCAATTTGTAACCATTTGATATCTGATCATAATTTCAAACGAATATTAAGCCAAGTTGATATAATTCTGATGTTTTGGTACATTCTATCCTCTCAGACGGTAGTTTACAAATTACCAGTCGTGGCGACCAAATATAACGAACGCGTTCAAATATTTTACGAGGATTTGTTCAAATGTTTTTTGGAAGCGGGTGAAAAAGTGTGAGTGAATATTAAAATTTAGCGCACATTAAAAGGAATACATCGCTCTTGAGTGTGCGATGCGAATTCGTTTACTGCTATAGGCGAATAAAGTAATGTATAGGCGGGAGATGTAACGAAAGCAGAAGTCTGAATAGCTTAGCGGTTAAAACCAGTATTTTTAAAACAAAAATAATTGTATCAATTGTCACACGAGCACGTACATAAATATGTCTCACATTAGACATCATATTGTGTATTATATTTAGATGAAACTTATGTGTCAAATATATTCTCAAAGAACTCACATACATACGTACGCACACATGGGATTTTACTGTTTCCGGTCTTGTCTTAGTCCCTACACAATCAGCATCATCTTTTAGTATATCATATGAGCTACGAATATCTAGCAGAGTAAATTAAAAAGTGCGCATGCTTATAACTGTGAGTCGCCTATAATTAGGCAACTCTTCGACAGAAGACGCTATACAACTGGAACTCCTGTCACCTAAACGTTCTTCCCTGTGTATACGAAAAAAATGAAGATTTTGGGGATCATTGTGCGTTTACTGGCCATTATAGTAAGTGGTAATCAACAAGTAAAGTTTTTTATAAATTTTATAATCTTGATAAATATATTGTACACGAAAGAAACAACCCCATTAGTGCAATTGAGTTTTTTGTTGTCTGGAAATCAGATGAAAAATTCCGTAGTAGGAACAAAAAGATTCTTGCAAGAAATTTCTGCTCAGCCATTTCTCTCAATTATCTCAACCGAGTTTTAATGCAGCTGAATGTCCAGATAAATGTCTTTAGTCACAGTAATCTTATTTCTCGTCAACGAACTTTCCGTCTAGTTCCCTCTGTTACACGAACAAAATTTTTTTTCCGTGTATTTCAAATCATGAATTTAGTTTATAATAGAAGGTTTTAAGTTTGTGTTTGCAATACAACAAAAATTCAATCTGCACTTTAATAATAATGCAATGCTCTTTCTCTCTTCTTTGACTGCCCATATTCATGTAATTTACACTGTAAAAGATTGTATTACTATAGACCGTAATGGAAAACAGTATAACAATTTGTAATAAAATTCGCTACTCCTTGCAAATGAAAAGTCCGTCACAATTTTAAACGCTGAATATCGATATTGCACACAATTTTTAAGTGAAGATAAAACAATTATTATACGATCAATTCTTTCAGATGGTTGCTCACGCTTACGATTACTTACGCGCTATACAATTCAAAGATAATCTCATTGATTGCAGCATAGAAATGGATATATCAACTTTCATACTTAGTGAGTATTAAAATTTATTGCAACCAAAGAAGTGTCATAAAATGTTCTAAAGTAACATTAAAGTTCAATACAATTAAATAAATATAGTCCGAGATAAGGAACACGGAGTATTTAAATTTATTCCAAAGCAACACGCTAGCAAACACTTGAGACATATATAAAAATACTTGAAACCTCTATAAAAAACGTGATAATAGAAACTCGACTTTTATTTCCGTTGTAATATATATTGAATGCAAGAACTTATTTCTGAAGTCGTCACGTTTCTCGCGAAAAAAGCGTGAGAACTTTAGCTAACAAACAGCAATTTATGCAATGCAATTAACTATTTAATTTGATAATCGTTCTATTAAATTGTACTATTAAATAATTTCCAATTCAGTCAAAAGATTTATAAATAGAAAAAGATTTATATTTGCAAAAAAATTTACACTGAAGTAGACTAGCGCTCACGCGACGGTTGTTCTTAATAGATATTTATATGAGTTCGCAAAATTAAAAAATAATTTTGCATAATAAAATAATAGACTTGTTGGCAATTACTACATAATTAGACACAGCCAGCATTGTTCTAACTTTGCTTCTTTATTTTGTGAAGAGTATATTTTTCGTTCTATATTGTAAAAAATATCTCGTGTCTGTTTGGTAATTGTTCGATAGTTTTGTGTTCTGAGTAAACAAAGTAAGAACATCCTTTCCAATACATTCGATTTATTCGCATGAGAGCTGGTATTTGAAAAGAAAATTACTAAATTATTAATTAATTCTTGCGTTCCAGCGAATATCAAGGGCGAAATGTTCTTTTGCGCATTGAAGAAGGACGGCCGAGTACGTATATTTGTATTTAATGTAGAAAATGAAATGCTACTTATACTTTGCAGATTGCAATTAAAATAATCGTCCCATCAATAAATAACAACAATACTGCGAAAAAGTTTATCATAATATGTATAACTAATTTAGCTAAAGTATATAACACACTATCAGCACTAAATCGCACAACATTTACTAATAATTCATTAATATATGCTACGGAAAAAATATCATCAATATTGAAAGTTATCATTTTAATAGTAAAATGAGGTATACGAAGTAATCGGTCTCATCCGTTTCAGATTTTTGAGAGGTTTACTGACAACATCATAGGAGACGAAATGCATAATTTTTTAATCGATACCATCGAAGATAAAGACGTAGCAACTGCTTCATGGAATTTATTCCGCATTTGCTACGATTATGGTACTCAATTTTATCTATGCATGCGTATGTGTGTATGTGTGTTATAATACAATTAAAATATTACTAAAAGAAAAATAATATTCTTCAAAATGAATTCTTTCATTTCAAACATTCAATTTACATTTATTAATTTTTTTCCTAGCTGACGAATGGAACAAATACCCTAAAGAGAAGTGGAACTATGTTTTTAACTGCAGCGCACCGATTATACCTAGGTTAATGCTGGAAAAATTTGGTTAATGCTTTAATACTTTCGTTTGTACATTATACAAAATATCTCTTCATTCTTCATCGGATATTCTGCAAAACTTTTTCTAATACTGTTTCAACTATTTATCTAACTGTATTATCTATAACAAATTAGTGCCATGACCATACAATTCAACAGTGTTTCTGTAATAATTGTATAAAATGTGGTTCAATAAAATATTGTTGTTCTACATAAATGTACTTTATTCCTAATTTATATGTTGGGTTTACGCGTTAATTCAGATATTTCACGGGATAATACTCGAGTATGATGGGACTGAAGTTAGCATTATATACAATATTATATATAACATTAATATTATATAATATCATATAATATTAATATTATATAATATTCCATAAATATTATATTATATATAATTCTCATTTAATATAAATATTAAATTAATGCTGGGGTGCAAAATTTGTAAGACGACTCGCTTGAGTCACTCGTCTTATTATCTGCATTTTATGTTTCCTGTCTTCATGTTAATCTTAATATATCATAAAACGGCATACAAAAGGCGAAGCGCGATTGATCTGATGTGTGTTTTAATATAATTATTGAGAAAAACTGCTTCAATACTAAATCAATACCGTTATTCTCGAAAAAGTTTAATCCATTTCAAGAGTTTTATCTAGAATTCTATTTTATGCACACAAAAGTACCGATTCAATCATAGAATTAATTCACAATAAAAGGTTAAAGGTCATATTTGCAATCCCAAAATAACAAAAATTTTAACCGTGCGTGTGTAATTTATATAATTTTTTCTGTAGAAGAATAAACTACTAGAGAAAGATAATAAAGAATATAACAATTTACCTTAAAATTTGCTATTTTTACAAACAAGAAATTTATTCAACTTGTAACCATTTGATATCGGATCATAATTTCAAACGAATATTAAGCCAAGTTGACATAATTCTGATGTTTTGGTACATTATATCCTCTCAGACGGTAGTTTACAAATTACCAGTCGTGGCGACCAAATATAACGAACGCGTTCAAATATTTTACGAGGATTTGTTCAAATGTTTTCTGGAAGCGGGTAAAGAAATGTGAGTGAATATTAAAATTTAGCGCACATCAAAAGGAATATATCGCTCTTGAGTGTACGATGCGAATTCATTTACTGCTATAGGCGAATAAAGTAATGTATAGGCGGGAGATGTAACGAAAGCAGAAGTCTGAATAGCTTAGCGGTTAAAACCAGTATTTTTAAAACAAAAATAATTGTATCAATTGTCACACGAGCACGTACATAAATATGTCTCACATTAGACATCATATTGTGTATTATATTTAGATGAAACTTATGTGTCAAATATATTCTCAAAGAACTCACATACATACGTATGCACACATGGGATTTTACTGTTTCCGGTCTTGGCTTAGTCTCTACACAATCAGCATCACCTTTTAGTATATCATATGAGCTACGAATATCTAGCAGAGTAAATTAAAAAGTGCGCATGCTTATAACTGTGAGTCGCCTATAATTAGGCAACTCTTCGACAGAAGACGCTATACAACTGGAACTCCTGTCACCTAAACGTTCTTCCCTGTGTATACGAAAAAAATGAAGATTTTGGGGATCATTGTGCGTTTACTGGCCATTATAGTAAGTGGTAATCAACAAGTAAAGTTTTTTATAAATTTTATAATCTTGATAAATATATTGTACACAAAAGAAACAACCCCATTAGTGCAATTGAGTTTTTTGTTGTCTGGAAATCAGATGAAAAATTCCGTAGTAGGAACAAAAAGATTCTTGCAAGAAATTTCTGCTCAGCCATTTCTCTCAATTATCTCAACCGAGTTTTAATGCAGCTGAATGTCCAGATAAATGTCTTTAGTCACAGTAATCTTATTTCTCGTCAACGAACTTTCCGTCTAGTTCCCTCTGTTACACGAACAAAATTTTTTTTCCGTGTATTTCAAATCATGAATTTAGTTTATAATAGAAGGTTTTAAGTTTGTGTTTGCAATACAACAAAAATTCAATCTGCACTTTAATAATAATGCAATGCTCCTTCTCTCTTCTTTGACTGCCCATATTTATGTAATTTACACTGTAAAAGATTGTATTACTATAGACGGTAATGGAAAACAGTATAACAATTTGTAATAAAATTCGCTACTCCTTGCAAATGAAAAGTCCGTCACAATTTTAAACGCTGAATATCGATATTGCACACAATTTTTAAATAAAGATAAAACAATTATTATACGATCAATTCTTTCAGATGGTTGCTCACGCTTACGATTACTTACGCGCTATACAATTCAAAGATAATCTCATTGATTGCAGCATAGAAATGGATATATCAACTTTCATACTTAGTGAGTATTAAAATTTATTGCAACCAAAGAAGTGTCATAAAATGTTCTAAAGTAACATTAAAGTTCAATACAATTAAATAAATATAGTCCGAGATAAGGAACACGGAGTATTTAAATTTATTCTAAAGCAACACGCTAGCAAACACTTGAGACATATATAAAAATACTTGAAACCTCTATAAAAAACGTGATAATAGAAACTCGACTTTTATTTCCGTTGTAATATATATTGAATGCAAGAACTTATTTCTGAAGTCGTCACGTTTCTCGCGAAAAAAGCGTGAGTACTTCAGCTAAGAAACAGCAATTTATGCAATGCAATTAACTATTTAATTTGTTAATCGTTCTATTAAATTGTACTATTAAATAATTTCCAATTCAGTCAAAAGATTTATAAATAGAAAAAGATTTATATTTGCAAAAAAATTTACACTGAAGGAGACTAGCGCTCACGCGATGGTTGTTCTTAATAGATATTTATATGAGTTCGCAAAATTAAAAAATAATTTTGCATAATAAAATAATAGACTTGTTGGCAATTCCTTCATAATTAGACACAGCCAGCATTGTTCTAACTTTGCTTCTTTATTTTGTGAAGAGTATATTTATCGTTCTATATTGTAAACAATATCTCGTGTCTGTTTGGTAATTGTTCGATAGTTTCGTATTCTGAGTAAACAAAGTAAGGACATCCTTTCCAATACATTCGATTTATTCGCATGAGAGCTGGTATTTGAAAAGAAAATTTCTAAATTATTAATTAATTCTTGCGTTCCAGCGAATATCAAGGGCGAAATGTTCTTTTGCGCATTGAAGAAAGACGGCCGAGTACGTATATTTGATTTAATGTAGAAAATGAAATGCTACTTATACTTTGCACATTGCAATTAAAATAATCGTCCCATCAATAAATAACAACAATACTGCGAAAAAGTTTATCATAATATGTATAACTAATTTAGCTAAAGTATATAACACACTATCAGCACTAAATCGCACAACATTTACTAATAATTCATTAATATATGCTACGGAAAAAATATCATCAATATTGAAAGTTATCATTTTAATAGTAAAATGAGGTATACGAAGTAATCGGTCTCATCCGTTTCAGATTTTTGAGAGGTTTCTGACAAGATCATAAGAGACGAAATGCATAATTTTTTAATGGATACCATCGAAGATAAAGCCGTAGCAATTGATTCATGGAATTTATTCTGCATTTGCTACGATAATGGTACTCGATTTTTTCTATGCATGCGTATGTGTGTGTGTGTGTTATAATAAAATTAAAATACTACTAAAAGAGAAATAATATTCTTCAAAATGAATTCTTTCATTTCAAACATTCAATTTACATTTATTAATTTTTTTCCTAGCTGACGTATGGAACAAATACTCTAAAGATAAGTGGAACTATGTTTTTAACTGCAGCGCACCGATTATACCTAGGTTAAAGCTGGAAAAATTTGGTTAATGCTTTAATACTTTCGTTTGTACATTATACAAAATCTCTCTTCATTCTTCATCGGATATTCTGTAAAACTTTTTTTAATACTGTTTCAACTATTTATCTAACTGTATTATCTATAACAAATTAGTGCCATGACCATACAATTCAACAGTGTTTCTGTAATAATTGTATAAAATGTGGTTCAATAAAATATTGTTGTTCTACATAAATGTACTTTATTCCTAATTTTTATATTGGGTTTACGCGTTAATTCAGATATTTCACGGGATAATACTCGAGTATGATGGGACTGAAGTTAGTATTATATACAATATTATATATAACATTAATATTATATAGTATCATATAATATTAATATTATATAATATTCCATAAATATTATATTATATATAATTCTCATTTAATATAAATATTAAATTAATACTGGGGTGCAAAATTTGTAAGACGACTCGCTTGAGTCACTCGTCTTATTACCTGCATTTTATGTTTGCTGTCTTCATGTTAATCTTAATATATCATAAAACGGCATACAAAAGGCGAAGCGCGATTGATCTGATGTGTGTTTTAATATAATTATTGAGAAAAACTGCTTCAATACTAAATCAATACCGTTATTCTCGAAAAAGTTTAATCCATTTCAAGAGTTTTATCTAGAATTCTATTTTATGCACACAAAAGTACCGATTCAATCATAGAATTAATTCACAATAAAAGGTTAAAGGTCATGTTTGCAATCCCAAAATAACAAAAATTTTAACCGTGCGTATGTAATATATATAATTTTTTCTGTAGAAGAATATACTACTAGAGAAAGATAATAAAGAATATAACAATTTACCATAAAATTTGCTATTTTTACAAACAAGAAATTTATTCAATTTGCAACCATTTGATATCTGATCATAATTTCAAACGAATATTAAGCCAAGTTGACATAATTCTGATGTTTTGGTACATTCTATCCTCTCAGACGGTAGTTTACAAATTACCAGTCGTGGCGACCGAATATAACGAACGCATTCAAATATTTTACGAGGATTTGATCAAATGTTTTCTGGAAGCGGGTGAAGAAATGTGAGTGAATATTATAAAATTTAGCGCACATCAAAAGGAATACATCGCTCTTGAGTGTGCGATGCGAATTCGTTTACTGCTATAGGCGAATAAAGTAATGTATAGGCTGGAGATGTAACGAAAGCAGAAGTCTGAATAGCTTAACGGTTAAAACCAGTATTAATAAAACAAAAATAATTGTATCAATTGTCACACGAACACGTACATAAATATGTCTCACATTAGACATCATATTGTGTATTATATTTAGATGAAACTTATGTGTCAAATATATTCTCAAAGAACTCACATACATACGTATGCACACATGGGATTTTACTGTTTCCGGTCTTATCTTAGTCCCTACACAATCAGCATCATCTTTTAGTATATCATATGAGCTACGAATATCTAGCAGAGTAAACTAAAAAGTGCGCATGCTTATAACTGTGAGACGCCTATAATTAGGCAACTCTCAGACAGAAGACGCTGTACAACTGGAACTCCTATCACCTATACGTTCTTCCCTGTGTATACGAAAAAAATGAAGATTTTGGGGATCATTGTGCGTTTACTGGCCATTATAGTAAGTGGTAATCAACAAGTAAAGTTTTTTATAAATTTTATAATCTTGATAAATATATTGTACACGAAAGAAACAACCCCGTTAGTGCAATTGAGTTTTTTGTTGTCTGGAAATCAGATGAAAAATTCCGTAGTAGGAACAAAAAGATTCTTGCAAGAGATTTCTGCTCAGCCATTTCTCTCAATTATCTCAACCGAGTTTTAATTGAGCTGAATGTCTAGATAAATGTCTTTAGTCACAGTAATCTTATTTCTCGTCAACGAACTTTTCGTCTGGTTCCCTCTGTTACACGAACAAAATTTTTTTTCCGTGTATTTCAAATCATGAATTTAGTTTATAATAGAAGGTTTTAAGTTTGTGTTTGCAATACAACAAAAATTCAATCTGCACTTTAATAATAATGCAATGCTCTTTCTCTCTTCTTTGACTGCCCATATTTATGTAATTTACACTGTAAAAGATTGTATTACTATAGACGGCAATGGAAAACAGTATAGCAATTTGTAATAAAATTCGCTACTCCTTGCAAATGAAAAGTCCGTCACAATTTTAAACGCTGAATATCGATATTGCACACAATTTTTAAATAAAGATAAAACAATTATTATACGATCAATTCTTTCAGATGGTTGCTCACGCTTACAATTACTTACGCACTATAAAATTCAAAGATAATCTCATTGATTGCAACCTAGAAATGGGTGAAACAAATTTCATGCTTAGTGAGTATTAAAATTTATTGCAATCAAAGAAGTGTCATAAAATGTTCTAAAGTAACATTAAAATTCAATACAATTAAATAAATATAGTCCAAGATAAGGAACATGGAGTATTTAAATTTATTCCAAAGCAACACGCTAGCAAACACTTGAGGCATATATAAAAATACTTGAAACCTCTATAAAAAACGTGATAATAGAACTCGACCTTTATTTCCGTTGTAATGTATATTGAATGCAAGAACTTATTTCTGAAGTCGTCACGTTTCTCGCGAAAAAAGCGTGAGAACTTCAGCTAACAAACAGCAATTTATGCAATGCAATTAACTATTTAATTTGTTAATCGTTTTATTAAATTGTACTATTAAATAATTTCCAATTCAGTCAAAAGATTTATTAATAGAAAAAGATTTATATTTGCAAAAAAATTTACACTGAAGAAAACTACAGCGCTCACGCAACGGTTGTTCTTAATAGATATTTATATGAGTTCGCAAAATTAAAAAATAATTTTGCATAATAAAATAATAGTCTTGTTGGCAATTACTTCATAATTAGACACAGCCAGCATTGTTCTAACTTTGCTTCTTTATTTTGTGAAGCGTATATTTATCGTTCTATATTGTAAACAATATCTCGTGTCTGTTTGGTAATTGTTCGATAGTTTCGTGTTCTGAGTAAACAAAGTAAGGACATCCTTTCCAATACATCCGATTATTTCGCGTGAGAGCTGGTATTTGAAAAGAAAATCACTAAATTATTAATTAATTCTTGCGTTCCAGCGAATATCAAGGGAGAAGTGTTCTTTTGCGCATTGAAGAGGGATGGCCAAGTACGTATATTTGTATTTAATGTATAAAGTGAGATTGGACTTATACTTTGCAGATTGCAATTAAAATAATCGTCCCGTCAATAAATAACAACAATACTGCGAGAAAGTTTATCATACTATGTATAACTAATTTAGCTGAAGTATATAATACACTATCAGCACTAAATCGCACAACATTTACTAATAATTCATTAATATATGCTACGGAAAAAATATTATCAATATTGAAATTTATCATTTTAATAGTAAAATGAGGTATACGAAGTAATCGGTTTCATCCGTTTCAGATTTTTGAGAGGTCTGCTGACAAGATCATAAAAGACGAAATGTATAATTTTTTAATGGATACCATCGAAAATGAAAACGTAGCAACTATTTCATGGAGATTATTCCGCATTTGCTACGATAATGGTACTCGATTTTTTCTATTCATGCGTATGTGTGTGTGTGTGTTATAATAAAATTAAAATACTAGTAAAAGAGAAATAATATTCTTCAAAATGAATTCTTTAATTTCAAACATTCAATTTACATTTATTGATTTTTTTCCTAGCTGACGAATGGAACAAATACCCTAAAGATAAGTGGAACTATATTTTTAACTGCAGCGCACCGATTATACCTAGGTTAATGCTGGAAAGATTTGGTTAATGCTTTAATACTTTCGTTTATACATTATACAAAATCTCTCTTCATTCTTCATCGGATATTCTGTAAAACTTTTTCTAATACTGTTTCAACTATTTATCTAACTGTATCATCTATAACAAATTAGTGCCATGATCATACAATTCAACAGTGTTTCTGTAATAATTGTATAAAATGTGGCTCATTAAAATATGGTTGTTCTACAAAATTGTATTTTATTCCTAGTGCGCCTTTTATGTTAGGTTTGTGCGTTAATTTAGTTTTTTAACGGGATAATACACGAGTAATAGGATTGAAGATAATATATATAATTCTCATTCAATTTAAGTATTATATTAATGCTGGAGTACAAAATTTATAAGACGGCTCGCTTGAGTCACTTTGTACTATTTATGGTATTCCACTTAAACACGAAGATAAACACTCTTCCCAAGCATCAGATAAATTAACGAAACGCAAGAGAATAATACAACAGTTCGCACAATTGAAATTTCTCTAATATTTTTGTAATGTCTTGCTGTATCTTCTAACGCGATTGCGTGGTTAAAATACTTGAATCGTGCATGAAAAAAGAAATAGTGTCGTTTATAGAAATATTTTATATCAAGAAATATAGAGAATATGTAATAAATATTAAAATGTAATAAACATTAAAAATATATACAAGAAATAAAAAGTATTAAAAAATATTAGAAATAAGAAACATAAGAAACATAAAAAGTAGTAATCATAAAAAGAGATATCTATCTGCAAAAACGAGGTTAACCGTTTCGTGTTCTTTCACCCAGCTTAATAATCTCATCAAAATTCAAAAATATATTAATATTAAAAATTATTCCCGTTATAATCGTTATTATAGCCGTTGGTTATGTGATCACAAACAATATTCTAGATACAACCAGACATATTTCGATATTGTTTACGAAAAGAAAGAATTACGAAGGAAAAGAGATAAAATTTTAATGTAGATACATGCGTATATCCTTGAGGGGTTACTTTCGCTTTACGGATTGCAAATAAAGTGGTTGTTTCGCGAAACTGTTGAATATTTCATCATATAATATGAAATGACTCAATCACAGTTTTATGGAACACATACAACAATATCGATTTTTAAATGTAACTTAATAACATCTTGTTAGCAAAAGATTAGCAAAAAAATATACAATTTTGTACAAAGAGGCCGTTTTCCAATATAATAACAGATACAAAATAATTCTCCGGCGTAAATATAAATCGCCTATAAATACGCGGTTCATCTTTGACGCGAAATAGTCTACAAGTAAAACCTCTGATAATCGAATTTGTTAGCTGTATTAGCTGTACAAAAACGATTCAGAATAAAGACTTTCGTGGTCATTGTATGCGTGCTGGCTATTATGGTAAGTGACATGCAATGATTGAAGTTCTATGTGAATTCACGAAATATTTCCGACATATCTAGGTAACTTAAATATTATTACTATTTTATTCTAATATGTGTAATTACAATTAAGTCTTATTACCTGCATTTTATGTTTACTGTCTTTATGTTAGTTTTAATACATCATAAAGCAATACGCAAAAGGCGAAGCGCGATTGATCTGATTTGTGTTTTAATATAATTAATGAAAAAATTGTTACAATACTAAATCAATATCGTTATTCTCCGAGCAAATTTAATCCACTTCAGAAGTTTTGTCTAGAATTCTGTTCTATGCAAGGACATCGATTCGATCATGGATTTATTTGACAATAAAAGATTAAATGTCATATTTGCAATCCCGAAATAACAAAAATTGTAACTGTATATAATACATAATTTATATTACTTTTTCTGTAGAAGAATAAACTTCTACAGAAAAATAATAAAGAGTATAATAATTTACAGTAAAATTAGCTATTTTTTACAAACAAGAAATTTGTTTGGATTGTAATTATTTAATATCTGATCATAATTTCAAACGATTATTAAGCCAAGTTGAAATAATTTTAATATGTTTTGATACATTCAATCCTCTCAGACGGTAGTTTACGGTTTCGACCAAAGACGCCTTGATTGCTTTTACAAGAATTTGCTTACATGTCCTCTAGAAGCAAAGGAGCCCGTGAGTGAGTATTAAAATTCAACGCATGTCAAAAGGAATACATCATAAAACATTGTAAAATCATAGATAATACGGAGTTATGCAGTCAAATTAATACAATAATTTTACCAAGTAAAATTAAAACACGATATATTAAAATTTATTTCATAAGATTAAAACAAGGACACTTACAGAAAAACGCGGTAATATGTGCTTCAGTTTTTTTCCTCTTACAATACACGTTGGGAACAGAATTCTATTATCTGAAGAAATCGAAACCGTTGTCTCAAGAACACATGAGAATTTGAAATAACGAAATTTGGTTGATATAATTACTAACTATTTTTATATATTTTAATAAATATATATTTATTTTATAATTAACTATATATTTATTTTATAATTAATTATATGTTTATTTTGTCAATTATATAATTAAATAGTGTGTAGTTTACAATTCAAAGATTTATTAATAATCTTAATATAATATCTTAATAATAATTTTAATCAAGGTCCTACTGTCGAGCAAGAGGAGGCGAGTATTTTCAATTGTAGCGTAAAAATTATATTTCATTTCCCACCTCCAAAGTCAGAGAACAACTGAATTACAATTTAGTCACAGTATACAGAACACTCTTTTTATATCTCTTCCTAGGTTATCTATGTAATTTTTTCTACACTTTGTTTGAACTATTTCTGTTCAATTATATATTCATGATAATGATGAGTAAAATGTAGTTGTCCTCGAGAGTATTCGAGACTAAACCTACGCTTATCCTGTTGATAATCGATAATGTGTAAGGTTGCAAAATTAAAAAAGAAACATTCGCGTTACATATTATAAGAGAAGGAATTGATGAGGAATAATGATTATCAATTGCCACGAAAATATACTTATGTCAAACATTGTATGTATTAGATTTCCAGACAGCACAATGTCAAATCGGGTCATAAGACGTCTTTAAAACATCTTTAAGACATCTTTAAGACAAGTTTATAAGGTATTGTCTTAAAGATGTCTTAAAGACATCCTAAAGACATCTTATAACTCGATTTTGGACATTTGTGCTGTCTGGGTTTGAATGCAAAATAAGAGTCACATATTTTCAAGTAATCCACATGGGATAGCTCATTTCCTCGTCATGATTTAGTCAAGATTTCCTGCAAGATTAGCGTTAATTTTAGCAACGGAAATCAGATGAATTACAACAAGGAATAACTGGCATAACAAACTGCGTGAGGAACGTGTTTACAGTTCTGTGAGTCGCCTATAAATACGTAACTCACTTTCAACGAGAAGCAGTATACGATTAAAGTCGTTCGTACTAATTTTCTTTCCTTCCTGTACACTTGGAAAGTAGTCCAAGATGAAACTTTCGGCAATTATCGTGACTGTGCTGTGCATTATAGTAAGTAATTAGTACTGAGTAATATTCTTGTTGACTCACTTTATGAATTCGATAAAAACATAATGTTTTGATCGTGTATTCGGTTATTAATAAAAGTAAATTCGTATTTCCATTCGCGATACAACAAATATTTAAATCGCATTACTATTTACGTATATTAGACATCGATATATTGTATTTGCCTGGTTATTATTCATCAAGTCCGAGATTCAAGAATGTAACAATTCCTGTGCACCTAGGAATTTCGATATAGCGCTGAGCACAAATAGATAATAATACGAGAAAGGTATCCTTCTCTTCACAGTCCGTAAATAAATAATTTTGAAAAATTGAAATAATAGAAAGCTTCTTAAAAATAAATAAACTAATAGTGAGAAATTAACGGCACATAAGGAGCAAGCACGAATGTCTTAGTGCTATTAAATACTAATATTACTTTATTTAATATTAATATGATTGTGGGAGGATAAAAATGTCCAGTATGTTAAACGCACGTATCGAAATTTTTTCTTCGATTATCGTACGCGGAGAATCACCTTCCATACTTAGACCGATCCTTGAGTCCCAATTTTTCAATATATATTTTTATTAAAATTCCAAACCCCCATTAAGCAAATGACTCAAATAAATTCCTTATATATGTTGCGAAAAAAATAATAATGATAATGAATTGAAGATTGTATCCAGAAAATCTCCGAGATAAAGTGGGCACAAAATGTTTACGAGAAATGTTATAATAAATGTACGTTATCATTAAATAATTTTGACTGTAAGAGGCTGTAAATAATAAAACTACTACAAATAACGGTGAAAAAATACAACAATTCCTTGCAAAATTTGCTACATTATGTAAAAGAAATGTCGATTTGAGTTACAAACGCCAGATACTGCTGTAGCAAACAATTCTTAAGCTTAAGCTAAAAATAAGATAATGAAACAATTCTAATATATGTTTTAATGGAATTAATCCTCTCAGGCGACTGCTCACGGTTTCAACCCAGACCGAAGTATAAATTTTCAGCAGAATATCCAATATTGCCTTGAAATAGAGAATAAAACACCTTGTAAGTATTAAAATTCAGCACACTTAAAAGAACATATAAAAAGTTGTAAGACAATGAATAATAAAGATCAATGCAGACAAATAGATACAATTTAAATTAGGGCACCAAATATTAAAATTTATTCCAAAGCAGGAGGCAACAACAAAAATACGCGACAAACATGTTTAAAAAAAAGACTTGTAACAGGAGTTCAACCTTTATTTTTGTTGTAATATACATTAGAAGCTTAAATCTATTTCTTGAAGAAATTCACACCGATGTCTCAAGAAAGCTTGAGGATTGTTACAAAGTAGTTTATGCAATTACTAGCTATGTGTACTATTAAATAGTTTGTAGTTTAGTCAAAAAATTTATTGTTAGAATTGTGTTTAAAAAATTATATCAGAGGTCCTCTAAAAAAATATTTAAATATTATACAAAACAAAATAACTGTTTGGTGGTAGCAATTATTTTATAGTTGAACAATCGAAGGAAGAATATTCCCAACTTCACTGCGCCTCTTTATTTTATTAAGCGCTTCTTGTTGTGCACTCAGTTGCTTTGATAAATTTGCAGGTTGCAATAAATTTATCAGGTCGATAGTCACTAGAAAGTTTCGACCAACCGTGTCCGTTTCTGATTGTTTTTCATGACTGTTGACTCATCCGGTAAGAGGGAATGTGTTAAAATAGAAATGACATTGTCTAGATATAGCTTCCGGAATGGAGCCGTGTCTTGAATCAGCGATATGCCGGCATATCGCTGATTCAAGACACGGCTCCATTCCGGAAGCTATATCTAGACATTGTATCAATGGCCGTGAAAGCCTCAAATCTAGTAGAAATGACATTCTGACAGTTTTTCGTGTTAATATTTTATTTCAATATTTTCACGCTATTTTCTCTCGAACTATTTGTTATTTGATAAGCGCTCCAGAATATTAATAAACATTCTACTTTAATGTATTAAAAAAAAATATTTTAAGTAAAAAAATATTTAAAAATATTTTTTATTTACTTTTAACATTCTTACTCTTCTTCTACTAATTGCGCGTTACACGTGAGCAGATAACCTTCTGATGAAAATACATCATCTCATATCTAAGAAACATCAAGCTGTTAAAATGTCACTTCTGCTTTGACACATTCCCGCTTGCCTGATGAATCAATAGTCATGAAAAACGATTAGCTAGAAACGGACACGGGTGGTTGAAATTTTCTAGTAATTATCAATCTAGTGAATGATATAGCATCAATACAACTGAATGTACATTATAAGCAATCTTACGTGTCTAATAACTGCTCAATAATTTCATATTTCGGGTAAAAAGTATTGAGGACATCCGATTAATTCGTATTAGTGACAGCATTCGAGTAGAAAATCTCTCAATTGCGTTATTGCATCAATAATTGTTGTGTTGCAGCTAGAATCGATTCCAAAATATTGAAGTGCGCATTGACATTTGATGGCCAGGTATGTATATTTATATTTAATGTAGACTTGTCGGCAGAGGGAGAGAAAATAATTCAAACGTGCAGTAGAACTAAATTCCTATTATTTTATAACTATATTTGTTTGTTTCATTAAGAGAGAGAGAGAGAGAGAGAGAGAGAGAGAGAGAGAGAGAAGCAATCAAAATAACAGATTATTAATTTAACATACCTAGCAGAACATGATACTATATTAATAACATCAAATATAACGTGTATATATTATTTTTATCAAAATCTGAAATTAATTTTAAAATCGCATATCTTAAGAAGAAATCGTAGACAAACTTAGAAAGAAGCATTTTTAGAAAAAGGAAAATAAACAATTCAATCTTTACTGTGATTTCAATAAATTTGAAGAAAAATTCTTTTTATTCGGTGAAATGCATAAAAATAATTTCCAAGGAACGAAATACTTCCTGGTTTGATAAAGTATAGTTCTGTAAGAAAGTGATATTATTTAAATTTGTGAAAAGCACTTTGTAATAGAAACTTTATCCTTTAAAATTCTTTTTTCTACTACGTTTCTATCTTAAAACTACAATAGTTTAAAACTTAACATATTTTACGAGAAAGAAGCGTTCTTCATTTTATTTTAAAGATATATTAAGATTATTTTATATACTAGCTGGTGTGTGAGCGTAGGATGTCCTGAATTTTAAACGATCTCTTGATATATTCTATGCAAGTAGAAAGAAAATAGATATAACATAAATGTATAATGCGAGTATATATTCATACGTAAAATACTACTTATGCTTTGCGGATAACAATTAAAATAGTTTTCTCGCCACACAATACTGTCAAAGAGTTTATCATACACAATATCAAAATAATTTAAACAAAATAGATAACATTGTTCTGTAATATTGCTATTGAAATGCATGCAACATTTACTGATAATTAATTATAAAATGCTACAAAAAAAGACCTACACTGAAAGAAATTATTGAATAAAAATTAACAAACGAATATTTCCGATCACATACCGATTTTTTGTATTCGATCAGGAAACATTCAATGAGAAATATCGATTCATAATTTTTTAATCGGTTTATCTGATAAAATATCATTATGATCGGGAGTATTCAATTAAGTTTAATTAGATATCCTAATCAGATATAAAAATTCATCAGTATTTTGATCGAAAATATCTGTTTATTAACTTTTTTTAGATAATTTCTCTAACATGTACAGAATACTGTACATTCGAAGTTATCATTTTACAAAATATTATAAGACATACAAAGTAATTGCTCTCATCTGTTCCAGGTTTTTGATAAAAATAACCAAATCAGGAGGGCTGTAATGGTAGCATTAATAATAGACATTATCGACGACGGATATCAATCGATGATGGCACAAACGTTATTCAGAGATTGCTGCAATAATGGTAACCGATTTTATCAATTAAAAGATAATTGGAGAATAATTAAAAAAAATAATGTTCTTAAAACATAGTTCTTTTATTTTAAAAACAAAATTTGCATTTACTGATTTCTTTTATTTAGAAAACGTTGACGACAATATCAGCAACGACCAAGAGACGACGAAAATAATTGAGTGTTTCTCCTCAATTAAAAATTACATTACGTTAGAGTAACATACAAAAACATAATAGAAACAAATTGAGTGCAATAGCCAAATTTTATCTTTTGCCGTACACTATACTAAACACTCTTTTCAATTTTCTTCTTGGTTTCTCTGTGTGACATTTCTCTACATGTGGTTTTAACTATATATATATATGTGTCTTTTTCTGTTAAATTATATGGTTACAAAAATAATTGATTATGGTTGTTATATGATATGGTTGTTATTTTTATAAGTACTATATAAATATTGAAAAATATATAAGAACTTTACAAGACACGTTTCTGGTCATTTTGTATTATTCGTCTCACTTGGACACAGGAACAAACATTTTTCTTAAACATCGGGCAAATCAGCAAAACGTAAGTAAATAATAACTCGAATAACTCTAACTCTTTTCCAATACCTTTCTCCAATAACATCTTATAACTCGCGTTGTGTGTTCAAAACACATTTGAGGCACACGTGGTAAAAGAAGAAGCGCGATGTATAAATAATTTATATTATAAACAAAGAGAACACACATAACAATCGCAAGAAATATAAGGAATAGGAAACTTAAGAAACACAAAAAGCATCAGAAGCAGCAGAAGTAGAAAAGAAATATCTACGAAAGCTTGGTTAACCGTTCCCGAGTTTGCACAGTTTAACGATCTCCCGTCTAAAAATATACAATATTATATTAACCCTTAAGCTACGGCGTTATTTTTCTAAATATTAGTTATAACGTGAAGTCCTCGACTGACTCAATTTTGCTTTTATTAGATAAGAAAAAATATGAAAAGGAATGAAAGAAATAATTAGGTGATAATTACAAAAATTTTTACAATGTTTAGTACTTTAATAAAAATTTTCTCAAAAGATATTGTAGAAAAACTATTCTTGATATCCTTTTGAGATCTTACATTGTAGTTTGACGGTTAAAATTGTTTTGTTGGTTATATAATCATGCGCGATACTTTAAATTTAAACAGACATACTCTCTCAATATTCTTTACGACTGGAAAGAAAAGAGACGTAATTTTAATGTAGATACAAGCAGACAGTCTTGAAGTGTTACCTTCGCTTTGCAGAATGAGTGAGCGGTAGAACGAGCTCCTAACACAAAGTTTCATCTCGAAGATGATTTGAATCTATTCACGATCGCCTGGTAAGCGAGAAATAATACTAATTGTACAATTATATGTTTCAAAATCATAAATACTTAGTAGCTGCCATGAGATTGTCAAAAGATACATGTTAAATGAGACTTTGTCTAAAGAACTCATCCCACCACATCAGGCACGTTCTAATTTGTTAATTTTCGTTAATTAACACCTGAACAATTATCGTGATTATTTATAAATAAACTTATTCGCTCAGTTTGATGAAATCTACTTGCATACAAGTGAACACATGTGCTCTTTGGGAGACATCATGTATATTATATTTTAATAGAAAGTACATGTCACAAATTCTCAGATAATCCATTTGGATTTCTCTTATTCTTTATCTTGCGCTATATTTTCTGCAAAATCAGCAGTAACTTTTAGTATCATAAATCAATAAGTCAGAAGGATTGAGGGACAAAAAATAAATATTATATCAAACTATATAATACGCCTGCTTTTAATTGTGAATCGCCTATAAATATGTGGTTTATCTTCGATGTAAACTAGTCTATGAGTATAGCTCCTCGCATCGGGTTTATTTTTGTATAAACTTCAATCCAAGATAAAGACTTTAACGCTTTTTGTGCGTATTTTGACTATTACGGTAAATAACAAGAAACGAGTGAAATTCTTTGCAAATTCACAAAATATTGGCGATACATCTTGGTGATACAAAATTTTATTACTATTTTATTCTAATGATTACTCGACTTAAATTTTATTACCTGTACTTTGCGTTTGTTTTTCATGTTAATTTTAAAATTTCATAAAGCAGCACGCAAAGTGTAAAGCGACTGATCTGATGTTAATATGATACGTTATTCAATGTATGTTCTAATACTAAAACATCTTTATTTTCCAACAAATTTAAATTCAAAAATTTTATTTAAAACACTGTATTCTTCAAAAATATTAATTAGATCATAAATTTAATTGATAACAAAAGGTTTAAAGTTCAATTTTTCATTCGTAAAATAATAAAAATTAAATCCGTAATAATAAAAATTAAATCAAATAACGATATGCCTTTTTCCTAAATATTTATGTAATTTTCTCTATGTGGAAGAACGTACTGTCATAGGTGATAATGAGAGAGTATATTAATTTATCATAAAACTAGCTATTTGTTGCAAGCAAAAAATATGATTGTTTTGCAAATTTTTTATATTATAATTTTAAACGATTATTAAGCCAAGTTGAAAAAATTTTAATATCTTTCGATACGTATACAATCTTTTTACGGCGGTGGTTTACGGTTTCAACGAAAAACGCAGATACAAGTTTCGTGACAATTCCGCTAAATGCAGTGCACCGAGTGAAGTAAAAGGTGAGTATTAAAATTCGGTGCACTTAAAGACATAAAATATATATCATAAAAAGTTGTCAGATCATGTACGATAAAAATTTCGGAAGATAAATATTGAGTAAGTTAAAAAGTTAACATGTATTAATATTTATTTAGCAACAAAGCGAAAAAGAACTCGTACACTTACAAACAAATGCGACAATAGATATCCAAGTTTCCTTTGTGTTGTTTTATATCTGTTGGAAGAAGAATTCTATTATCCGAAGAAATTGATACCGTTGTATCGAGAAAGTGTGAGAGTTTGAGCTAATTAAGTGCGGTTAATTTAGTTATGAACTTTAATTTGGTAATCGTATAATTAAATAATGTATGGTTTAGCCAGAAAACTTATGAATAGAATACTAGAAAAATATTAACTTAGTATTTTTTCGCGGGATATTAAACGAGCGTTCTTAAAAAGTATTTAAGCGAGTTTGCTAAACAACTGTTTTGTTATAGCGATTATTTCATAATTATATAATGTGAAAGGGAATGATTCTAGATTCATGACGCCTCTTATTTTGTCAAGCACATATTTCTCGTTTAATATCGTTAACAATCTTCTGCATTTGTTTGAAAACTATTTAATAGTTTCGTATTTTGAATAAAGAAAATGTGGATGTTGCTAAAGCAAATAGAATTCGCGTTTAATTAAAATTCAGCATTCAATTCAGCATTCAAACAGAGAATCTCTTAATTACGTCATTACATTTATAATTTTTGCGTTGCAGCTGCTGACGCGTTTATTTGCGCACTGCGGAAGGATGGCTTGGTACATGTATTTTGCATTTAATTTACATTTACTGGCAGTATTTAATTTCAATCCGAATTCAAAACCGAACTCGAATAGTCAGACATCCAATACCTTGGAGGTCGCATACAATCAATCTGGCTTATCTGTTCCAGCTTTTTCATGAGGATGGCCGAAACAAGATGTTACGATGTTCGTAAACAAGACATGTTGATATTCTTGACAGATTGTATCGGCGAATTGCAGGATATGAAATGGTCACAGAATTTATTTAAGAAATGCTACAAAGATAGTAACTGATTTTATTAGAAGATACTTAAAGAATAATTTAAAAAATTTATATTTTTAAAAAGTAATGCTTTCGTCTGAAAACTAACTTTTACATTTAATGACTCCTTTTATTGCAGAGGTTATAGAACAAGATACCCACAACGAACAGACAAAAAACATTATTCAATGTATCACGCCAATTCTATATTATTTAAGTATAACACATATATAAACGCGAATTTCAGATTTTGCTGCATACATTATATACCAAATGTTCTCTTCGTAATTTTGTATTTGGATTCTCTCTGTACAACATATTCTACATATCGTTTAAATTATCTCTGTCAAGTTACATATTCATAACATTTAATAAAATATATATATTCATATTCAATAAAATATGAACGTTTTAAAAGAACATTCTGCAAGATTAAACGTGTCCTTGTCGTACAAGCCAGTAAATAATCGTCCAAACAAGTGTGCGGGGAAATGTGTTTGCATGCGAATCGTCTCAAGATTATTTAAGAATGTACTTCTTAACAGTTCAAGTTCTTCTATATTCACGCAAAAAAATTTATTTAAGAAAAAATAATTCGTTCTATCTACGTGTAATGTCTTCCTCATTCGTAATGTCAAGGAAACAGTTTATTCAAAGACAGGTTCACTATTTCCCATAAATTTACAGTTACAAAATTTCAATTTTGATTTCAATCTTTAAGATTGACGCAAGATATTTTTTTATTTCCATCCTTTAATTACTTAGGATCATTTTTTATCGAAAGCAAATCGAAAAATTACATTAATCAGTTTTGTTTTCATACATTGGAGGAGAATGATATATGTGCGAAACATTGCGGTGTATTTATGCGTGAAATTTTGTACAAGATACAATATGTTGATAATGGACAAAGATCACATAAAAATCTCTAATACACCATTATTCAGCATCACACTCGCGACGGCAATTATGGTGAACGCTAAAGACAAAAAACAACACAGCAAAGAAGAATTTTCTTTCAAATATTGAAAATGGGTCACAATATTCGTGCGATTCTTTCTTCTCGATGCAAGTATAGTGCGAGCTGCAGATATAATTTTAGATAAATAGTATAAAATAATAAAATAGTGCAAAATAAATTCTTTAAAAATGTATTAAATGTATATAAAATGAGTCTTATCGTATAACTATCGTTGCAATAAGTCCTCACGGAAATCTATTAGGTGCACAACTTTGCTTCCGCCGTTTTTTTTCCGAAATTCGAGTCTTTGTTGTAAAAATTGGTTATACATTTATGATTCAAAGTATTGTCCATCGCTGGCCACTACTTTCTTCCATCTTTCGGACAGCGTACAAATCCCGCGTCGAAAAAATTGGTCATCTTTTGAGGCGATCCACGAATCGATCCAATTTTTTATTTCTTCATAAGACCGAAAGTGCTGGTCAACCAGGCCGTGTGCCATTAATCGAAACAAGTGATAGTCAGAGGGAGCAACGTCTGGAGAATACGGCGGGTGGGGTAGGACTTCCCATTTTAACGTTTCCAAGTATGTCTTGACCACTTTCGCAACATGGGATCGAGCATTGTCATGCTGCAAAATCACTTTATCGTGTCTCTCGTTGTGTTGCGGCCGTTTGTCTTTCAATGCTCGGCTCAAATGCATCAATTGCGTTCGATATCGATCGCCTGTGATTGTTTCAGTTGGTTTTAACAGCTCATAATACACTACGCCGAGCTGGTCCCACCAAATACAGAGCATGACCTTGGAGTCGTGAATATTCGGTTTGGCCGTCGACGTGGAAGCATGGCCGGGAACTCCCCATGATTTTCTGCGCTTGGGGTTATCGTAATGAACCCATTTTTCGTCCCCAGTCACAATGCGATGCAGAAATCCCTTCCGTCTTTGCCTTTCAAGCAGCTGTTCACAAGCAAACAAACGCCGTTCAACATCTCTTGGCTTCAATTCGTACGGCACCCAATTTCCTTGCTTCTGAATCATTCCCATGGCTTTGAGGCGTTTTGAAATGGCTTCTTGAGTCACTCCCAATGATCGTGCCAATTCTTCTTGAGTCTTGATCAAGTAATGCCTCCAATTCTGCATTTTTGAAAAACTTCTCTCTTCCACCGCTCTGCCGGTCTTCGACGTCAAAATCACCGTTCTTGAAGCGTTGAAACCCCCCCACTCATGACACGTTCTTTCACTAATAGCGGCCTCACCATAAGTATTTGAGAACATTCGATGAACCTCAGTCGCAGATTTCTTCATATTAAAGCAGAAAATTAAAACCTCCCGCAAATGACGAGAATTTGGCTCGTAAACTGACATTTTCAATCGAGAATAACTTTATGATGCAAACATAAATCGACTAATGTTTCTATGGGGTTATGTTGACAGATGCCCAAGTTTATCAATAACGTCTATGATCTATTTATTTTGACCACCGCTAAAGCCATCTATAGGAAAACGGTAGAAGCAAAGTTGTACACCTAATATATCAGAAAAATAATCACGTTGTAAAGACAGTGTTTATTTTATAACGGTACGAATGCTTGTTATAATGACAATATTATTTCACGTGTTGTTATCCAATCATTACATGATATATCAATTTTTCGCGATTACACGACACAGATATCCCAATTTCTCTGCAGATCAACATTACTTTTTAGCAAGATAACCTGTAAGATTACGGTAAATAATAATTAATATAACAAACTATATAGTGCGCCTGCTTATAACTCTAATCGCCTATAAATACGTGGCTCACCTTCAACATGAAACAGTCACTGCGACTAAAACACGTCGTACCGAATTTGTTGCCTTTTGAATGCCACTAAAAGGATCCAAAATGAAGATTCTGACGATTATCGTGTGTGCGCTGACCATAGTAAGTGAATCGAATGCATCTCTTTGTAAACCTATGAAATACCCGCGTCATACCTCCCGGTGATATTATTAATATTATAAATATAATTGTTATTTTATTTTCATTAGTACTTGACTCACATCTTATTAAGTGCTTTTCGCGTTTGATTTTAATTAGAACATTTTATATAATAGTAAACAAAGAACGAAATGGCAATTCCAAAAATAATGCGACATTTTATTCAAAAATTCCGACAATAATCAATATACTCATTTTCTGAAATATTCAGGTCTATTTAAAAACATTATTTAACGTCCTACCTTCTTTATAAATACACATAGATACTACAGTTCATGTGTTTGAATCAAATATAACGTCTGAATCGGATATAAATGACAATAAAATATTTCTAGTTCATATTTGAATACACGAAACAATTAAAATCAGTGCCTAAACGCGCGATATCATTCTTTATTTTTTTTAATTTATGTTTATGTAGCTTTCTTATATAAAATTCGTTATGTGAAACTATAGTACTATATACGAGAGATTATGTAGTGTAAGAATATAATAATCTATCGAAACTTGCTACTTATTTAAAACAAAAATTTGTCCGAGTTATAAATGTCTAATATTGCGATTTCCCACGATTATTAAGCCAAAATGAAACAATTTTGATACATTTTGCGATCAATTCTCTCAGGCGATGGTTTACGGTATCAATGTCGAGCGCATATCAAAGTTTAACAAGAATTACGTTGAATGCTGCCAACGAGAAGGCTTGCTATCGAGTGAGTATGAAAATTCGACGCATCTATTGGAACATATTATAAAACGTTGTAAGAGCATGAATTATAAAGATTCTACCAAACAAATAAATCTGTCAGTTAGAACAGCGAATATTAAAATTCAACACGCCAGCAGAATACAAGAAACTTGGCAATAGTTTCTTGAGTTCCTTTTCTTTGTGATATACATTGAAAGTCGTAGACTATGCAGAGATTGTGCTGTGCATGTTATTCGTCGACGAATAATGAAAAAATGTATCTTGTACTTGCGCATATAATTCTATATGTATTGTTGCATTGTCATGTCGCAAAAAATAAAAAAACAGAGAATTGAAATAATGAATTTCAATTGACGTAAATACAAATTTTTTCATTCGTTAATCGCTATTATTAAAAAGTGCGTCGCTCAGTCAAAAAGGAATATTAAAAATGTTATATTAAAATAAACTGCACCGTATCTCGAAGACAGTCAGACGAAATCAAATGAATATTCCTGAAAAATATTTAAGTAACCTTACAAAATAAAATAACTGCCATGTAATAACAATAATTTCATTATTTAGTAATTGGAAGGAAAATAATTCTAGATTTATTATATATCATTATTTTGTCAAGCATATATTTATCGTTTATATTGTTAACAATCTTTTGTGTTTATACGATAATTATATAAGTGAGCGTTTTTGTAAGAGAGAGAGAGAGAGAGGAGGGAGGAGGTAAAACTAATTAATTCGATGTTAGTTCAAGCATTCAAATAGAAAATCTCTCGAGTACGTTATTACATCTGTAATTTGCGTGTTGCAGAGTCATTCCATATCAATGCATACAAATGCGCACTAGACATGGATGGTATGGTAAATATATTTTCGTTTAATGTTTATTCACCGTTAGAAAGAGAATAGTCTTATCACATACAATGCGATTACTCTATACGTATTTTATAACCATGCACTTTCCTTTAGACGTTAATGTAAAACTATCACAGTGAGAAATTATTGATTTAACATTTCCAGAACACTATGTCGTAGTAATAATCACGAATAACGCATTAACGACGACAGTGACGTGTTTCATAGATCATTATGCTTGTTTGGATATTTATCTCACTTTCATAAATGATCAATAAAAAATAAATCAGTAATATGATCAGAAAATTCTAATAAGCTAGTTTCATTGTAAATTAAGATTATATTAATTTTTAGTGATTATAGAATATTCTGAGCAAATGTGTTATTTCGACATTCTTTTCGAGTGGAAAAAAACAGATATAAAAATAGATGAGTTTTTTTGAGATTTGAGCAATACATCCGAAAAAGTTCATTCTACTGCTAAGGAAAGCAACTCACTTTCCTTTTTTTAAATAATGGTTATATTCATCAAAGAGTATCCTCTTGATAATAGACTTAAAATATATTCTTCGTAAGAATATTACTAAACTATATAGAAGATAAAGTTGATTTAACTTTATATAGTAAACAAATCGAATTCTTTTATTTAATATGCTTAGTTGAAATATGATAAACTTACCAGAATTCAGAATTTATTTTGAATAAATTTGATATGATAAAAATCTATGGTAAATTTATAGATATATATAAACTTATATGGATGAAATAATCAAGACAAATAACATTTACTTGAAATCAGTACGCATTTTTCCATGTATAATTCGCAAACCGTGATTAAAATAGTTATCTCGTGACACAATACTGTTGAACAATTGATTAATATAAATATAAGAATAAAGCCAATAATTTTAAATATAATATAAAACAAAATTATCTTCACATAATATATGAATATCTTATTAATAAAAAGTTCTGCTATAGAGGAAGGTCCTACTATAATTAAACATTTTTATAGTTTTGTACGATACAATATGGAATTCAAAGCAATATATTTCATTTATTTCAGATTTTTAACGAAAATGGCCGAGTCTTAAAGAATGCATTTTTGACATTTATTGAGGACGTTATTTCCCACGAGGGCGAAATGAATTGGGCGAAACAGTTATTTATGGAATGCTACTACGAAGGTATTCGACTTTTATTAAAAAATAATTTTAAAAAATCTTGATAAAATAATTTAACCAAATTATCTTTTAATTGCAACGCTTTAAGTCAAGCACCCTATAGAGAGGGACAGTGAAGAAGAGAGCAACCAGATTTGCATGTGCACCTTGTCAATCTTGATTCTATTTCAAAGCCGAGAATAAAGACGAATTACAGAACTTCCACCATACCGTATTATGAAAGACTTCATGATCTTCACATTTTCCTGGATTTTTCGTCTATTTCTTTAAATATCGGTTAATATTTTTCTATTGAATTATATGTCCATGATAATGATTCAATAAAATATAGTTATTCTAAAAAGAAACATTCAACAGAACTTAATCATTGCCCTATCAAATAAATAACAATCATCTGATATAATGTGTGGTAAGATATGTTTGTTTCCTTTACAAATAATTATTAAAATCGAATATACCATGCTAGGCTTAAGATACTTAAGACATGCTTTTGGGTCACCCTGTATTATTCGCGGGCATTCACTTGAACGCGAGAAGAAACATTCGTTTCAAATCTCGAGCAACGCGAAATCACGCAAGAGAACAATACAATGGCTGCGTTCGCTTCGGGCACTTACGCGCTGTAAGCGTTATTCTATCTTTATCGCTCATTATATGCGGGAAAAAGATAAAATGACGCTTACAGCGCATAAGCGCCCAAAGCAAAAGCAGCCATAGTCTCCATTTGATTCAGTATCTAACCTACTTCTAGTCCCCATTTCTAACAACATCTTATAACTCCCATTGTGCGGCCAAATCACTTGAAGAGCAAGTGGCAAAAGAAGAAACGGCGCGTACACAAATAACATGTGTACATAAATAACATATGTCAGAACAATACAATCATAAGAAAAACAAGAAATAGAAAACATCAGAAACATGAGAAATAAGGAATATGAGAAACTCGAAAAGTACGAAATAAAGCACACATCTACGAAAACTTTCTTAATCGTTAATTTTTGTATTATTTAATAAGTTTACCAAATTAAAAAAATGCAAAGCTACATTAAGATTATTTTGTTGAAGCGTCCCATAATTATATAATATTCTAAATTCGAACAGATGTACTGACTCAATATTTTTTAATGGAAAAAGAAATAGTCTTAATTAACAAGAAAATATTCTTAAAAGGTTATTTACGTTTTACAGATTGCAATTAAAATAGTTACCACAAGAAAATATTGTCAAAAATTTAGTTATATACACAAATAAAAATAGTCGAATAGTTTTAGGTGCACATATATACAAGCACAATATTGATTTTATAAAATATTCAAAGCTATTAACATAATAAATAATATAAAAAAGGTGCTATGTACAAAAAGATTCTTTTACAAAATATAATAATAGACACAAAATAATCTAAACTACCACTAATTTTTAACATAAATAATAAATGTATAAAGCAAGATGCCTTAAAGTCATTTAGATATCATATCTTCAATATGTAATTGGAATAAACACTAACGATATTCATTAAATACTTCGACAAGCTCTCGATCTTATTACGGTCAAAAAAAATAATTTTCTTTATCACCGAATTATTTTTTAAAATTATTCTTTTAGCAACACAATTCAAATGAATTACATCAAAGGATAACTAATCTAGCAAATTATGTAATGCGCATGCTTGTAAATAATCTATAAATATGATATTAACCTTCGACGCGAGATATTACATGTCTAAAACCACTCGCATCAATTGTGTTTTATCCTTATACATACAGAAAAGTATCATGAAAATTGTGATGATTATCATGGCCGTCATGGTAAGTGACACTCAATGACCTCTGTGCACACACGAAGTATCGTAATGCGCATTGTACGAAATATAATACTTCCGGAAATATATATATTAATAATAATATATTTTTCGCGGTAATAATAATATATTTCGCGATACATGTTTAGACTGTGAATGTAAATAACAATTAAAGATTTCTATTTAGTATTTGAATAGGCGAGATAATAAAAATTGAATCAATAATTAAACAGTAATGTGCGCGCGGTAATATATCTCCTTTTGAAGATGTATACTTAAGTAAATTTTTCTGTGAGAAATAATATTATAGATAATAAGCTATAGGAAGAATATAATAATATGTCATAAAATTTTCGACTTCTTGTATACAAAAGATCTGATGGATTCCATGATTTCTCACAACACTTAAATCAACATGAACCAATATCATATGACTAAATGTAATCAATCCTTTCAGACAGTTGTTTACGGATACAACTCCAAACGCACTGCAAGGTTTGGAAAATATTATATTGAGTACAACAAATCATATGGTTATGAAAGGCGTGAGTATTTAAATTCAGCGTATCTAAAGGAATGCGTCATGAAAATTGAAAGCTCATGGATTAAAAAGCAAACAAATAAATAAAATAAATTATACCTTTACCCAACATGCCATTAAACGAACATTCTTAGAAAATATTTTTGTAAACTTATAAAATAAAATAACTTATGTTATGCAAATAACTTATTAATGCAATAAATTCTTAAATAAACAATCGGAGAAGAAATAGTCTCAGATTTACGGTGCCATTTTATTTTATCAAGCATATACTTATTGGTCGAAATTAGCCACAACTTTTTTTGTCTGTTTAACAACTATTTAATAATTTTGTGTTTGTCATAGAGAAATTTTTGTGGCTGATTGGTTGACGCCCCATGACCCAAATAGAAAACAAAATCTCTCCATTTCATTTAAACAAAAAATTTCCCTTTCGTTATTACATCTGTAACTTTTATGTTGCAGTTACATTGTGCCACCAATCGTTCAAATGTGCATTAAGTAAAGAGGGTCAGGTATATATATTTGTGTTTAATGTAATCTTATATAATGTAATTTACTTCGTTAGAATAACTTTAACTCAAAGTGTAATTAGCAATTTACCAATGCTATCGCAATGACAGATTTAGTATAGACAATAGAACATTATGCCATCTTAATGATGTAAGAAGATATATAAAAGTATATAATAACGTACTAATAATGTCCGTGATGTCATTAGTACTCTTTAAAAATTTATCTATATAAATATAAATTTATATTTTGCAATTTAATAATGTCAAATAATTTTAGGTATAATATATAATATTATTACTTTTAAAACGCAACGTATTGATGTTTCTTATTAACGTAAGATAGATAGAAAGGGTATAGCATACATAAAAAATTATCATTTTATATAATACAATGTATGAGACATGTAAAGCAATCGATCTTATCTATGTCAGGTTTTTGGCCGATACGACCAATTGTCAGAGGCTAAATTCTTGGAGTTTTTAAAGGATGTCATCTCCGACGAAACGGAATCGCAAAAATTACAAGAATTATTCAAATCTTACTATAATGAAGGTAAAGGATTTTATTAAGGAATAAATGTAAAATTTTGATTTTAAACAATAATTTTCCTATATAAAATAAATATTTTGTCTTAGAAATAATTTTTACAATAACTAAGTAACTTTTACAATAACTAAATTCCCTTTTCATTGCAGCGTATGAAAACAGACAAGACAAATATTATCCACTGACGGAAAATAACTTTATAGATATTTTGATGAGTAGTATGCTAATATTCTTTTGAACCCAGAATAAAAACGAATTACGGATTATATTTTAATATGACGAAACACACACGCTACCTTCATATGTTTTCTGGATATTTTTTTTGTATAACATTCTCTGTATGTTATTTGACTTTCCTTAAATTGTTGGACGTTTATAACAAATTATTAATGAAAAGTTCTGCTATAGAGGAAGGTTCTACTATAATTAAACATTTTTATAGTTTTACACGATACAATATGGAATTCAAAGCAATATATTTCATTTATTTCAGATTTTTGACGAGAATGGCCGGGATTTAAGGAATGCATTTTTGACATTCATTGAGGATATTATTTCCCACGAGGGCGAAATGAATTGGGCGAGACAGTTATTTAGGGAATGCTGCTACGAAGGTACTCGACTTTTATTAAAAAATAATTTTAAAAAATCTTGATAAAATAATTCAACCGAATTATGTTTTAATTGCAACGCTTTAAGTCAAGCACCCTTTAGAGAAGGACAGTGAAGAAGAGAGCAACAAGATTTGCATGTGCACCTTGCCAATCTTGATTCTATTTCAAAGCCGAGAATAAAGACGAATTACAGAACTTCCACCATACTTATGAAAGACTTCATGATCTTCACATTTTCCTGGATTTTTCGTCTATTACTTTAAACATCGGTTAATATTTTTCGATTGAATTATATGTCCATGATAATGATTCAATAAAATATCGTTATCCTAAAAAGAAACATTCAACAGAACTTAATCATTACCCTATCAAATAAATAACAATCATCTGATGTGTGGTAAGATATGTTTGTTTCCTTTACAAATAATTATTAAAATCGAATATGCCATGCTAATCTTAAGCTAATTAAGACATGCTTTTGGGTCAGCCTGTATTATTCGCGGGCATTCACTTAAACGCGAGAAGAAACATTGGTTTCAAATCTCGGGCAACGCGAAATCACGCAAGAAAACAATACAGTGTCTCCATTTGACTCAATATCTAACCTACTTCTAGTCTCCGTTTCTAACAACATCTTATAACTCGCATTGTGCGGCCAAATCACTTGAAGAGCACGTGGCAAAAGAAGAAACTGTGCGATGTGTACACAAATAACATGTCAGAACAATACAATCATAAGAAAAACAAGAAATAGAAAACATCGGACACATAAGAAACAAGGAATATGAGAAACTCGAAAAATAGGAAATAAAGCGAATATCTACGAAAACTTTCTTAATCGTTAATTTTTGTATTATTTAGTAAGCTCACCAATATAAAATAATACACAGATTACTATATTAAGATTACTTTGTTGGAGTGTTCCATAATTATACAATATTCTAAATACGAATAGATGTAATGATTCAATATTTTTTAATGGAAAAAAAGATACAGTCTTAATTAACAAGCAAACATTCTTAAAATGGTATGTACAGATTGCTTTACAGATTGCAATTAAAATGGTTACCACGAGACAATTTTATCGAAAATTTAGTTATACATACAAATAAAAATAGTCGAATAGTTTTAGGTGATATATACAAGCACAACATTGACTTTATAAAATATATCAAAACTATTAACATATTAAATGAAATAAAAAAAATACAGCTATATACAAAAAGATCCTTTTACAAAATACGATAATAGACACAAAAAAATCGATCTAAACTATCACTAACTTTTAACATGAATAATAAATATATAAAGCAAATCATTAAAGCCTTAAAATCATTTAGATATCATATCTCCGATATGTAATTGGAATAAACACAAACGATATTCATTAAATACTTCGACGAGCTCTCGATCTTATTACCGTCAAAAAAAGTAATTTTCTTTATCACCGAATTATTTTTTAAAATTATTCCTTTAGCGACACAATTCAAATGAATGACCTCAAAGGATAACTAATCTAGCAAACTATGTAATGCGCATGCTTGTAACCGTAAATAGTCTATAAATATGATACTAACCTTCGACGCGAGATATTACATGTCTAAAACCACTCGCATCAATTGTGTTTTATCCTTATACATACAGAAAAGTATCATGAAAATTGTGGCGATTATCATGGCCGTCATGGTAAGTGACACTCAATGACCTCTGTGCATACACGAAGTATCGTAATGCGCATTGTACGAAATATAATACTTCCGGAAATATATATATTAATAATAATATATTTTTCGCGGTAATAATAATATATTTCGCGATACATGTTTAGACTGTGAATGTAAATAACAATTAAAGATTTCTATTTAGTATTTGAATAGGCGAGACAATAAAAATTGAATCAATACTTAAACAGTAATGTGCGCGCGGTAATATATCTTCTTTTGAAGATGTGTACTTAAGTAAATTTTTCTGTGAGAGATAATATTATAGATAATAGGCCATAACGGAAGAATATAATAACATGTAAAATTTCATGTATACAAAAGATGTAATGGATTCCGTGATTTCTCACAACAGTTAAGTTAACATGAAACAATATCATGTGACTAAATGTAATCAATTCTTTCAGACGGTTGTTTACGGATACAACTCCGAACGCACTGCAAGGTTTAAAGAATATTATATTGAGTGCAACAAAGTACATGGTCATAAAAATCGTGAGTATCTAAATTCAGCGTATCTAAAGGATGTGTCATGAAAATTGAAAGCTCATGGATTAAAAGGCAAACAAATAAATAAAATAAATTATACCTTTACCCAACATGCCATTGAATAAAAATTCTTAGAAAATATTCTTGTAAACTTATAAAATAAAATAACTTATGTTATGCAAATAACTTATTAATGCAATAAATTCTTAAATAAACAATCGGAGAAGAAATAGTCTCAGATTTACGGTGCCATTTTATTTTATCAAGCATTTGCTTATTGGTCAAAATTAGCCACAACTTTTTTTGTCTGCTTAACAACTATTTAATAATTTTGTGTTTGTCATAGAGAAATTTTTGTGGCTGATTGGTTGACGCCCCATGACCCAAACAGAAAACAAAATCTTTCCATTTCATTTAAACAAAAAATTTCCCTTTCGTTATTATATCTGTAACTTTTATGTTGCAGTTACATTGTGCCACCAATCGTTCAAATGCGCATTAAGTAAAGAGGGTCAGGTATATATATTTGTGTTTAATGTAATCTTATATAATGTAATTTACTTCGTTAGAATAACTTTAACTCAAAGTGAAATTAGCAATTTACCAAAGCTATCGCAATGACAGATTTAGTATAGACAATAGAACATTATGCCATCTTAAATGTAAAAAGGTATATAATAACGTATTAATAATGTCAGTGATGTCATCAGTACTCTTTGAAAATTTATCAATATAAATTTAATTTATATTTTGCAGTATAAAAATGTCAAATAGTTTTAGATATAATATATAACAATATTATTTTTAAAACGCAACGTATTAATGTTTCTTATTAACGTAAGATAGATAGAAAGGGTATAGCTATACATAAAAAGTTATCATTTTACATGATACAATGTATGAGACATGTAAAGCAATCGAACTTATCTATATTAGGTTTATGGCCGATACAACCAATTGTCAGAGGATAAATTCTTGGAATTTATAAAGGATGTCGTCTCCAACGAAACGGAATTGCAACTGTTACAAGAATTATTCAAAACTTACTATAATGAAAGTAAATGATTTTATTTAAGAATAATTTTAAAATTTTGATTTTAAACAATAATTTTTCTATATAAAATAATTATTTTGTCTTAGAAATAACTTTTACAATAACTAAATTTCCCTTTTCATTGCAGCGTATAAAAGCAGACGACCCAAATATTATCCACCGCCGGAAAATAATTTTACAAGTCTTTTGATGCGTATTTTATCACTTCTATTAATCTTTTGAACGCAAAACAAAAACGAATTACGGATTATATTTTATATAATATGACGAAACACACACATTACCTTCATATGTTTTCTGAACATTTTTTTGTATAACGTTCTGTATAACGTTTCTGTATGTACGTTATTTGACTTTCCTTAAATTGTTGAACGTTTATAACAAAAATTCAATAAAGTGGTTATTCTAAAAAAACATTCAGCAAGACTCTATGCGAATCCCTATCGAACAAGATGGAAAATAAACGTTTGAGCAATTGTGTGTTATTGTGTATATATTATAATCATGCAATTATGCGTAACTCTTGCATTGTTGTCATTAGAATATTATAGTATAGACATATAGATAATTCAATTACTAAAATTTTATTTCTCATCACTTCGTACAAGATAATTTTCAGTTTAATTATCGCTCACGTCTTAATATTTTAATCATCTTTTTTCACGTTATTCATATCTTTTATTCATATTTTTCACGTTATTCATATCTTTTATTCATATTTTTCACGTTATTCATATAACTGTCAGCTTAATCATCGCTCACGCCTTAGTATTTTAACCACCTTTTTTCACGTTATTCATATTACATCAACTACATTATATTTAAACAGGAGGTAAATACCAGACGTTGATAAGTAATTCGTACGTACCTCGCCTCTTTTTCCTTACATATATTCTCGCTACAACGATGTAAATTTGTAATACGATAAATCCGGTGCACCGTAACTAACAATAAATAATATACCAAACTATATAATGCAAACGCGTCGCTGTAAATAATTCATAAAATCGCAGACTCAGATCGATGCAAAACAGTTCATGATAAAAAGCTCTTCGAGATGTCATACAATTTTTTGGATATACTTGAAAGATTCTGTGTGTAGATTTTAGTTATTTTGGGGGGTGTGTTGATTGTTACGGTACATATTAAGAAACGATCAAAACTTATCGTGATCTCACGAAATATAAGCAGTATCTCGCGATGTTATTAATAATATCATTATTACTTCACGTTCTCATGAGTATTTGGCTCGTATTTTATCACATGCTGTTTTGCGTTTGTCTTACATGTTAGTTTAAATAGTTTAAACAAGAGTATTCATATGTTAAGATCACAATTGCTCTACTAGTATTGCATCTTACTACAAAAGATTCCAGTGAAATTAAAGAGTTAATTCCTAAAAGCTCTGAATTTTATATTTTAAAAGTATCATTTAATACTATATATTTTCTACAAACATAAATATTATATTAACTGATGATTCAAATGGTATTAAGTCAATTTAATAAAAGTATAATGAGTCTTTTCTAGCAATCTGTATTTATTATAGACTTATATTCGTAGCAAATAGAACTCATATTCGTAGCAAATATAATATATCTGGATTTCTGCGAATAACAAATAAATACGAGGCTCACCTTCTAGGTGAAACAGTATATAACTAAGTCTCTCGCACCGATTTTGTTACCTTCTTCGATATACGAAAAAATACCAAGATGAAGACCTTAATTATTGTATGTATGCTGGCTATTATGGTAAGTGACAAATAACAAATGAATTTCTTTGTGAACTCACAAAATGATAAAAATATACCTTAGTGTTATTATATTTTAATGAGAATATTTTATTTATATCGTATTAAATGCAAATTGCATTTGATATTCGTGTCAGTTTGAACATTTTATAGAACAATACACCCAAAATGATACAGCAGCCTTGATATTAACGTGGTAACACATTGATAATCACTAACCCAATATTAAATCGATATATTTATTTTTTACACTATTTAAATCTATTTCAAAAGCATTATTTAATATATATTTTATTATGTGCATAAAGATTTTATATATTCAGGTCATGGATATAATTGAAAATTTCATATTTTTGCTCCGTGAAACAACAAAAATTGTGAATCCTTATTTAAATAATAATATGATGAATTTTCTTAAATATTCGTTCTTATGTAATTTTTTCTGTGGGTAACTTTCGTGAAGTTAGCTATTTGTAATAAGTAAAAGATCGACTCGAATTATATACTCCTAATCCTGCCATTTCGCACAATTACTAAGACAAAATTAAATTATTTTCTCAGATAGTTCATGGTTTAAACAAAGAACGCCGCTCTCTATTTCGAATTAATATGTTAAAGTGCAGCAATGAATGGGATGATAAACTTCATGGGTCATTGAGTAAGTATTAAAATACAGCATATCTCACAAGATGTATATAAAAATTATGAAAACTATGCGTTACACAGATTTAGAAAGATAAATAAATAAAATATCAAATCGATCTTTATTAACATTTATTCTACAGAAGGGAACAATCAGAAGATAAGAAGAAGCAAAACATTAAACTCACAATAAACAAAACTCGCAATTTTAAAAGCTACGGTAATAAATACTCGAACATTATTTCTGTTATCATACGCATTTAAAATAGAATTCTATTGGCGATAAAAATCAGCAACGGTATGCAAAAATGAAAACGTAAGAATTTGAGATGAGAAAGTTTAGTTGATGTAATTATAAATTATTTAATTTATAATAATGATACTGTTAAATAATATGTCGTTTGTACACATACACACATAGTCAAAAACTTTATTAAAACAGTTATACATTGAAACCAATAGCATCATGTCCAAAACTTTTTCATGATATTAGACAAATGTTCTCGAAAAGTATTCAAGTATGATAAATGAAATAAGGTCGCATTATAATATTAATTAAAAAACTACAGTTGAAGGAGAAATAATTCCAGATTCTATCTCTTTATTTTGTTGGATACATATTTCTCGCTCTATATTATCAACCTGTCGTTTAATTAATAATTATCAAATTGTTTTGCGTTTCTAGTGTTGAGAAAGCGTGGACATTGCTGCAACTAACTAGGAATTTTAATAAATATTACTTTTCAATTCACGTATTATATTGAAATGGCGAAGAAGTGTCACATATTATCATATCATCTACAGGGATCTCCAACGATTTTTCGTTGTCGTATCAAGTTTCAACACATAATCATCATTATTTTTTACCAACGTAAATCACATGTGGATTAAGATAGAGAATAACAAATGTGCAAAATATACAATGAGTTAGCGTTCCTGTCAATAACAAATAAATATGCGGCTCACTTTCTACGTGAAACAGTATATGATCAAAGCTCCTCACATCGACTTCGTTATCTCCTTCGATATACAAGAAGATATCAGGATGAAGACTTTGATAGTTATCGTGTGCATGCTGACTATTATAGTAAGTGACAAACAAGAAATAAATTTCTTTGTAAACTCACGAAAAACTAAAATTATACCTTAGTTTTATTATTTTATTTTAATAAGAGTATCTTGTTCATATCATATTAAATATAAATTATATTTAATTTTCATGTCAATTTGAACATTTTATACACACAAAACGATACAGCAGCCTCGATGTTAACGTGATAACTCACTCATAATAACCCAATATTAAACCGATATACTTGTTTTCTACACTTTTTAAATCTATTTAAAGAAACGTTATTTAATATTTCATCATCTGCATGAACTTATATGTTTAGGTCATGGATGTTTTTAAAAGTTTTATGTTTTTACTTAAATCGACGAAACAATAGGAATTTTTAATGAACTCACGGAATGCTAAAAATATACCTTAATGTTATTATTTTATTTTATTAAGAATATTTTGTTTATATCATTATTTTATTAAGAATATTTTGTTTATATTAAAAATAAAATGTATTTGATTAAATTTTTGCTTAAATAATAATATGACGATGACATTCTCTTAAATAGACGTAGTTATGTAATTTTCTCTGTGGGCGACTTTCGTAAAGTTAGCTATTTCTTGTATCAGAAGATCAATTCAAGTTATATATTCCTAATTCTACCATTCCGCACGATTGTTAGAACTAAATTTTTCAACAATAATTTTCATATATTTTGAATTTAGGTAATGGTCCACAGTTTCAGCCATGTACGTTACTACAAGTTTCAAATGAATTTATGCAGGTGCGACACTGAACAGAAAGAAATGAAGGTCAATCTACCAGAGAGTAAGTATTGAAAAATAGAACACATACAAAGCCTAAGAATACATATAAAAATTTTGAAAACTTGCATTATAAAAATCTGGGAAAATAAAGAAATAAAATAAAATCGATTATCTTATACTAATACTTTGCCCCCAGCAGAATGAGAACAAAGACTCACGACAACAAACATACACAACAAAAATTCACGGTTTCTTTTAAGAACTGCGATAATAAAGGTTCGACCTCTATTTCTGTTGTCATACGCATTTAAAGTTGAATTTTATTATTTGAAGAAATCGACGCCGGTACATAAAGACAGCGTGAAAATTTGAAATAAGAAAACTTGGTGATGTAACAATAAATTATTTAATTTGATAATCATATTGTTAAAGAATGTATCATAATATATGATTTAGTGAAAAAGTTATATTAAAATTAATTACTTAGTGTAAACTTTTCTACAATATTGGACAGATATTATTGAATATCATTTAAGTAATATTAAAAAATGAAATAATTTACGTTATAACACCAATGTCATAACTGTATTGTCGGAGAAGAAATAGTCCCAAATTCTACTTTCCTTGTTTTGTCAAGTACATCCTTCTCGTTCTATATTGTTTTATCAGTCTTTCGTATCTAATTAATAGTTATTAAATTGTTCTGCGTTTCTGATGGATAAGAGAGCGGGGACATTTCTGCGACTAACACTCGCGTCAGTATTCAAGAAAAGAACCAAAATATCTTCATTTCGTTATTACAACAATAATTTTTATGTTACAGGAGCACTCAATGGCTCTCTGATAGAGTGCGCATTTCGTAGGGACGGAGCCGTACGTATATTTCTATTTAATAAACATTTCTATACACAATATGCTTAATATGTAGTGTTATCAAGTTATTGATATTTTATAATCTATATATATTCAATCTTTGATATAAACATAAAATTCTATTATAAGGACACAGATCATATTAACCATATTAACAATTATTATTTATTATTTAACACAATTATCTAACATAATTATTTAACACAAATTATTTAACACAATTACCTATTATTATTTATTATTTCACATAAGATGACATATTAGTGATATCAAATAACTTATCAATATTTTCTTTAACAACATCAATGGTATCTTTAATGTTATTATACATGTTAATATATTCTTGCTTCTTTGAATAATCAATAAATAAAAAATGATTAGTTAAAATCAGCTTTAACGTTAAAATTCTTCACATTAAAACAATATATTGTTTTTAAATTATTATACCACATTTTTCTTAAATGTTGTATTCTTTACTTTTAACAAATAGCAATCGGTTTTATACAACATAGCGTTACAAAAAATAAATTTTTTCCAATACTCTATACTTTTTAAGTAAAATCTTTTTGAGATCAAAGAAATTTCTATTCAACCTTTTTGCAAAATTAACTTTTTTATGAAATGTCAATCGTAATTAATGATGCAAGGATATTCCTGACATTTTTGTGTTCAAGTAGAAAGATATGTTAAAAATATCCACTTTTGAGGAAATATGATAGAGATTAGATTTTCATAGTTGAAACTGCCTGGGTAAATTATACACTCAGTGTAATGAAATCGAGACTCAAAGTGTAGTGTTCTAAGATTAAGTTCATACTGTGACAGTTAGTCATAATAGGATCTTCTCAATATATCATAAACAGATGCACCATACATTTCGATATTTTCTCTATAAATAGAAAGGAAAGAGATGTTATATACATGTATATGCGATCATATATTTTAGAGATGTTACTTATACTGCAGATTTCAATCCAAGTAGTTGTCTCACGACATAATATTTTTGGAAAATGTAGCCATACACTATAAAAAAAGTCGCATTATTTTAGATGGAATGTATAACAATATTTTAAAGCATAACATATTAACAACTTATTATATAATGAAAGAAATACGGAAATACGGAATTAGATCCCGCTATACATAAATAGTTATTACTTTACATAATACGTTGAGACATACAAAACAATCGATCTTATCTATTTCAGGTATTTGATAAGAATGTTCAATACTCACTAACTGGAGTCAATGATATACTTGAGGACATTATCTACGACCAAAAATTATTGGCAGAAGCGAAAGAAATATTTCTCAAATGCTACAATAAAAGTATATGATTTTATTAAAAGATAATCAAAACTAATATTAAATAATATTTTGATATATAATTACACTGTCCTAGTAAACGATTTTTGCAATAACAGAATTATCTTTTAATTGCAGCGATGAAGGAATTCCCTCAGTTCCCTATATTGAAAGACATTTCTTACTGCTCCGGTTCAATTTTATCACTCCTCAGATAATCAACATAAATGCAAATGAATACTTCTTCGATAAAATATACGAAACTTCAGTTTATTGTTCACTACTTATATATAAATTTTCTTTATACTTAAATATTTTTTATATACATTATATATCTAAATTCTCTGTTTAAAACTTTTTCTTTCATTATTCGATCTTTTTAATTTAATTCTAATTTAATTATATATTCATAATAAGGATTTAATAAAACATGATTTAAGAAAAATTCGATGAAATTAAATTAATCTGTATTGACCAAAATTTCTTACCAATATCCTTCCTAATAGCAATATCCTTTCTAAATCAATATATTTCTATTCCAAAAATTAAAAATTTGTATACCAAATAATTTTAAGTAAAGCATGTAATAATATTATCTCGAAGATGTAATACTAATATCTTTTTGCAGTAACAGAATTCTCTTTTAATTTCAGTAAATTACAAGAAACGTCCAAGAAAGTTAATAACACTTTTATTATCCAAAAGAGTAGAGAACACTTCTTACTGCTCCTCTTCAATTTTATCACTCCTCAGATAATCAACGTAAAAGCGGATTAATACTTCCTCGATAAAATATAAAAAACTTTATATTATTGTTTACTACTTATATATAAATTTTCTTTATTTAAATATTTTTTATATATTTTGTATATATATAACATTTCTCTTTAAAACTTGTTCTATACATTATTCGATCTTTCCAATTCAATTCTAATTTAATTCTAGTTTAATTGTATATTCATAATAAGGATTTAATAAAATATTATTTAAGAAAAATTCGATGAAATTGAATTAATTTGTATCGACCAAGATTTCTTACCAATATCCTTACTAATAGCAATATCCTTTCTAAATAAATATAATTCTATTCCAAAAATTAAGAATATGTGTACCAAATAATTTTAAGTAAAACATGTAATAATATTATCTCGAAAATGCAAAATACTAATATCTTACTGATAAAAGATAGGAAAAAGGTGCAGTATTTCATAAGAAATAATTATTTTATATAATACAATAAGACATACAAAACAAAAAGTCTTACCTGTTCCGAGCTATTAATGAGTCCAAGTAACATGAATCATATTAATTAATAAAAAAATGTATTTAAAGACAAGTGTATTATCGATAAAAAATCAAGTGTGCTCCAATTTGTCGGATAGCACAATATACAACCAAATAGCTTACAAAGCAAATAAATTATGAATTTGCATTAACACTTTTCAACGAATATGATTTCCTAACAGACTGCATTACGCAATTTTAATATGTGTTTAACGTAAAGTTGTAAACAGAATAAATGTGAACATTTATGGAATACATTATCTTAATCTCATTTATGGAATACATTATCTTAAAGAATACATAATAAACTACATAAAGCAAATATTACTATTATGACATATACGATAAAAAGTTACAGACTTGGTCTATATAAAAATCGTTTTCATACTATGCCGTCAAAAGTTACAACCGACTTGGAAGTTTTACTCAAATTATTTCTTCGAAAACAACGTTACATAATTAATTCTAACAAATAAAGTAATTATCCTGATTATTTGACGTAGGAGAACAAATTATTGCAAAAAAGATCAGAAATATTAAGCTTATCTTTAAATAAAAAGTATGTTAAATAAATTCCAAATTGGACGATCATTGTAAAACGATATACAAATAAAATTTGTTGATATTATCATGAATATCCATCAAGCGTTAAAGCCGAATTGATATCGTCAAAGCAAGACCGAAAATTTTCATTTACTAAGATGTTACTTGCAGTAAATAATACCCGAATTAACCCGTCATTGGAAAAGTGGAATTTAATAAATTCTGTTTTTTTTTTTGTTGAATTTTTATAATTTCTCTAACCATATAATACATCTTTCATAATTTCATATTTCTCTAACCATATAATACGTCTTTCATAATTCTCTGGAATATTGAAATTTAATAACAGCCAACGGAACACAATTTTGAATCAAGATATTACAAAGATTCAAAAAGAGAACAAGTGGAATACGGGATCTTTCACCTTTCTGATGATGAAATGGGTGGGGATGGAAAGTCAAAGCATCAAATAAATATCAAAATTACCTAAATATGCATATATTTCACTCCCTAACCTTTCAAAATAATTTATCTACAAATAGGAATTCTAAATAAATAAATAAATAAATATTACTTTGTAAATTACGTATATTACATTACAATGGCGAATAAGTGTTGCATGTTCTCATATTATCTGCAGGGATCTCCAACGATTTTTCGTCGTCGTATCAAGTTTCAACACATAATCATCATTATTTTTTACCAACGTAAATCACATGTGGATTAAGATAAAGAATAACAAATGTACAAAATATACAATGCGTTAGCGTTAGCGTTCTTGTCAATAACAAATAAATATGCGGCTCACTTTCAACGTGAAACAGTATATGATCAAAGACTCTCGCATCGACTTCGTTATCTCCTTCGATATACGAAAAGATATTAGGATGAAGACTTTGGTAGTTACCGTGTGCATGCTGGCTATTATAGTAAGTGACAAACAGGAAATAAATTTCTTTGTGAACACATGAAATGCTAAGAATATATCTTAGTGTTATTATTTTACATTAATAAGAGTATTTTATTTATATCATATTAAATGTAAACTGTATTTGATTTTCATGTCAATTTGAACATCTTATATACACAAAATGATATAGCAACCTTGATGATAACTTACTGATAATAACTCGATAATACCCGATAATTACCCGAATATTAAACCGATATATTTATTTTCTACGCTGTTTAAGTCTATTAAAAAAAAAAAACGTTACTTAACATTTCATCATCTGCACGAACCTGTATGTTCAGGTCATAGATGTTTTTAAATGTTTTATGTTTTTACTTAAAGCAGTGAAACAACAAGAACTTTTTAAATGTAAACTTTTTAAGAACTCATAAAATGCTGAAAATATACCTTAATATTATTATTTTAATAGGGATATTTTGTTTATATTATGTTAAATATAAATTGTGTTTGATGGAATCCTTGCTTAAGTAATAATACGATAACATTTTCTTAAATAGTCGTAGTTATGTAATTCTTTCTGTGGATTACTTTCGTAAAGTTAGCTATTTCTTGTAACAAAAGATTAATTCGTGTTATATATTCCTAGTCCCACTTTTCCCCATGACAGCTAAAACTAAATTTCTCAATAGTAATTTTAACATGTTTTAAATTTAGATAATGGTCCACGGTTTCGATGAAGAACGTTACTACAAGTTTCAAATGAATTTATGCAGATGCAGCAAAGAACGGATCGTCAGGGATCCTAATGAGACGCAAGGTAAGGATTGAAAAACAGAACACTTAAAAACACATAAAAATATTGAATATTATGCATTATAAAAGTCTTGGAAGATAAAGAAATAAAATAAGATCGATTATCTTATACTAATACATATTCCGCAACAAAATGACAACAATTGTCGCTCGCGACAACAAACAAAACTCACGGTTCCTTTTAAGAACTGCGATAATAAATGCTCGACCTCTATTTCTCTTGTCGTACGCATTTAAAGTTGAATTTTATTATCTGAAGAAATCGACGCCGGTACATAAAGACAGCGTGAAAATTTGAAATAAGAAAACTTGATGATGTAATAACTAATTCTTTAATTTGATAATCGTATTGTTAAAGAATATATCGTAACCTATGATTTATTGAAAAAGTTATATTAATATCAATTGCTTCTGTGGCGTTCAAAATTTTTCTACGATATTGGATAGATATTATTGAAAAGTATTTAAGTATTATTAAAAAATGAAATAATTTGCGTTATAATGCCAATGTTATAATTGTATTATCGGAGAAAAAATAGTCCCAGATTCTACTTTTCTTGTTTTGTCAAGTACATTCTCTTCGTTCTATATTGTTATCATTATATCGTTATATTATTGTTATCAATCTTTCGTATTTAATAAATAATTATTAAATTGTTCCGCATTTTTGATGGATGAGAGAGCGGGAACATTTCCGCGACTAATACGCGCGTCAATATTCAAGAAAAAAACCGTAATATCTTCATTTCGTTATTACAATAATAATTTTTACGTTACAGAATATGTCAATGCCTCCCTATTGAAGTGCGCATTTGGTATGGACGGGGCCGTACGTATATTTCCATTTAATGAGCATTTTTAGGCACAATATATTTAATATGTAGTATTATCAAGTTATTGATATATTATGATATCTATATACATTTATTCTTTGGACATAAACATAAAATTCTATTATGAGGACGCAGAGTACTGTATTATCTATTATTATTTATTATTTAGAGCAAGATGACATGAAATGATATCAAATGACCTAATAACATTTTCTTTAACAACATCAATGATATCTTTAATGTCATTGTGCATGTTAATATATTCTCGCTTCCTTGAATAATCAGTAAAAAAAATGATCAGTTAAAATTAGTTTTAACGTTAAAATTCTTCCTATTAAAACAATATATTGTTTTTAAATTATTATACTACATTTTTCTTAAATATTGCATCCCTCACTTTTAACAAATAGCAATAGGTTGTATGCAACATAGCGTTACTAAAAATAAATTTTCAAGTAAAGTCTTTTTGAGATCAAAGAAATTTCTATTTAACTTTTTTGCGAAATTAATTTTTTTATAAAATGTCAATCGTAATTAATGATACAAGGATATTCCTGACATTTTGGCGTTCAAGTAAAAAGATATGTTAAAAATATCCACTTTTGAGGAAATATGATAGAGATTAGATATTCATAGTTGAAACTGGCTGGGTGAACTGTACACTCAGTGTGATAAAATCGAGACTCGAAATGTAGTGTTCTAAGGTTAAGTTCATATTGTGACAGTTAGTTTTATAAGATTTTCTCAATATATCATAAACAGATGCACCATACATTTTGATATTTTCTCTATAAATAGAAAGGAAAGAAATATTATATATATGTATAAGCGAGTATATATCCTGGAGATGTTACTTATGCTGCGTAGATTCCAATCAAAGTAATTGTCTTACGACATAATATTATTGGAAAATTTAGCCATACAATATAAAAAGAGCCACATAATTTTAGATGGAATATATAACAATATTTTTAAAGTAAACCTACTATATAACTATATAACTACTATTATATAACTTATTATATAATGAAAGAATGATACGGTATTAGTTTCTGCTATACATAAAAAGTTATCACTTTACATAAAAGCAATCGATCTTATCTATTTCAGCTGTATGGTCCATATGGTCATTACGACCTATATCGAGTCAATGAAATGCTTGAAGACATTATCAAAGATGAAGAATCAATAGAAAAAGCGAAAAATACATTTGGCAAATGCTTCATTCACGGTACATGACTTTATTAAAAAACAATCAAAAATAATATTAAATAATATTTTGTTGATAAATAATTACACTGTCTTAGTAAACGATTTTTGTAATAATATAGTTTTCTTTTAATTGCAGTAAGTTTCCAGAAATCTAGCAGATGGATGACTAACGTGGAATACATTTCTCATTGCTCTAATTCAATTTTATCACTTATCGAATAATCAACATTAGAGCGAATTAATACTTCCTCGACAAAACTTCACTTTATTGTTCACTACTTATATATAAATTTTCTTTATACTTAAATATTTTATATACTTTATATATCTAAATTCTCTTTAAAATTTTTTTCTTTCATTATTCAATTTTTTAAATTTAATTCTAATTTAATTCTAGTTTAATTGTATGTTTATAATAAGATTTTAATAAAACATGGTTTAAGAAAAATTCGATAAAATTAAATCAATTTGTATTGACCAAAATTTCTTTTCAATATCCTTACTAATAGTAGTATCCTCTCTAAATCAATATATTTCTTTTCGAAATATTAAGAATATGTGTGCCAAATAATTTTAAGTAAAACATGTAATAATATTATGTCGAAAATGCAAAATAATAATATTTTACTGATAAAAATTAGGAAAAAGATTCAGCAAGAAATAATCATTTTACATAATACAGACAAAATAATACAAAATAAAAGATCTTATCTATTCCAAGCTATTAACGTGTTCAAGTAACATGAATTATATTAATTAAGGATCTTACTAGAAAACACAATGAGATGGGCGCAACGGATATTCAGACATGCTTCAGCCACATTTTTATCACACATATTTTATTAATTTAATATAACACATATATTTTATTAATAAATTAATAAAATATATGTGAATGTAAAATTAAAGATAATAACTTTTTTAAATAAATGACTATTCAATCTTAATAAGTAATTTTTATATAAAACAAGTTTTCTCTTTTAATGGCGAAGACTCAAAGCTGACACTCGTACCAGATACACCCGAAGAATATAGCCAAGTGCGCTTAGAAACCTAATAAACAATTAACGGTAACATTACACTAACGTTATTATTCCTCAATCAACAATGTAACTGTTATATACAACATGAATTATGTTATATTTACACAGATGTATGAAAAATTATAATATTAATGTAATATTATTGTTAATGCTCTTTATGATAATTGTGCCTCTATTCGACAAACCAAAATAAATTTACAGTTTCTACAGATTAACATCATCTTTTGTTAAGATAAGTTTGGTAAATTAAAGAAAAAATAACTGAAGCAAACTAGTCGAGGTGTGTGTGTGTGTGTGGCAGGTAAGAAAAACGAAAAATGTAAGAGTCGTAGTAAATTGTAACCCCATAGGAGATTAGTAAAGACTTTATATATAAATATATAAACCGAAATGAATAATGTAACGCGTCTGCGTCTTCGTGAAAACCGCTCTATATATACTTCTTGGCTCTATATATACTTGGCTCTATATATACTTCTTGGCTCAATTTTTCGGGAAGTAGTTAACGTTCGCCTTTCACGAACGTGTGTTCAGCTGCTTAAACATTAGAAAAATCCAAAATGAAGAATTTGGTGATTATTATGGCTGTGCTGGTCGTCATGGTAAGTGACAAGCAGTGAAGCTTTTTGTAAACTTATGAAATAATGGTATCTCTCATTATTATTATTAATATTCTTATTAGTTTGATTTAATGATTATACGGTTTTCATATTATTACATTTATTGCTTTTTTATGTTAATTTAAAAACTTTATAGAACATAATCACACATAAAGCGAAACATCAATCTTGATATAACCTGATACCTTGATACCTGATATCTTGATACCTTAATATTGAATATTAAATATTAAATACACTTATATCTACACCTTTCAAATTTATTTAAAAAATGTTATTAAACCTTCTTTAAAATCAGCGTGTATGTATAGATCATGAACTTAATTAATTTAATTAAGTGAAAGATTTAACATTCGTTTATAAATACGCGAAACGACAAAGATGGATTTCTTTTACTTAATGTAATGATTCTTTTCTTAAATTAATATTAATACTAAATAAATTAATAAATTAATAATTAATAAATTAATATTGATACTTATATAATTTGCTCTTTTTTAAGAAAATATTAATAGTATAGAAAGTAAGAAAATATTATAATCTAACGTGAACTATTTCCTATAGATAAAAAATTCGCTCGAATTACAAACTCTTGATACTACTTCTACTCTTGATCGACAAGAAACGATTTTAATATGTTCTGATGTGATAAATTTTTTCAGATAATGGTTCATGGTTTTGATAATAATCGCGCAGAAAAGTTTAAAGAGGATCTCATCAAGTGCAGACGTGAAGTCGGTCTTCACAAGTGTAAGTAGCTAAAGTAGGTAATTCAATTTCAAAACGAAACATATAGAAAATTATAGGATCATCGGGATAGACAAATAAACATAAGGTTAGAACACCGAGTATTAGAATTTAGTCAGCAGCAAGATGTCAACAAAAACTCGCGACAAATACTAATAAGAAACACGATAATAAGTGTCCAAGCTTTCCTTATTTTGCGATACATATTGAAACGAAATTCTATTGTCGAAAGATAACGATACTAGGATATTAAGTTTGTGGGAGAACCTCAAATAGCGAAGTTCAATTTATATAATTGCAAAACATTAAATTTTAATTGAAAATAGATTAAATAGTGTTTCGTTTAATCGAAAGATTTGTTAAAAATCTTATAAAATTAATCTTATTTAATTAACTTTTTCAAAGCAGTTGCGCAATATTCGACGAACATTTTTTTTAAATTGTTTAAGACATTTTTTTTTAATATTCAAAATATAAAAAATGCAAAATAGTTCTAGATTTGCCTTTTTATTTTATCATACATAAAATTTTATATTATTAATAATCTTTCGTATCTATTTAATGTTTACTAAATAGTTTCCCATTTATAATTAACAAACGAAGATGTTGCGATAACTGAACTGAGTTACGTTAATTATATAATTTAAACACCAATCGAAACACCTCGATTGTGTTATTATATCTGTAATTTTTTCATTGCAGATCAACCCTACAAATTGATATTATTATGCGCATTTGGGGCGGACGGAAGTGTACGTATATTTAATGTATATTTATTTGGCAAATTGTCTTAAGACACAATGTAATTAAGTTATTACTATTTTGGTGCCGTACACACCCGTTTTTATGGACATTAATGTGAGACTTTCACAGGAACAGGTTACCTGCTTCACATACTCGGTAGAACGTGTTGATTAATAAATGAGTATCAATACTATGTAATGATTTATTAAAAACGTGTTAACGACGTCAGTAGTATCATTATACATGCTGGAATATTATTCCCGCATTTTTGAGTAATCAATAAATAACTAATCAATAATCAAAAACTTTTTGTAACCTAGTTACATTGTGTATTAAGATTATAACGATTAGACATAATTAGATGTTAATAAACAGAGGAACCGTTTCGATATATTGTTCAGAAGTAAAAATAAAATAGATATAATATACAGATGGGCATACAAGCTTCTTAAAATGTTACTTGCGCTACGCAGACTGCAATTAAAGTAATTATCTCGCGATGCAAATACTGTTGAGATGTTTTGCCATACAATATAAAAAGATACGAATAATTTCAATGTGAAATACATAACAATATGTAGAATAATTTGATTTTTTAGGCTTTTGTGGTGTCTATGCATATTAGATTTAGTTTCCGGGTATGAGCCGCGTGGATTCATCTTTGTTTGATTTCGACATTTCGCGAACATTTCAGTCCGCTTCATCAGCGAGGAACGACCCGAATCGGGACTAAAATGTTCGCAAAACGTCGGAATCAAACAAAGGCGAATCCACGCGGCTCAAACCCGGAAATCAAATCTAATATGTAGAATAATATATGATATACAACGATATTAAAAACATAATAGTATCTTATTAATGAAAAATAGGAGAAATGATTCGGTAATATATAAAAAGTAATTTATTTGTTAAGATAGGCATATAAAACAACCGGTCTTATCTGTTTCAGATTTATGACGAGCACGAAGCGATTAAGAAGGATGCAGTTTTGAACTTATTAGAGCATGTTATCGCCAACGAAACCATACTGGAGCAAGCCCAAACAAAATTCAAGACATGCTATGACGACGGTATATGATTTTATAAAATGATAATTAAAAATAGTTTTTGAAAATTTATTTTAGTATATGGATTGTGTGTGTGTATCTGATGATATATGAGTAAAATATTTGTATGCATGTAGATTAGGTCAAACTGAACACAAAATCCCTCTGCCATTTTGCAAGTAATCACACAGATATTTTAGTTATTAATTACAGAAGATTGATGAATCAAGATTGATAAACGCGCAATCATTTATCCCAATTTTCTGTAATTAATAACTTCAAAATCTGTACAATTATTTGAAAAATGATAAAAGAATTTTATGTTTTGTTTGTCTTAATCTATATGTACATAAGTGTCTCCTCAACTGTTCGTTGGACATACTATTTAATTATTCCATTTTAATAAATAATGTTTATAATAATCATCTTTTTTCCTAGTGGTTGGAAACGCAGTCATTAGTCACCAGCATACGGATATCTTAGGCATGTGTACTGCGCCAATCGTTAAAATCTTTATAACGTTACAATGAAAATGTATTTAGACTTCGTCCATATCGTTTACGAAATACTTTCATTATATCTTCCTTCCTGGTTTTTCTTTATAAATTTTTCTATGCGTCATTTCACCATTTTATGTTGAATTATATGTTCATAATAACAGTTCAATAAAATGTGTGGTTTTTCCAAATAAATATTTGTCTACTTTAAAACAAACAAATAACAATCGTTTAAAGGTTGAAAGTCCTCGTCCAATGTGTGTAGCACGATACGTTTGTTTCCGAATCGTTTCAAACTCTATTAAACAATTTCAATATATTGTTGAAAAATGGAAAAAAAATTAATATAACATAAATGGACATGCGGCCATATATTATTTATGTTGCGCAGATTGTAGTTAAAGTAGTTGTTTCGCAATTATGAACTTCTAATATCGCAACTTTATACGATTGTTAATCCAAAATAAAATAATTTTAATATTTCAGTGTAATAGATCAATTCTAATATTTTAATATTTCGGTGTAATAGATCAATTCTTTTAGGCGGCTGTTTACGGTTATGATGCTGAACACTTACAAAAATTTTGCGACATTGCTGATGAATGCTTTAAAGAACTTGAAAATCAAAGTAAAGAATAAAATTCAATAAATCTAAAGGAGAATGTATCGTAAAAAATTGTAAGACCATGTATCTTATCTGATAAATAAACATAATTTATGTTTGAATACTGTGTATTAGAATGTATTAGAATACGCATGGATTTTCAGCGAAAACTTGCAACAAATACTAATAAGAAACATTTTCTTGTAATATGCATTAGAAGTAATATTCTCTATTGTCGGAATAAATCGACACTGAAATGTAAAGAAAATATGAGAATTTTGAAAAAAATAGTTTAGTTAATGTAATTACAATTAGTTGAACTTGTTATATTATTAAATTGTGTTACGTTCATTAAAAAGATCTATTAAAAGTGTTATGCTGAAATTAACTGCACACTACGTGTTCAAGACAATTACGCAATATTTGACGGGCCTTCATAAAAATTATTCAATTGAACTTATTAAATAAAATATCTGTCGTGTTACATCAACTTTTAAAAGAAATTGCTGTAACAATTAGTTCATAATTGATAAATAAAATAAAAACAGTTCCATATTTATACTTCTTGTTTATTTTGTCAAGCAAGAATTGTCTGTTTTACATTGCCAACAATCTTTCGTGTCAATTTGGTAATTACTCTATAATTTCGTATTTCTATTGCAGAAACAAGAACGTTGTCTCAGCTGATTAAACCGCATTATTTATAAAATTAAAATAGTAAATAAAATTTTTCAATTGCGTTACAACATATGCAATTTTTGCATTGCAGCACATTTTTATTCCAAGGCCATCGTGTATGCATTACAAAGCGAAGGACGAGTAAGCATATTAATATTTAATTTATTACTTTATTATACTTATTCGACAAATTGCCTTAAGATACATTGCAACTTGAAATATCAGGGAAAATCCTTCCGGAGACAAGCTTATTGTTAACAAAATTCACGTTTCCAATTTTTCTCGATATAGAAAGGATACTTTTCTAATAGTCACACCTACTAATTACACAACCTATTAACTAAAAGGCAAATCAAAGAGACACAAATTTTTATCCTTTATAGAATTATTTGATATTAAATTGTGAGAAATAACAGCCAAACAATTTTATAAATCACTAAATTACCAAATTTTACACATCTCTGACTCTTTTACTTAATTACTATCTGCACGTGTGAATTTTAACAGATATTATAAAAGAAATTTGTATATATTTGTATATGTTATTCATATTACTTATATCATTAGTGCAACTTATATCATTAATATATTTGGGTGAAAAATTAGTGTTTCCCCTTTGAAAATTAACATCAACATCGTCTTATCCAAGTTTCTGTAAACTCAGCATTACATTTAAATAATTACACTTAAATAACATCATGAGGATTGCGGTAAAAAATAACTAATATAGCAAAACGTGTAATACGCCTGCGCAATCCTAAATAGCCTATAAATAAATTCGTAGCTCATATTCGACGCAAGACAGTCCATGACAAGAATCCTTTGCAGCGAGTTCTTTAGTTCCTTAGATAGAACATAAAAATCCAGGATGAAGACTTTGTTGATCTTGACGTCGGTCATTACGGTAAACAACAAGATTCGACTGAAGCTTATTAGTGAGCTTACAAAATAATAGCGATATTGTTAGATTTAATTTAGTTATTAATATAATGTTACTTTACTTTAATAAGTACTTAGTTTGTATATGGTTATAAGCCTTTTGCGTTTGGTGTTAATTTAAACATTTCGTACAGCAAACACACGAAGTGAATCGAGAATCCTGATATAAATAACATACTTTGATAATGTGTGTTCCAATATTAAATCAATATAACATACTAATAATTTTAAAATAATTCTAAAATAATTATATATTTACATTTTAAACTGTTTAAATGCATTTTACAATTGTTAATAAATATTTCTTCGAGAATATTATATATGTTCTCATCATAGACCTAATCGTTTTAAATGTTACAGCTAAGGTTCTATATTTGTCTTTGTGAATACGCGAGATAACAAGAATTTTTCCTCGCTAAATAATACGATAATATCCTTTACTTAAATAATCGTACTTGCTGTAATTTACTCTGTAGAACATTACAATAATATAGAAAATAATCAAACAATATTATAATACATCGTGGAATTTACTACATTTTGCAAGCAAAAGAATCGCTCAAATTCTAAATTCCTGTTATCGCTATTTCGTACAATCGTTGAACTAAGATAAAACAATTTTAATATATTTGGCGCAACCGATCTTCTCAGGCGGTGGTTTGTTATTTCGACCCAGAAAACTTTCTCGCGACAGAAGAGCGAATCGTTAAGTGCAAAGAGCAATTAGGTGACAACGTAGGTGAGTATTAAACTTCCTAAATATACATTAAAGACAATTGTAAGATCATACATTATAAAAATCTGCACCGACAAATAAACATAATATATGTTAGGACACAGAATATTAGAATTTAGCCTATAACAGAACATCAGAAAAAACCCATAACAAACACTAAATAAGAAACGCAATAATAGACATTCGTGCTCGCTTTGTCTTGTGATACACATTGGAAATGGCATTCTATTCTCGGAACAAAGCGCGACATCAAAATATTAGGAAAACGCCAGCATTTCAAGTGACAAAATTTGTTCGATGCAGTTTCAAACTGTTTAAACTGTTAAATATATTATTAAATAGCGTTACATGCAGCGAGAAGATTACTCAAACAGTCATATTAGAATTAATTATATTGCATGTTTGAGACAATATTCAACAAGATCGTGCAATATTCGATAGAAGAATTTATGAAAAATATTTAAATGAGTTTTCCAAATAAAATGATTGTTGTGTTATAGTTTTTTATTAAAATTACTTAATAGAACAGTAGACGGAAAAACAGTTTCAGATTTACGTTGCCCCTTTATTTTGTCAAGCACATATTTATCGTTTTATATTGTTAACAATCTTTTATGTCTATTTGGTGTGAACGACTCAAATGTGTTAACACAAATGCGTTAACACACGTGCAATTTTTGCGTTACAGGTCAACCTTATGCTGACAAATACTACTGTGTAGTGGCGGATGACGGGGTATGTGTATTTAATGTACATTTATTCGACATTGAGAGACAAAGCTATGACTGTGGCAAAGATTGTAAATTTATCTTACCCAATTACCCAGAACATAAGACGTATACATATTAATCGTCGATATATCATAGTTTCTGCTAGAATATTATTCCCGCTCTTTTGAATAATCAATAAATAATAATTCAATATAACCAGTAAATTCCTAAGAATATAAAGTTAACAATGTTAAAGTAGAATAGAATAAAATAGAATAGAATAGAATTTAACGTAAAAGTACCGATATCAGGATACTAATAATATTGATACATAATTCTGAACATTCTTATTGTCTATCGGCCTTAAAATAAATATTTAAACTTCCAATGTAAAATATATATTGAATATGTACATATATTTTACATTGAACGTGTAAATATTCGTATTTAAAAACTAAGACAACAAGAATGTCCAGAGTTACATGCCAGTGTTATTAGTGTCCAAGCATATGCATTTTACTTTACTTATGCTGCATAAATTGCAATTAAAGTAGTTGTTTCGCGACTGTCGGAGAGCTTATTCATACAACAAGAGAGGAATGGAATAATATTTACGGAAATATATAACAATATTACCCTGAGTGTTAATATCTCATTAACGATAGAAGCAAGAAAAGATTCAGCAATACTTATAGAGTTAACATTTTACATAAAACAATAAGTTACGCGGAGCAATCGGTATTATCTATTCCAGACAATACACGAAGATGGCCTTGTCTTAAAGCACGTATCTCTAGAAAAAGTTTTTGGAAACGAAGGTTAATTGAAGAGGACAAACGAGAGCACGAAAAGTATGAAACGTATGAAAGTGAGATTCAATGCATATTATAAACGCTTTGCATGATTTTATGAAAAAATAATTAGAAATATTTCAGAAAAATTAATTTTCGCGTAGAGTAAATAATTATTCTATTTTATTAAATGATTTTGAACGACTTTTTTTCATTTCAGCGGTCGAAGACAGGTAATCCAGTCAGAAAAACGCGCACAACATAACTAAATGCTCGTAGCTCTCTCCAAAAACGCAAAATAAAAGCGTAATTAGATTTCCTCCGTATAGTATATAAAATACTCTCTCCATATATATTTTGTTTTATAGATTCCATAACTCGCTTTATATATCATTTGATCTTTCTCTGTTAAGTTATATGTTCATGACAGCGTTTCAATAAAATAATGTTGATTTAAAGAAGCACTGGACGATACTAACCAATCTCCTTTAAAAGAAAGCAGACAATAATACTTTGAAGAAGTATGTAGCAAGATATCCTTGCTTTCGAATCATCTTGAACTAAACGATTCGAATTAATTCAGAAAACCCGTAAAAACTGTTAATCCAATTGACAAAATAATTATCCAATTTTAATTCATTAAAACTAGATAAAATTATATTGTCAGTTGGATTAATATTTTATATACGTTAATTATTTAATTTAAGTAGTAAACTAATTAATTAAAACTATGTAATTACTTTGTCAATATTAGATTAATATATGACAGATAATAATTCGTATATTACTTATATTATATATATTACATTTGAATAAAAAGTAAATATCGCACATTTTCAAATGATGTACATAATGAATCTCCTCTCGCCTTTTAGTTTACGCAAGATCGGCATATCTATCACCAACGTCTTATGGATTAAGGCAAAGGATAACTCATATAGCAAATTATATAAAGTAACATTAGTATGCAGTGTACATTTTAGTATGCAGTATGTAATTTTCTGCGTATACTATTCAGAACGTTTTATCTAAAAAAAGTGCATCATTAATCAAAGTCTCGCATATTCACGTTGATTGGACAGGAATAGAGACGTTTTTTCACAGAAACGCATATCTTGCGAATTTAAATTAACTTTATTCACAGAATATAACTCTCCAGTGTTAAACTGCGCAATGTGATCTAAATAAATGTATTTAACGCAACATTGTAAATGAAATACGTATCTATGGAATATATAACTTTAAATCATACATTGTAAGTTGTATTATATAGCCAATGATGCAGTTATAAAAAGCACGTTAAAAAATTATAGAATAGACCGCACACACGTAAAATCCTTGTAATCTTACACCGCAATAAAACTCGATCGTGTTACAGACTCATTCGAATGATTTCATCGAAGGTAACGTAACTCAACTAATTGCAACAGGCAAGATAGTTTCTCATCAATTACTTTTCAACTCTTCATTATTCCGAATCATGACGAGCTACAAGTTGCCCCAGAGAAGGCGTTATTATACAGGTTTTTATTTCTAATTATTACTCATCAGAAACATGAGATTCAAATTGATACAAGAATAAACTCGTTTCGATCGCAGCAATCATTACAAATCATTGGCGTGCACTTTATTTCAATGATTATTTAACACGTTGAATATTTAACACGACAGAGTCGCAAAATCAGTGTTATACATCTTCCAATGATCAAGATCGGTTTTCCCTTTCCCTCGTTCTATCCGCAAGATCAATCACGCATCCTTCAGGTTTTCTTTTCTAGTTTATCTGTATAACTATTTTCCTATATAATATTTGAACGTTCTGTTGGATTGTATGTACATGATACCGACTCAATAAAATATAATTATTATAAAGAAATATTCAACGAAACGATATGAATCTCTATCGACTAAGACAAATAAGAAGTTGAAATGAATTAAAATTGTGAAGTAATTTACTTACATTATTAATAAAAGCAATATCGCCTCTATCTTTTTAAATAAACAAATCTAAGAAAAAGTAATGCACGCGTTTTGGAGCTTCATGTAATCTAATTATACATATTAGTATTAAAAGGTACAATGAAGAATAATGATATCAATTAACAATTGAAAAACCTTACTTTCTGTAAAAATATTTCATTATTATTATTACATATTATAAATATATATATATATATATATATATATATATATATATATATATATATATATATATATATATATAT